AGAAAAAAATTATTAAAGATATAAAAACCTTTTCCAATTATTTCAAAATAATTATATTTATTATTTATTTATTTTCTATAACAATAAAGTTTTATTTTTGATATAAAATAAGATTTATAAAGAACTATTATTGTTAAACGTTTTTATCTTTGAAAATAATGAATAAATTCAAAATATTTCTGATAACCGAAATATATTTGATAAAAGATATCCAAATCCTCGAATCAGATTATTTTTTTTGAATAAATTTATACTTTATACTTTCTATTATTAATTCATTAAAGTTTTGATCTTCTATAATACCAGCTTTATCTATATTTCATTGATTTTCGGTTTTAATATTTTTAATTTCAAGAATATCAAGAAGACAAAATCATTTTTTAATAATATTTATATTAATATCTGAAACTTATATAGAATTAATCTTCTATTATTTTTTTATTTTAATAAAAGGATTTCTTTTCAAAAAATTATATATTTATCGTTTTTCAAATGAAGGATTCTTTTTTTTTTATATAAAAACGTTTTTTTATTTTTTATATTTGATAATGAGTTAGATTATATCTAAAAACCTTTTATATTAATATCCATTCAATCAATCGATTCTTCTGAATCAGAGTTATCTTTTGTTGATTTTGAGCACTTTTTTGATATAATAAATGATCTTCAATTCGATCATGAAATGTAATCCTTGGAATATTATATTCTAAGAAAACCTTTTGTATTGTAATCTTATTTTCGATATATAATTTCATTATAAGATAATTAAGATAATTTCAAAATTTCAGATCAATTTATGAAATGATTATTGAGTTATTGAAATTTAAAAATTAAATATTATTGAAACAATGTAATTTATAACATAGTCGGAATAGAGGGGTGGTCGGAATGTGGGGTAGGGGACTTATCAAGCTTCAAGTAACTCAGGATATCAACACTAGCGGTCCACTTGTATCTTGGATGTAGCTTGTTCGGCCCTCTTGAATATTCCCTGTGTGAGGAAGAGTTTCCCCGCACAGTGTTGGAGTTAGGTTTAGTATATTAATAGTTTGGTCAAAATACAATTTTAATAATTGTCGGCTTGCCGACACCAAAACTTTGCTGTATGTGAGGTTTACCTAGTGTAGGTGATAGAAAATGAGAAACTCGCTTAAGTGAGTCGCGATCCTGATAATCTGATTGGTCTAAAATACCCCAGTAAATAATCTAATAAAAAGCTTGATATAAACCTTATAATCTTAGACAAATCTAACTTGGAACTTTTTTCAACTCTATTGAAATCATCAATTTAATTTACAACTTTATTAAAATTATTCAACTTTATTAATTCAATTTATCTTATTCAATTTATCTTATTCAACTTAAAATAATAATAATAATAATCATAATGATATTATAAATATTATAAATATTATTTTTGAGTAAAAAATTTTAATTTTCAATCATCAAAAACAAATTGATATTCTACCTACACTCTGATATATATTCAATATCTAAACTTGTTATAAACTTTTTAAACTTTAAATTTTCATTAGACTATCTTGAAAAGCTAGGGGTCCGGGTGGCGTAGGCCCCTGGTATAAGATTTATATATAAATTTGAAAAATATTTTAACAAAAATATTTAAAAATAAACTATAAATCTTTTTCAAATATTTATATTATAGTTAATCAAATAAATTATTTTAATTTAAAAAATAATTTAAGAGTTCTGGAATCTACTCACCGCACACTAAGCGAAATCACATCAAAATCAACGATTTTTCAACTTTTAAACCCTTGTTATCTTTATAAAATAATAAAATAAATATATAAAAATTGATATATATATAGATAATTTATTCAAATATAATAAAAATTTAACAAAATATTTTTTATTATTTTTGTTTCAAAGTTATATATATTTAAGATTGAAAAATCAAAAAATTTTAAAAAAATCGCTTATTTTATATGGGGAAAAGTTTAAAAAAGCGTTACACAAATGAAATTTTAACATTTTTTAAATTTAAATAGATATAACTTTAAAACAAAAATAATTAAAAATAAATTGTAAATTTTTTCAATATCCTTTTGTAGTTGATTATAATATTTGAAAATTCCATTTGATTCAATTCAATATTGAAAAAGTTATTTAATATTTTATTTTATATAGGAAAATATGAGTTTTGCAGGGATTTTGTCACGAATTTAAATGGTGTGCGGTGAGTAGATTCCAGAATTCTTACAAAATCTTTTAATCAAAATATTATAATTTTTAATTTTAATTTTTAAAAATTTATAAATATTAATAAAAATTTATTTATATTATTTAAAATTGAAATTTTAATTTTTTATTTAATATTTGATTTAATATTTGAGTTAAAGATTTCAAAAAGACTTATAATTTATTTTTAATCATTTTTATTAAAAAGTTATTTAAATTTTTTAAGTTTTTCAAATTTGTATATAAATCTTATACAAATTGAAAATTATAATTTCAATCATTTATATCTCAATTAATAAAATTATAAAAAATTTGGAATTTTCAAAATCAATTAATAATCATATAATAAATCTATAATCAAAATTTCAACTGATTTAATATATTGATTATTGAAATATTAATATATGAAAATAATGATTTTTGATAAAAAAAAGATGATTCAAAGAGGGGTGGTTCAAAAGTAGGGTAGTAGATTTATCTGGCCATCGACCTAGCGCTCGTGTCTTATACCACTCCTTCTGCCAGCTACATACACGGTAAATTTTCTCACTATTTACTTACATAAACTTTCACAAGGAAGCACCGACACACACTAAGTTCTCGGTTTTGTTGGGAGGTCAACATTATCATATGTGTCTGGCCATCAAGATGTGTAGCGTTGTTTTTATTTTTTTCTTGCATAATCCTAGGAAGCAGGTGCTCATTGAGCTTTAGATCCTGGAAACAGAAGATGGTGTTATCCAATTTTAGCTGAGAGAGTTGATTTAGTGCTAAGATCAACCTTATGACAAAAGTAGGAACCAATGGCAGCAATGAAGCGGAATAATTAGAAGCAGATTCATATCTTGAGTCTCTAAAACAGGCTATCTGCACTCCAGCACATGAATCTGGATTCACCGAAGTGCTTTTGGCCATGAGATTGCCTTCCCAATCATTACGAATAGTAAGGGGCGTTGAAAGGATCATAATAGCATATTCAACAAGACTGTGGACCGTGATGCGGGGTACTTCTAGCTGACTTCTAAAATAGATATTATGTAAAAGCAGACGGGCTTATCTGCTTCATTCACTACCAAACTACGCATCTTTCCCTTTTGTTTCAAAAAAAAAACAGTCATTAAAAAGACTGCAGGTGTATGAGTTACGAACTTTTAGAGATCTAGAAACCAAAGAAATTCAACACATAAAGGACCTAAAGTCCGCCTGCGTGACCACGGTATATACACCACATACGAGAATTAGCTCTTCGAGAAGGGGATACTTCAAGTCTGTCTACGGATCGTAACTCGAGATAATGTTTTGTGAAATGGAATGATATGTGTTATTCTCATTGTCGATACTTTGAAGTGACTAACTCTCAGCTGTACAAATTCAATCTTCGTAGTAATTCTCAGCAACGACATGAAGAAGAATAAAAAAGAGACGACAAGGGGACGATATTTCGCACTACACACTACAAACCACTCCTTTCTAGCCTTCTCATCCTCAACGAATTTCCACACTCATTTCTCCTTTAGCCCCTATTTTCTGTGGCTATACACTGTGGAGAGTGCGATGTTGGACACATGTTGCTTTTTCTAACCATTTCTTTCTACGATGAGATAGAAAAGAGGTAAGCCCTGCTTTTAATGCTTTTAGATATAGAGGAGTGCGGTGTAGCTCGTGATTAGGAGTACCGCGAGGCATATCTTTCTCAATCACTACTATTCTCCCAAAACTATTACTCTTGGCGAAACAATTTTCCAGCGATAAATCAACTAATCACTTCACAGAAATATAAGATCATGAAATCCCAATATCGGATTTCGTGCGTCCTTATGCGGGTAGCGGCATTCAAGATGTGAAAATCTGAGCTGGTGCATAGTACAAGGTACGTACGAAGACTGTAGGAAAATGGGCCATTGCTCTCATCTTTATTAATATTACGGCTAATGAATAGAAAGCAACATAAATTTCGATAGCGAGTAAAAAAAAAGAAGAATATTGGACGAGATATACTATATTTCATTGATTCTCATCCCCATCATACCTGCTCTAGTTCCCGTTCTGGTTCAATCCTCTGTGTAAATTTAGGTGGCGGGCATAAAGATACTCATGCGTCTTGTCAGAATTGGGGAGAGTCTAAAGAGAAATGAATGTATTGCTTTTTATGTGAGCGGATTACGGTTATAAGATGCAAGAAACGGAATAATCGAAGAGCGGAGTAATACGCCCAAGTTCCTGGAAACGTCTCTCTGTATTACTATTCCCTCAACTCATAGTTCTTGTGTACTTAATGGACGAATTTGTCTAGCATTTGTTAGGCTTGCGGATACAAAATGATTAGGTTTAAGATCAATTTTGGCAGTCCGCGGTAAGAATTTCAGGATAGCTAAATGAATAAATGGATGGCTGATTGGTGCATGATGAGCGATTGGAAGGAAATTGATAGAGGCGTACTTGTATAAAGAATAAACTCAGACTCGACAGGGTCTGTGTCTAGAGACCAAGTCGAGGTAAATGTTGGATGCCAAAATTACCGCTAGGTGGGCTGTATTTCGCGTGACAAAATTCGATAAATGGATGTGTTTTCCCTTTCACGGCAAACTAGCTACCATTGAAAGTTTGAATGATTTAGCACAATGACATGCTTAACTTAACAGGAGAAGCAGAATACAAATGACAATGAAGTTAATGACATGAACTTTTTGTGAATAAATAGGATTAAGCCCGAATTATCAAAAGACTTGATTTATCCACCTGACTACTGAAAGCCTTGCATGTGACCACCTATCATCATATAATCTAACTACAGATGACTATATCTCCTTATTCTCTCCAACTCTCCATTTACCCATGTGTCATAAGTTACATGAGACAGCAACTAACTCATCCTGATCCAAATTGCAACTCTCCACTTTTCTGAACGTTCCAAGCTTTTTTTCTGACCAACACCCATATAGGGGGTCGCGTTTGTTCCAAATCACTTTCCTGGACAAATAAATTCTCTAAATTGAGTCCGCGAACGAGCTTTTCCTACAGCACCCACATTCAAATATCATACATCAATTTCCCCAATTGAAATGGTCCTCCTGCAAGGCTTCATTAGTATCACGGTAAATGATGATCTCATCCGTGTTATAACCAAATGTTTCGTTCAAAAGAAGGATTCTCTTTTATTCCGTTCGAATCCATATTCTGTACACGCCCTCTCAAGGTGCCATTTCCAAGGGTAGTTTTCGAAGGTTTGGGAGCGTTTTTCTTTAAAATTGTAATGATGGCTGGATACCATCCACTCACCAGCCAAGACCTTTTTAGGAGAGAATTGGGCACAAACCACCAAAATCGTGTTTTCTACTATTCTAAATGATCATTAATATTGCCACCAGAAAAGGAAGGATGGAAATGAAGAATTACATGGCATCGTCCGTTCCTCTCAAGCTGTCCATCAGTTATACCCATGAAGTAGGCGAAGAAGGCGAAGACAGCTGCAAAGCCTGGCCGTTGATTTGCGGCAATCCATGTGTATAACTTTACAGTTTAAGCAAACAGCTTTGGTTTTTCTAGACAATATTCGAGAGGTGGAAGGAATTTGGTAGCTGGTCGCGCCGCTAGCTTCGACGATACACTTAAGTTCCATGGAAATAAGTATAATCAGGCGCTTGAAATTCTTTTAAATTCTCAGAGACAAACCAAAGTTCAAAACTCATGGGAACATAACCGCAACAAAACACTTGTCAAAAGCCATCGGATAGAAAAAATCATATTCGTGCTAATTAAATCAAAATCTGTGTTCATATTAGTAGTGGATACGTCGCAAAAAAAGAATATAAGCAAAAGATTTGAGCAAGGGAGAGATGGAAAGTAGCTTCCATGATCCTCAAATTTCAATATCAAGAGTAATGAGAAGCTAGATCCTAGTTGTCCATCATCTCAACATTTTACGATGCATCAGATCTGACTTAGGACTTTGACCCCTTGTAGATTGGGACGTAGAAAAGATACGTGCCCACCACCAGAAAGGGTATCAAACCACGGGCCAAAATTTTCATAGTTCCGAATGGATAGAAAGATTAATAATATCGGTATCACGGCTACCAAAGGAGTCAATCGTGCCGAAAGTTTGATCCGATAACTGAAGAGCAATCTATACAATTACCCATTCATTTAGATATCACTTTTACCCCCAATTCTCCAGACGAATCCTAATCTTGGAAGATAAAGATATTGACACGTGCGGGTCACACTACATGAGCCATATGCGTGATGTATTTTATCTTATGTATCTTCCACGATTATCAGATGCCTAACTGTAACGTAGGACAAAATCTTCGATGCCTCGATCGGAATCGATTGCATCGAATACATACACAATACATATACAATGCTGTTGTGCTTCAATGTCTATAATCGGCGATGATCATCAACTGAATGACCAGTAAACGGCTGATAAAATCAATAATGTCCGGTATATGAAAGCCAAAATGGACGTTGAAGGAAAGTTGAAGAAAATAATGCAAGATGTGTAGTACAGAGAGATGCGGACAAGGGGCGGCTCAACCAATACTCAAGTTGGTGGTACATCAAAAGGTTGTATTTTGCCAAGGATCTTTATTTGTTTGCCGAATGCGAATTTGAGCGGGGGGAGAGGGGTTATCTGTGAGTATGGTGTGAAATTTCTGACGATATTGTTCTCGCCAGCCTTGATAGCTGTCTTGTCAATTAGACTCGATCTAGAAGGATATGGTGAATTGATCGGGAACTCGGGAGATGGATGTTATGCATCAATGAGAACCGTTCCGTCTGCAATACGACAGCCGTCGTTTTCTGTGGCGCGGGATAATATTGATGATAACTTACTCTGGTTGGACTGAGGGGAGGACGGTTGGTAGAGTTGATGATGTAGTTGATGACTAAGCTAATAGAGGATCCAATTGTTCATCCGGATATGGAGTGAGGAATAGGGGTCGGGTATCTCCAAGAGTTGGTATAGAGTTTGGGGGAAGGGTGGGGATGTGAATGGTGTCCCGCAAGACGAAAGATTTATGATAATCAGTGGCGGACTTACTCCTTCACATGTCACTTAGCCAACAACCAAGCTCTAATAATGTCACAACACTCAACCTACCAGCTATACAGCTGTAATCTCTATGTTGATCTTACATGTACCTGCCTCCGCTAGTTCCAGCTCATGTTTCAACTGAAAAGGAGCCTGTTGGATCCGATCAGTATTAAAGGGGGAAGTACCAATGTCGTTCTCTATGTGGATCAACAGTGGAGCTCAACGGCGATGGATTTACCATGCATCACGGGCGGCCTATCGGTAATTGCCTTCTAGAAGTTTCAGATCTTCCGGTTGGAGAGAAATTTCCGAATTTTACTCAGCCAGATGGGGTAGGATCTCTGCGATACGTTTACGAGGAAATGTATCTATGCCAAAGAGAAGAATGTTTCCAACAAGGAACACCGAAGATTTCATTTTGCAAAGGCCATGAACTCATTTATTTGTGTGGTGAAGCAAGTATTGGACTGTACGATGAAAAGATCCGGTTCCCCGGATTTAGCATTCTGTACTATGAACTGTAAATGGTATCGCGGACCCCCGCATTTACACGAGATCTTTTACCTAATATGATACTTCCGAGCCGTGGAAAAGTTATCAAGGTGAGGCTTTTGATCGGCATTGCCATGTGTCCGCCGTGTCGCTACTCACGATATCATTTTTTATTGAGTTTTGCTAAGCTATAAAGTCCTCGCCTTCATCCGTGGCCATCATAAGGGCCATGGCTGTGTCTTCCATTTTCCCGGCGTCAGGCTTGAAAGTTGTAACCTGAAATATCATAGCTACTGTAGCATCAAAACGTATTATTAATGTTGGCTTGAAGATTGAGCTGGCGGGTTCTATGACCCCTTTTGCTCACCTCATCCCGTACCCGAGATGAGCGGAGGTAAGGCCCGTTCCAGGTTCCAATGGTTGGATGAGACGTTGGTATGAGTGTGTAGTAAAAGTTGCAAACAAAAAAAAACGGCCTTTCCACTGAACGTACCACGCTTTTCCCCCGAGTTCTTGTTTGGAGAATGTAATGAAATATTGAAAATTGAAGGCTGTAAGCAGGCCAAGTAACTTTGCGAAGGGCGGGTCTAAAAGTAGTTACTATTTTGACCATTTTACACCCTTACGGCACATTCCAGTCCTGTCTCTTCCCCGTGTTTTCTAAATCCACATATAAGGCCGAATGCAGTAAGATACCTATCTCAATCGTCTTCCCCAAACATGACAAGTCACAACGTGGGGGTTTTGTGCTATGATAAATCTGGCAGCAACAAGTCGATGGCATCGACATCTCAGACAACGCTTGAATGAATCTGAAATCTACATACCTACCTAAATGAGCTGGCTCTAAAATTCGTTCTCATCAACACGAAAAAGAAAGGCGACGAATGACGAAATTTAATCAATTCATATTTAGGTTGCAAACATTATCGGTCGTAACATTTGGCTTTTCGTGCAATGTTGCTTTCGCAACTTTACAGCTTCTGCCTAACGTACACGCTGACGCTCTCTTACCATTTGATTCGGTCAACATCCTTTCTACACCGCTATTCGAAAAAGATGAGATGAGATCAGAAAACTTTAGGGCCGGTAGTGAAGAATATTAATGAACCACTGATATTGTATTCTTATTGCTGTCCTTGTACAGTACTGTTATGATTACGCACGTCCGGGTTTATCTACGGAGATCCAGAATGCACTAAGTATATTACTACCGATAATACTTGGCGAGATGAAGGGGTTGATGAGACGGAGACCCAACCTGCAAGCATTCGGAACATGACCGACTTCATACCAAAACAGAAGGGAAAGAACAATATTCAAGCCTCGGGCCGTAGTCTGAAGCCATAACCATCTTTTTTACCTAAACGAAATATCAAGGGCAGAAGCAAAAAAAGAATACAAGCCAAGACATACATTACTCCTCTCATACCTACGGGTCGATGTTCCGGAAGCAACGTGTGGAATTGAAAAACGATTCAAACTCCACTTTCACACTTACCCGTCTCTCATAGTTCCTTCTCCAATATCCATACAATATGCATGTCAACCCCACGAAATTCCATGCTTCATTCATATGCAAGGATGCAGAGCTGTTGCAGTAGTAAGGCTGGAAACAGCTCAACAACACAACATAATCCGACATGTTACATACAACCAAGAAACTGGGGATTATCTTGAGATTGGATGAGAATCAACGAGATGCAATCATACAACGCATGCAGTATTTCTAGGGTTTTCCTTGTATTAGAACGACAGTTCAAACAATATAGGAGTGTCCGGGGCACTCGGATTCGAGACGCTATATGCTAATATGGTAGTAATACACCGGAGATTTACAGTTTTTATTTCATTTTTCGCTGGTGCCGTTGCAATCATTTTTGCTTTACTGTTTATACTGCTTTTTCCCTTGAATTTATTGCAAACCCTCGCATCGCATAATGCCTCAGACCGATCATTGATCAAAGCCAGTAACGCACGCACAGCAACACGACTGAAATAATCCATACCCCTGGTTTGGTAAATTCGAACATTCTTGGTTGAGACTGGGGTAAATTGTGAGGCGGCTTTCCGAAGGGATGAGTGTCTTGAATTATTTTCCTTCCTTTTCGGCTTTGCCTTTGGATTTCTTTGTCAACATTTTTTTTATTTATCTGTGCTATGTTTGATAAGGGGAGTCATACCGGATATGATATGATTAATTTATCAAGGTTTCGTATGATAGAAGTGAATGCAAGATAAATTCATTCGTTTGCCCCCCGAGTTGATAATATTTTTGTTTCGTTTTTAATTTCCAATAGTATTCCTCTTCAATGTTTGTTGGTTATCAGAATCTCCTATTTCACCCAGCCTCATAATAATTAAAACTATTTTTGCCTCATATCTGCCAGTGCGCTTGAGCAAAGCATCTCCGTTCGGTGGAAAAGCGTCAAGTGTATCACCAATACGCACAATAAATCCATCCTTCCAGAAGGATCATCAGCGCTTATCAAACTTCTCCCGTTACCCCATACAAATCCAACGTTTTCTGGTGTGTACTAGCTGATTTCCCCCATATTTCCAATCAACCCCAAACTGACCCCAAACTTGTCAGCCCACGTACATTCTGCGGTAGTACCAAAAAAAATACATAAAGGTCCAAGGTCTCTCGACCTTTTCGCCCATATCTAAGCCAGATCTTCACTCCAACCTTTTCCACCTTCACATACAAGCGTCGTCTCCATAGACCTCAGCATACACCAATACTTCTTTAATCAAAGCTTAATATTAATCGACTTCACACAATACTCAACATGCCTTCTCAGTCATCAACCACCACAATGGCTGTGCCCGTTCCTCGTCGCCGTCTCTCTCCACTTCTTACCTCTTCCACCTTTGGCGAAGACGTCAGTTTCCATCTTGACACTTTCAAGGCCAACGACGCCAAAAACAAAACTCCATACGCCTTCCTCGAGAATGATTACGCTCCACCTGCTCCTCCGCCACCGAGCCCAATCAACTTTCCGGCCGAAAGTTGGAGCACCGCTTGCCGAAGATAGATTCTTCTCTCTTCACTATCACAAATATCTGGGAGTTGCATGAGAGGATTGTACGTTATCACGCATGTAATCAAGTGAGGGTGAGGATACATACATTCAATGTATCTTCTTCAGCACTCATGACTACCCCTGCATTTCGATTTTGCGTTTTGAATTTCGGCTTTGATTCCATCATACATCAGCAATAGTTTCTTGGCTCGTTCGCAACAGGAAGCATATGGCATATGGCAGACAATATTTCGTTCATCGACTGGACATAATTCCTTCATACGACATTCCGTACTCCATCTCCATGTGAGCAAGGACAACAGTTACAAAAACCTGGATAGGGCATCGCTCACGCGTGCATTGGGATTTTCATCAGGAGTTATAAAAATGGAGGCTATTATAATGGTTTATTCGATTCATTCCTTGGATACCTTAGCAGAATATGACCTTTTAGTTAATGGGATTTGCTTCTTTGGCTCTGCTTTCACGCTGCTGGCATGAGCGTTTATACATTTGGGGGAGTAAGGAAATGGAATGGAACTTGGATGTTTGGATGGATAAGGGCATTGTACATTATAGAGGTCTCTTTGAGGTAGGCTATGATTTGAAAGCTCTGATTTTTCCCCTAGGAAATGAGATACCTTTTTATGCTTGAAATTTACTATAAGTAATGACTGTATTATGATGAGAGGTTCCCTTTAGTTCCCCTTTTTTCTGATTCTTTACGCATCGATCGATACATGATTTTCCTCACATACCATTCTTAGTTATCATTTTATCTACACCATTCCATCCTCGAATAATTCCCCTCAACAAAGTACCCCGAGTCTCACCCCCACAACTCACCATGTGCAAATCCGGGGAAGCAAGGAATACGAACATGCATGCAAAAGATTCCAAACACGAAATCTAGATTCCATAATCTCATTACGATATATTTTCTGATAGTGGCTTGATAATGGCTTGATTTTAATAATAAGTAAATATGTACGCTAACAGCATGAACCAAAAAAGTTGCATGCATACCGAACCGATTCGGCTCGGGAGGAGGTTGAGGGGGAATGCAAGACACTTGCTTTTGGGAGGGGAAATTTAGGAAATTTAGTTCTATTTTTGGGAACGGCAATATATAGCTTTTTTATTATTTGAGTATTCTATTACCCTTAAAGGCATTTAGATATTCATGATATATTCATATTACGCCTTAACCATAACGGGGAAGTCCAACCTTAAACTCCTGATGCAGAAAGTGGGGGAAGATAGTGACATACACGTGATGGTGGGGCATTGGGAGGACAAGCCTGCAAGCTTATCTCTCCTCAGAGCAACTCTCCAACAACATTCTACATGCCGTAGTTCCGTACTCAGATATCCATCATGACAGCTACAGATGGAATCCCAGGTCAAGCAGGGCTTCCAACTCCCAATTCCACAAAATCTTTCTGGCATAGTGAACCTTCGAAGATCTTGCTGGGTCACAGAACCACCGAGAAACTTCCTTCTAGTGCAGATGTGGTTATTATTGGAAGTGGAATTGCGGGTGCTTCGGCGGCCCATTGGTTAAGAGAACATAGGGAGGGGAAGGGTCTTAACGTGGTGATGTTGGAGGCGAGAGAAGCTTGTTGGGGAGCGACGGGTAGAGTGAGTTAGGCTTTATCACGAGGTTACACATTCGGCCGTTCAAAAGCTGACATAGCTCCATAAATTCAGAATGGAGGACATTGCCAACCCCTTGTGTACGCTTCACCACCCGAAGTCGGGGCTTTTGAAGTGAGAAACTATGAGGATATCAAGTCTTTCGTCGCCGAGAATGATATCCAATGTGACTGGAGGTCATTGTCCAGTTGTCACTCTTACATGTCGGAAGATCAGTTTGAACAAGCTGCCAAACTTGCAGAAGCACTCAAGGTTCTAGATTCAAAGTTGGGCGATCTAGTAACCATCATCACCAAAAATTCCACAAATCCCTCATTATCCGACCTCCGAATTCCTACAGCGGCTGGCGCTATTACGACCTCCAAAGCTGCTTCTCTTTGGCCTTATAAATTAGTCTCCTGGATTCTCGAAGATTTGGTTTCTAAGAATGATTCCACAAATTCCCCAATATTCAACCTCCAAACTTCAACGCCTGTAACCAGCCTTCAAAAGTCATCTTCAGCATGGATCATCCACACTCCTCGTGGCCAAATTTCGACTCCCAAAGCCCTCCTTACAACAAACGCCTATACATCTCATCTCCTTCCCTCATTCTCCGATCTCATCGTTCCCGTCCGCGGAGAAATGTCTTCCCTTCTTCCTCCATTCTCCGTGTCACCATCCATAGAATCCTCAAATAAACCCCTCGAGTACTCTTACAGTATCATGGGCCACGCGGGTCAAAACATAAACCGAGATGATTATCTCGTCCAAAGACCTTTTTCGACAACCTCATCACAATACGGATCCGGAGGCGAACTGATGTTCGGCGGTGGTCGCCAATATGCCGCCCAAGCTGGCATGGGTGTCTTCGACGACTCATCAATTGATCCTCCCGCAGCAGATTATCTCCGCCGCGAATTGCCTCGTGCATTGAATCTCCACAACAATCAAGAGGAACTGAAGTCTACTTATGAGTGGAGTGGGATTATGGGATTTAGTAGAGATAATTCGCCTTGGGTAGGGAATGTTAGTGAGAAATTGGGAGGTGGAGACGGGTTATATGTTTGTGCCGGATTTACTGGACATGGTATGCCGACGGCGAGGTTGAGTGCGAAGGCAGTGGTGGGGTTGATGATGGGAGAGGAGGTGGATAGTGTTGATTTACCGGGCAGGTATGTGCTGAGCGAGGAAAGGGTGGATAAGGCGAGGATATTGGATGTGGTAAAGGCTGCGGATGAGATGGGTCATTTTTAACAGGATGATGGATAGGTTATTTGGTTAGTGCTTGAGGTATACATAAACGGCCACTTCAAATCTCAACAGTATTATCTTATCATCATCATTTATATGACCTGGCCTATTCATCCCCCAATATCCTCTTCATGTCGCCCTCCTTGAAACATACTATTATTTTTACTCGCCCATGCAATCATCAGATGAGTTCACCTTGCAAGTTGCAACTACGACTTCACCGACCGCCGGAAAGTCTAAGGCCATGACGAAAACGAGATTCAGTTTCTCCACAAATGAAGAATTTTGAAGATAAATCTGGTATGGACTTGGTGCCAACAAGACCTCAAGATGGCTACGTACCAGAATTTGGGAGCCCAGCTTCTCCGCTTAAGTTTCGGAGTTGAAAATTTCATCCTCCATGATCTCTTTTTTGATGAAAATCGATTCGACGACTTCCTTTTTGATGAAACCTTGCTCTCTGGTGTCCTCTTGCTTCATAATGTCGTTTTCGGTAGACTGCAGCTTAGTACTTTCGTTCTCAACCGCTTCCTGCTTAATGGGTCCCTCCTTGGCACCCTCCACCTTAGTGCTCTCCTTCACCACCTCAAAACCCATATCCCTCCTCACCCTCCCCAACTCCATATCCACCCAAACATTATACTCCGAATACGACCCTTTACCCTGCAAACGCTTCCGTTCCCTCAACAACCACCTCTCATACCCCTTCCCCGCTTTCCACTCCCAATCCCCAAATCAATCTCCAAGCCATTAAAATATCGACTCTCATGCGCAGTATCTCCCTTCCCCTCCAAACTCCGCAAACACGACTCCATAATCCCTCTCCTATACCTTACAATTAATCTCCCCAAACTAGGTGCACCTATATCACGCAATCCCTCTCGCGTTTCTCGATATACACATTATGCATCCTATTATAAATAAATCGCGTACACATTTCCGCGGGCTCGTACGCAAATTCTCGTTGTTGCGGTATCCAAATTCTGTAGCCCGTGGTATTGATACGTAGTTTCCATGATCTGCAGGCGTAGAGTTGCGATCCGTCGGCGTTGAGGTAGTAGTAATGATCATCTTTTTTGATGGGTTAGTGGTTGGAGCTAGGGGATTGAAGAGGGGAAAGGGGGGACGAATTGCCGAAAGGGTAGAATTTTGCTCCGTTTTTCTGGGAATTTTGTGTTAGTTTTAAAGGATTCTGGGCTTTATTGCGGATAATTGGGATTTTACTTTTTTTTATGAGCTTATCGGGGATTATGTCCATGAAATAGGCTAGGGACATAGTGATCTTTTGGATGGGCGACGGAAATGGAGATGGTGGTTTGCATGGAACAGGGGATGGGAAGCTGGTATTTAAGTTGCTAAACTTCAATGTGGTGATGTGAGGTTGTTACCTCTTTGAAGATTTATTGTATGAAAGCAGGATATTTAGTTATCAATACCTCATTTGGGCTTCCAATGTTGCCGCAGTGAATATGGTAATGCTTTGAGCCGGTGACAAAGATTCGGTGAACGTGTGAATGTAAGTACCCCACTCTCGGAGACCCCTCTTTCGGGACCACTCTTTTACATTAAAAATGACGATTTACACCTATTAATGACTTTACAGCGAAGCTATATAATTTATCAAAATTTTAACTATAGATTATTTATATAGATATTAATCAATTTTCAAAATTTTATAGATTTGTATATTATTTTCATTGAATGATTAAGCATTGATTTTCATTCTATATAAAATTTATATAAAAATATTAAAAATATTTAAATTTAATATAAATTTGTTATATATAATATAATTTTAAAATTTAAAAAGAATTATATTATTTTTATTAAAATTTATATTTAATTTTAATAATTTTTAACTTTTATATAATTTATATACAAATTAAAACTCAAAAATTTAATCTTTAATATCTTATTAAGAAAATATTACAATCTTTAAATATAAAATCGTAATTAGTTAAAAGAGATCGATGATTTCAAAGGTTTTATATTAAATAGAAGATTTTTATTTATATAAAAAACTTTTAAATAATATTAAAAAGTAAAAAAAGTCTTAGTTCTTTTAATTTATTATTCTGAATATAATTAATTCTTTGTAATATAATTTTTATAAAAAATTTAAAAATTTAAAACTTTTAAATATATATATATATTATTTATTTATAATTGAAATTTCAATTGATTTGATTTATTCTTTATATAATTATAAATAAATAAAATGAAGATTTTTATATAAAAAATGGTTCAAAAGAAGGTACTAGATTTAAACAAAAAGAAGTGTTACAATTCACGGTTTAGATTATAGTAGTATTATTGATGTCGGTGATTTAGATGCCGATTATAAAGAGAGTGTGATTTAATTGTTGCTTTCTAAAGGGCCTAATCATTTACAAATAAGAACCCAGGATTCCTAGGATAAGTATCCTAAACAATTATATTAGAATAGAACAATCATTTTAGAAAATATCATATTCTAAAGGAAAGCTTCTGGGATAAATATTCCAGGAAAGAAAAGGCCTCAAGATCAATCATATAATAAAGAACCTTAGGAACTTAGAAAGCTCCTAAAACTCCAAAAGCTTTTTTTTATTCATTAGTATATAATCAAAATAATTTCATAGTTTAGAAGCTTCGTATTCAATTCAGTTATTAATTAGTTTACCTATATTCTACTTGATCTAATAACGAATTCACTTTCAAATAAATAACCAATGATTAATAGCCTTAACCCACAACTACCAACTATACGAACCTCAGGCAGCCGCTGCCTCGACCAGATCGTTACAAGAAGCTACTAGACGATACTGATGATAGAAATGGCCAAAGAATATTTGATAACATTATTCATCCCAATGTATATCCTCACCCCTTATCAAAGCTTTAAGTATATTGAACTGTAATCTGAAAGCCTTTTGAGGATTTCCTCTACATCCATCATAGAACCCTACAAAGATCTAATAGCCTCTCCCGCCGTCATCGGCTGTCCATCCACATTCATCAATCTCTCCTTCAAAACCTTTATCTCCTCCTCTATCTTCCGAAATTCCTCCTGCTTACAAACATTCTTCCCCTCCCCCTTTCGCCGCTTCAGGTCTTTTTCTTCCCTTTCAATGGAATCCTCAAAATATTTCTTCCATGCCTTAACCATTTCTGTTCTTTCCCCATCCCAGCCTCCATGTTCGGCAATAGTTCTTTCCAGAATGAAAGTTGCTCTCTGTACTTCTGACCATCAGCCGTCCATTACTGTGTTCAGTTCTTTAATCAGTGCTGGATTTTTACCGGGATCGCGATCCCAGATCCCGTTACGTAGGCGGCGGGAGTGGAAGTTGAGGCGTTCCGTGGTGCAGTCTAAGTGGTGGATCGCGTGTATCACATTGGCACAGTATGCGGCGTCTTGTTTAATATCTATAAATTCGCGCCAGCGTGTGTATGCAGAGTCAAAGCCAGTAGAGTTGAAGTTTCTGGGCCAGCCGTAGGTGCGAAAAAGAAGTTTTAAATCCGCGTACTGGTCGATGTTAGAGAATCATCCGAGGGAATTTTGTGAAGGGAAAAAATGCGAGAAGGTTGATATCAATTTTAAGTGAGGAAAAGATTTGGCTCCGGTATAACAATACAAAAAAATGCGTACCTCTTCGCCACATTCACAGAGCATTCTACGGTCCTCAGAGTTGGGGATCCATTGGAGTTTCAGAAGCCTATTTGTGCACTCTTCAAAGAATTCCTTGACATGGCGGCTGGGTAAATGAGCGTGCGAATTGCGGTTAGGACCTTCAGGACGTTCAGGAAAACCAAAGAGACCTGGATCTTCGCAACAGCCGGATTCTTGGCCAATTACTGTGATGTGACCTGATTTGAGTTAGTACAGAGCTTGAATCATGAAATGAAGTTTTCGGGGCGAAGGAACCAATTTTGGTATTGAGTATCACTGCTGAGAGAATTTGAGGTGTAACATGACGAAAGAAAGATATTTTGGAGTTGTCAACCAGGAAATAAATATCATCATGCTGTAGTCCGCTTGAACATTGGATATAATTAGAGCAAGAATTTGGGGATGGAATGTTAAAGTATCATGGTGTGACTTTGAGCACGGCCCAAACTTCAAAAGTCCTAACAGCTTAAGATGGAATAACGACAGCTCGAAACATTACCATTTCTCGTATCAAGATACATTATCGGCCCACCATTTCCACATTCATTGATAACAGAGCTCCCAGGGTCTCACATACTCTCCATTCTCATCATCAAACCCTCCATCAGGAGAGCAGTAACCGGGATCTCGACTCTGCTTTAACACTTTGGGGTCCCTCATATCGGCAAAACTTCCACCGAGAATAAACTCATCTCTATTGCTATAGCCTAACATATGGAAGTGCTTGAAGAAGTTCAATGACTTGCGGCTCGAGATTATAGCTCTTGGCGAGATCCACGTCGATCGGAGGATCGTGGGGCGCATATTTGATGTAGGATGAGGGGAAGTAACGCAATTAGGCGAGTAATTCGTAATATTGTGTTACTATCGTTACTATCTCCTGCTGATCATAGACTCCAGTGTTTTCGGGTTCACCATGCAAGGTGATTCCAGGCAGTGTCTGCATTTGATAAGACATGATACGCGAGGGAAACACCGGAAATTGGCGTTCACAGATAGAAATGAAAAGAAATGAAAAAGAATGATTAATAATAAGTGAGATAAAATATACGACGGTATATATAGAATGATGGTAGCTAGCTGGGCATATATATACGTACTCCGTACTGGGTCAATCTTTATATCCATCTGATCATACCAATACGTGTACCTATAAGTTAGATTCAATATAAACATCACTTCGCTACCTAGACTAGTGCTGAGAGCTTCTCCTTTTCGAGGTGATTGCCTACCACAAAAAGGTGGAGCGGATGTAAAGATTATCAAGTGTCACGTGTGTAGAGCTAAGGCCATGTGAAATTAATCACATGACACTTCTCAGGTTCTGCCAAACATACCGCCTTAATTTTCTCGAATTTCACACTCCAGGAAAAAAAACCCTCCACTGACTGCGTTTGTCTAAGCACAACCTCTTGGTGCTCTCACCTATTGTCACGAAGTGAGGCTCTGAAGCCATTACTTTACCTAATCATTAAATGTTTAGGAAACTGGTTGGTTCTTTTCTCATCCATATTTAATGTTCAATCAATTGAGGTTTATATAGACTCTTCGCGGTCGGCTGCTCAATCCACTATACTGCCGCAATGCGTCGGCACAGTGGATTCGAAGTCCGAAATACTTATTCGTGAGGCATCATTCATTATCGCTTGCTCTTCAAGAGATATCTCAACCTCCCGATACGAGCAATTGGTTGTTCCAGATTCCCCCTGGTTCCAGTCTCCCAAGCGAGCTTGAAGTGCCTCTTCCACCCACGGCTGTATTTTTGAATAATACAATTGACTGGGAAGTGGTAGATAAAATTTTGGAGCAACACCCCTTGTTAGCCAAGGCCATCAACTTGGGCACATCCAGATACAGGGACGCCTTTTTCTTGGCTTCTCTGTGGGATATCTCACATCTCGTGCAGCAAAAAGCGCCGTGTACTTTTGAGTACGAGAGTAAGTATATTAAGGCAACCAACGGCGACAAAGATCTCATCAAATGCAATTTGACATGCAACCTCCCCGGTGTGCCTCCACTGAAGACCAGTGCGACTTCCACCCAAAAAGTAGGTCCAGTTTTCTGGAGACGGTGAGAACGTTCCACTGACAAAGTATTCCAGGCTCGAGCCACAAATGCGGCAGTTTTGCAACTACTTCTCGTGCTCGAAGAGAAGCAACAATTGGATGTCTTATTATCCTTCGTCACACCAAAATGGATTCCAAAAGACGCGAACAAAGGATTGGACAATATTAATGTTCAGCCCACAGATACGGCACCAGTAATGGCATCGTCGGGAATGATGTCAACCCTGCTAGCACCATTAGCAGCACAACAAAAACTAGCAACAGAACCGACACCAGTAGAGGAACCACAAGAAGAAATTCCACACAGTAACCATGTCACCCGCGAGGTCTTTAACTATGCAGCAAGATACCTACATGTTCCGAGATATACAGTTACTGTCCAACCGCATTCCAAAAGAAAAATTTTGAACAATTTCACCAGGTCAGGAAAGCTTAGACCTCCAAAGCGAACTTTTACCGTTGAGATCTCCTTGCCTGAGCATGGCATCCATGCAACCGCAATCGGAGACTCTTTCGGCCTCGTGGAGGCTCGGGCTTGTGTAAATTTCAAAAAACAAGCTGAAAAATATCACATTGCGAATCCCGTACCTTCTAATCCATTCGAAGGACCAATCTTTCTAAGTACTGGAAATGCGAAAAACTTCATGGATTTTTACAATGACTACAATGCTAAAATAGACATTAAAGTGATACGCGCGGGCGGCCTTTGGAGAGGTCAAGCCTTTGCTAAAGAGTCTAAAACTAGTGCTCATGAATTAATTGGCCAGGTCATTAAAAGAAACAGTTCCCATGGCCTTGAAACGTTAACTCTACTGGTGGCTGCAGTCACAATAGTCAAGCAAAGACCTGAGCTACTCTTGCATTATGTGGAGAACCTAGACTCAAGGACTGGAAAGTACGTCGGCAAAGCTCACCCTATGGAGCTTGAAGTACAGCAGAGTAGTCAGCATCTAATGCAGCGTACGGTGGAAACTACTTCAAAGTTAGATTTATCTACGCCACTTACGGATGAACCTGTGGGTTATGGTGTCTCTTTTTTTCCACGTCTTCCCGAAAATCCCCTTCTATATAATGGCATAAAGACTCAGCGACGTTCTCATGATTTACTTACGTGGTACCGCCGAAGGCCGGCCGGTCAACGACACGGGACTTTACTTCCTCTAAACAAGCATTCTTCAGAAGTACTGTGTCACGTTGAGAGCAACCAATACTCAATTATTGTCGGGAGAACCGGGAGTGGAAAGACGACTCAACTGCCTCAGATCATTTTGGATGATTGTATTCGCAAAGGGCATGGTGGAACATGCAGGATCATCTGCACACAGCCACGAAGGATAGCGGCGACTTCAGTAGCTCAACGTGTTGCCGAAGAACGCGGTCAAGAGTTGTGCGATCAAGTTGGATACAAAATAGGTTCCAATGCCCAACTTCCCAATCTTAGAGGAAGCATCACATATTGTACCACAGGAATCGTCTTACAACAATTAATTCACTCCCCCGATGATCTACTTGATAACATCTCACATCTTATTATTGATGAGGTACATGAGAGAGATATAAATATTGATTTCCTTTTGACTATATTAAGAAAACTTATAAAGGAGAGAATGGAATCTGGAAAAAGGACTCCTAAAGTGTGTTTCATGAGCGCCACCGTGGACGCCGAAATGTTTCAAGAATACTTCGCTTCAACAGAAACGGCCGTAGGAGATGTATCCTGCCCAGTTCTTCATGTGGAGGGTCGAGCTTTTCCAGTCGAAAGGCATTATCTTGAGAATATCATGGACAGTTTCAAAGAAACATATCCAGGAAACCATGCCATTTGGGCCTTTCTTGGTTCTACCTCGATTCAACGTTATCTGGAGAGTGAAGAAAATGATAAAAAATCCAATCCACCGGTTGATGTTGAGACAGAGAAGGTTGACTCTGTGATTAGATGGGATAGCCACGACGATGACCCCGATAGTCTGCAAAATCAGATGAAAATGGATCTCGTGGAGGGCCTAGTACCCGTTGAATTAGCTGCGGTTGTGATTGCACACATAGCGCAAACCACAGAGGATGGTGCAATATTACTTTTCTTGCCAGGCTTACGGAGTATCAATGCAGTTGAAACGGTTCTCAGGACGCAATACATCCTTGATGTAGACTTCAACAACGAGGATAAGTTCAAGATTTTCAAATTACACTCTTCTACTTCAGATGAAAATCCAGAAGTTTTCAAGCCAGTCTCCCAAGGTTGTCGAAAGATCATTCTAGCCACGAACGTGGCCGAGACTTCGATCACCGTCAACGATATCCAATATGTTGTGGATACTGGGAAACACAAGGAAGATAATTTCCACCAGAAGTTACGAATTTGGTCATTGCCTTGTAAATGGGTTAGCAAGTCAAGCGTGAAACAGAGATCCGGTCGAGCGGGCCGTGTTAGGAACGGTAGTTATTACGCTCTCTTTTCGTGAGTCATTCGTCCAACCCCTTTTCACATTTCACGATTGACATGATGCAGAAAACGACGCTACGATTCCCTAAAAACAATTTCTCGTCCAGGAATGCGTCGTGTCGATTTGCAGAGCATGTGTCTTGCAATTAAAGTTCTGGGTTACCCCGAACGCATTCAGGATTTCTTAGCTGGCGCTCCAGAGCCACCGTCACCACAAGCAATACAGTCAAGCGTTGAAAGTCTTAAAACACTTGGGGCGCTCACCGATACTGAAGCGATCACTCCTCTGGGAAGTTTACTTGGAAAGCTACCGCTGCGCCCGGCACTCGGCAAAATGATAATTCTCGGAATAATTTTTCGTTGCTTGGATTCTATGATAATTTTAGGGGCCCTCGACGGCATACTCCTTCATGTAAGGCCACTAGGCATGGAAGAAGAATCTGATTCGGCAATGAGGGGGTTCGCAAAGGCATCCAAGAGCGATCATATCGCCATGCTCAATGCATTCCGTGCGCTTCGTAATCTGGAAGAAGTTGATGGACCTGAAATCATGCGCTCATTTGCACACCAGAAATTCCTTAGTGTATCGAGTTATGAAAAGGTAAAACGATCCGTGGTATTAATCCAGCGGGCGCTTCAGCGGGACGGCTTGATACAAAGTTCTCAGACGGCTGTCGCCCACGGATCTGGTATAGAATATGGCGGGGCTCTGCTGAATGAGAACTCGGATCAAGACGGCTTAATAAGGGCACTTCTTGTGCAGGGCTTGTACCCGCATATTGGTACATGGGATAACCACACATCCAAATATCAAATCGTGACTAATGAAAAAATTCACGTCTCGATCCATCCTTCTTCCATTAACAACCCCAAGCAGCGGCCCAGTCTGCACATTGAGGGCATCAAATCACCATCAAAGGGAAACGCTAGGTTATTATCCTTCAGCACCCTTGCTCTTCTCAGCGAGAACAATCTTGTTATGCACCGCACAACTGCCGTCACTCCTTTCATGGCATCTTTATTTAGCGGAACTTTGAACCAAAACGATGTGAATGTAGACAGGATCGAGGTTGACAAATGGCTACCATTCGATGTGCAGAGCACAGAAGAGCATAAGGCCACAGAAGGTGCTGCGGCACGTACAATCGTACAATTCAATAAAGCACTGCGACAATTGGAGAAAGCTGCCTTCAGGGATTTGGCCAAGGGTGTATATGTTGTTGACAATGAAATGTCTCGTGTTCTGGGTAATGCGTTGAGGAATTTGCTGGTTATTGAGCAAGATGTCGAAAGAGCTGCAGAAGAGTATGAATTTGATCTTAATATGAGCATACACAAATTTTGGACTCCATCAGAAACGCTATCTGAAAAGATACCACTTGAACAGCCACTCGATGAAGAAACACCATATGATGAGGATTCTCACGAATCCTTTCTAGAATTAGTGGAAAGTGCTTTGAAGGTACCCGTTACCACTGGAAGCCATTCAAACACCACGTTATCCGCTTCAAAAGCTGCGTCATACTTCCCTACATGGAAGTGGAAGCCGAGCACCAAAGAAAATAATAGTAAAGAGTCAATATATCCACCATGGCGAACCCTACATATAAATACAGACCGAAAATCTGGAAAATAGCCGAACGCCCTCCAGAGCTCCTTGTGGATTTCATATCACAAATCTAATAACGAATTTGATGATATTAGGATCCCTTTCGAACAAATCAATTAATACTTCTACACCTTTCGAGCTCACTTCTGATACTAGGTGGTTTTGTTTCGTATCCCGAATCTAGCCATTTTGAATATCAAAGACTTAAAAGATTCCTTCTGGAGAGCTCGAGTGGTATCCTCAAGGCCGCATTTAGTCGCTCACACACGAATGCATTACAAGCTTCAACTGACTGCGAAATTCCTTCCACGACAGCTTCTAATATTTCTTATAACTATACAAATGTCGCGAAGATCGAAAAACTGGGAATTCCTTCCGAGCAAGTTGAGTACAGCAGGGCCCCGGAACGAACGAAATTGAATATTTTGCAGTGGATGACATAGGATATTGATATCATTATCTGTGTTGTTGTGGATCAGGATAGGGACAATGGCCTATTTAACAGGGAATTTTAGGGCATGGAACTTTCAGAGGGAGATTTATGTGGATAAATTGATTTGATCTCAGTAGAATGGCTCCGTCTTTACCTTTCCCTTTTCTCGAAGGACCTCGCGAGATGAGGGGCAAACACATCAAAGAATGAGTGCCTAGATCTCCATCGCATTGTGGTGATTGAGGCATGCAGGGAACCTTCACATGGGTGGAAAGAATATATGATACAGCATAAGTATTCATAGTTGATGGCTGATACCATATTATTTAATGGTGCAACAGAATTTTCTTTCACAGGGTATAAAATACTACAATTCTCATCTCTAAACGCAGTACACTCTATTCAGTTGTTCTCTTTGATTCCTTAGTCTCATGTGATAATAATCATCTCGAATTTAAATCTTTGGCAAAATTATATTGTGAGGCCAAGAGGATATATTAGTCAGAACTAGTTTGGGAAATGGTTAAATATTAGATTTTGTTTTCAAGTCGGTAATGATATCTTGCACGTAGTTTGATTTATTAAAAATCACTTATAAATTCAATTAATAAAGAATTTACAACAACAACCATCTTTCTTACTAGTACAGTATCTTCAAAACATGTGATGCTGATCTACACGGTGTACCTGACCCTAACAGGGATGTTTTTCCCATTCAACTGCATCTCCTCCTCCAAAGAACCCAGACGAATATCGCCGGCAAGGTTGCTTCTTTTGCCATTGGACGATGAAAGAAAGTTTGTGAACGATTTTCGTAATCTTATAAAGGGATGGCTGCCTAGAAATCGTTCCTGAAGAGGACAGAGCGTTGGAAGACACGCGCTCAACACTCCAACGTTGGTTTCAATAATGGCCCAGTAGAAGACTGGAGCATAGATCCCTGATTATTACGTTAGTTTTGCATGTTTAATCACCATTGGAGTTGTTGATACAAAATAACTCACAAGTTGTATCCGCTCTGGGAAAATCGTCGAGGATGGTGTAGATTTCAATGGGTTCGGGTAGTGTTGATAATACTGAGTAAATCATTAAGAAGAGACATACCTATGATGAAGATCTTCCGGGTCGTAGGCATCTGTAATTTCCAGACTTTGTACACTGGTAAGAACAGTACTAGAACTAACGCAAACATGAGCTTTTATTTTTTTTGGCAAAGACAATTCCCTTGTTTGAAATTCTCACAACCCGTGGCAACATCTGTCGCTAAAGCGGTGGTGAAGAGAGCCTCTTGGTTCACGCAGGTAAACTCAAGGTTGAAATTCCATTGTGATGCAATAGGATAGGTGTGCATGAGACTTGAATGTCAGCTGGGTGTGCATGAGACTTGAATGTCAGCTGGGTGTGCAATACATACACATGATAAACGAGAGTGTCTCGGGGACAATGCGCACAATATCACCGTATTTTTCGTGTGCGATCTTAAGTCGATATTGACTTATGCCAAGAAGTGCAAGAACGGCAAGTGGAATGTCGGAGCTAACGAGGTAGAGCGGACCTGAATACGATGCCAGCGGGTGAAAGTAGATGTTGTAAATCGGTTTAACTGTGGCGGAAATGATAATCGAAGTATGAGATGAGGTTAGGATTGAACTATTTGCTTGCTGTGCAAAGCTAGCTTCACAGAAAGACCAAATACCGGAAAGAGACAATACGCCAATATTGCCGTGGGCATTAGATCAAGGCGAGCTAGCACTTGGCTGTAGTCCATTGTGGAGATGAGATATCACATGAGGGATAGAGAGGTTACAAGAACAAAAGAGGCGAGGAGACAAAGGGAAAATGTATGAATGAATGAATAAAGGGGGGACCGAGTAAACCGAAGGAAGGAAGAGAAGGAAAGGGGAAAAGGAACCACAACGGGACAGGAGGAAATCACAAAAGTGTGACCAATATGCATGTAAAAGCGAATGTGGCTCTCACCCCGTCTTGATTGTTATCATCTAACTTGGAAACCTTCTCGGAGCTAAAAACATAGTGCTTCTGAAGCTGGCCTTCCGTAATCATGACCAATCTGTTTGTTAGGCTTTCATGGCATGTTGGCCTGTTATCATGGGCAAACGGCAGAGAGATGTCTAATTACCTTCCATATTAGGATATAAAGTTGCTTACACACCATGATTACTTCCGATATTTGATTCAAAAGAGCGAATGTAACCCCATTTTTTTTATAGATAAGAAACGATTACGACTTACATGTCCTGAATGATCTAGATGGGGCTTACCGAGGTATTGATTGAAGCTTTAGCACAATCACCAGCTGCTAGAATTGAACCCCAATTTCTTTCTGAAGGAAGTGCTCTACCCGATATAAACCCCCAGGATTGATTGCCGACACGTATTAATCTACTCGCTTCGGTAAGGAAATGTCAGCACAGTACGAACCTTTTCCGACAAGCCTTGCTCAATTTCTTCATGAACCGCGTTTTTCGGAACCTGATCCAAATTATGTCAGATCTCGCCGGAGCAATTCTCAGAATCTCACTGAGTGTGTAACTTTTGGTGGTAGACTGGTCCACTTTATCGGTGAATACTAACCTGTTAATGGACTTTCTTAATGTCCCGTCCTTACTGCAAATATTGCATGTTAGGACTTAGATACGGGATAATACACGGATAAAAGTCGAGTACCTGGCGACGTAAGAGATAGCTAGATGTTCCATTCGACGAATCAATATCCAACCTGACATTCTTCTCACTCTCATTGCGAGATCAGGGGTTGCTTTTGATTGGTTGCTTCTACCAGTGAGCGGGTGAATGCTTCACATAAAATGTGCGAAATGAGCGGCACAGTATTGGACAGAACCATCTCTATAAAGTGTTGTTTCCTCCGTACTATTGAAGAGTCAACTCGCGCTGTGTAGAACAAAAATATGGATTTCCTGCAGGCACCTCCACGGGGCATCATTTTTGACCTTGGAGATGTCCTCTTTAAATGGTCCGCCAACACAACGACGACTATTTCACCTCGAAAGCTGAGAGAAATCCTCGCAACACCTGTCTGGAATAGCTATGAGCGTGGTAAAATCACCAGGGATGTCTGTTATGAGCTGAGTTCCAATCAATTCTCCATCCCGGTGTCTACGATCGCCGAGGCCTTTGCCCAGGCACGCAAATCTTTAGAACCCGACCAAAAAATCGTTTCGTTTCTTCACGAATTGAGGAAATATCCTGCTATCCAAGTGTATGCCATGTCAAACGTAGGCAAAGAGGATTTTGAAGAACTCGCAACCAATATAGACTGGCTCCTTTTTGATCGAGTGTTCACTTCGGCGGCGGCAGGAATGAGAAAGCCAGAGCTAGGGTTTTACAACCATGTCCTAGACGAGCTATGCTTAAATGGCAGCCAAGTAGTATTCGTTGATGATAAGGAAGAGAATGTGAACGCAGCTCGACAGTTGGGCATTCGTGGATATGTTTTTGGGGAGTCGACGATTCATATATTAAACGAGATGTTTGATAGCCCAGTCAGTAAGGGCTGGAGATATATATTCCAGAATGCGAAGCAATGTAACTCAATCACTATAAGTGGAGTCACTTTTGCGGACAATTTCGCAAAATTGCTGATTATGGATTCGTTGCAAGACCGGTAAGTCGGCATTTTGCGAGCTACGCAAACGGATATTCTACAAAACAATGACTAACATCTGCTGTCAGGACTCTCATGGATCTCAGCTGGGGTTCCAAAGAGACTTGGAACTTTTTTGCCGGTAAGCAATCTGTTTACGCATAGAAGCATATTGAGGAACTAGCCGCTAATAAAGGTAAATTGTAAGGCAAGGCAGTGCTTATTCCCGGAGGCATTTTCCCCGATGATCTTGACACTACATGCCTCGCTCTGACAGTTCTGCGACCATCATCGACCAAAACTATCTCATCACTTCTCAACACCATGGCCGAGTATGTCAATGACGACGGCACTTTCCAGGTAAGCCATCAAGATGCTAGTACACCGGAATGACAGTGACGGAAGCCTGTTTGCTAAACAGTGCAACAGACGTATTTTGACAGGAACAGAAAACGAGTTGACCCTATTGTCAGCGCGAACATCCTCGCTTGCTTTTATTATTATAATCGTGGCCACGAGTTCGAGCGTACCCTCCAACTTGTACGTTCGATGCTCTTGGATCGTTCCTATGTGCGAGGGACTCGGTACTATACATCCCCGGATTGCTGTCTAGGCTTCATCGGACGCCTGCTGCGCTCATCAAGCGATTCCCACCTGCATATGACGTTAGGACCACTCTTGAAGTTGCGGATGCGTGAACGACTTGGTCTGGATGGCAACGCATTAGATTTGGCTATGCGTATTATCACGTGCAGCCAGATGGGTATTGAATGCGAAGACGATCGCCAGGCTTTACTCACCTTGCAGTGTGAGGATGGGAGCTGGGAAGCTGGATGGATGTATCAGTATGGGACCGATGGGATGAAGATTGGAAATTGTGGGGTAACGACAGCAATGGCTGTTGCAGCACTGTCGTCAAGATATCGTCGGTCCTAATTCAATGCAGCGCCAGAATATTATTGAGAATAATCTAGTGTAAACACTGCAGTTGGATATCAGGATACTCGCAGATACCACGGGCATACAATCAGGAGTGTGAATGTGAAGACCACCATCAGTCAAAATAGATAGATATTTTGCGGACGTAACCTCGTATTGAATATTTAGACATAGGTATATATACATATATCTATATATGAAAACATAAACAAATCCATCATAAGAAAAATGAAGTAAGTAAAGTTAAATAAAAAATGATGTTGGCAAAAAGTAGTCACCCTTCTCCAGACAAACCGGATATAAGAGCCGAAAAATGTTCTTATTCCCAGTCGATGGATGGATGGATGATAAGTTCTCACTTACGATTTGCGCCTGTTTAAGAAAATTTCAGATGTGCAACAAAATTTATTTAGAGTGGAACTAGCACGTGATGTTTTTTCCAGGATGTGTGAGACTTCAGCGTAGGCACGTGATGTATACATATAGATATATAGATGAGGGTGTTAGGTTGGATGGATAGAAATGGATGAGGAACTTCTCTACGCAAGTTTGATAGCGTTACCATCAAATTCAAAAATGAGCCATTGGTGCTTTTGATTTCGTCAATGATAGGTAGGTAGGTGTGTACTCCGTAGGGAGCTAGCCACGTGATTTAGATGAATGAATGTATCCGCATGAGCATTTCACTAACGAAGAGAAGTACACATGCAGTGCAAATCTGCTACGAGTACATAATAAAATACACTTCGCTCAGACATCAAGAGGATGAATGGGGAAACCTTAAACTTACTAACTTGCCACACTTCCACATTTTAACCTTAGAATATGATGATGTGATGATGTGATGATGTGATGATGTCAGTGTCTTGTGGCTTAGCACCAGCTCATCGCCCGCGCCCAGAAAATCCGTCACCTGTTTTCAACTGCAAGAAAAGGGCGAAGCACAAACATTCCCACGAATAATAAGCAAAACGAATCATAAGCAAACAAATAACAAGCATTCAACATATATGACTGCACGCACCGAATATCTCCTGTCGTAGGTATCCGTACATACTCATATTGAAAAATCGGCAAAATGGTGAGGAATTACTTGATAGCATGATCGGTTGTGGTATAGTATGTATGCATCAGAAGATGGAATAGGATGGGATGCATGTCGGCAGACGAGACAAACACGTATGTGTAGCGTAGTATTTCACAGCCCTGAAAAGCTCCGAAGAATACGGAATAGATAGAGTAAGAAAAGTCAAAGATAGATGAGCTGTTGAACAAAGCAAATACAAGTCAAATGCTCGGCACACGGTAGTAGATCTATACTAGGTACGTATAGCACGAGATGAAACCAAGAAAAAGAATGCCATGCTTTTGTGTTCATGGAAGTGAATAAATAGGTAGGGCAGTGCCTGAATGAGTCGTAAGAGCTCTTAGGTTGAAGAATCTTGGAAAAGTTGGATTTTGGATTCCGAGGTTCATTAGATTCATTATTAAAGTACTTAGCTACTCTACCTATTTGCATTTCGATTGTTGTCGACTTTTGCCTTTTATAAGTTTACTATAACATAAGGGTACCTTATCATACCATACGATACGATACTATTGTCTGACTTGCAAAGCCATCAATCATATCATTAATTATTGACCTACCTATCTACCTACCGAGAGAAAGAATTGCTACAATACAACACAACGCAATATGGGTGTTCTTCCAATCGATACTCGTGAAGCTTTACATTTGAATGAGCTTCATTCAAGAGCTACTTGTTTCCGCCGAGGATACGGGTTCGTATTTTCCATCTCCCTCTCTCCTCCCTTCTCTCTTCTCCTCGTTTCACCCATGAAAACCACCCATCTCAAACCCAATCTACAAGTCCCCAATTAACTCCCCAAAAAGCTACTACAGATGTAATTCCGCCTGGTACCGATTCGGCCGCTGGGTTTTAGCAGGCATTCTCATATTCATCGGTCTCATACTCTTGTTTGCCATTATGTACGTATTAATCTCATCTTCCTTCCTTCCTTTCTTCCTACCTTTCTTCCTTCCTTCCCTTCTTCCTTCCTTCCCTTCTTCCTTCCTTCCTTCCTTTCATATCCCCCCTCCCGTAAAATCACATCATTTCATATAATATAATACAATACCAGAAACTAACAAACTCCCCAGGTGCATCACCAGAAGACGTCGTCGTCGCAATCAAATTCGCTCCGGTAATACACCCATGACGTATAATCAACCTAATACCTATAATTCGCAACAACAACAATATGCGCCGCCTGCGGGGGCACCACCGCATCATGGAGGTGGGAATCAGGATTATTATGGGGCGAGTGGGGTGACGCAGCCGCAGAATGCGTATGCGAAGTAAGGGGTTTGAGAAGTATGGAGGATGCGGTGGAGATTTGGGATGGGATGGGATTGGTTTGGTTTATGGATATGGGAATGGGAATTGGAAGGGTATATGGATATGGATATGGAAATGGATATGGATATGGGTATGAAATGAAGCACAATAATGATGAAACGATGATGGTTCGAAAGAGGGAATGGTTATGGTTATGGATATGGTTATTACAACGGAATGAAATGAAATGGAAAGGAAAGAAAAGGCCAGGACAGGACAGGAATTACAGAATAATGATAAACAAAGGAGTACATTGGCGTTCGTTCGCGCTGATTTATTTACTATTAAAGGATTTGGAAAATGATAAGGTTACTTATGAGATAGGGAGTGAGTGCAGTTATATGACGAAATGAAATGAAATAATAGTAATTAATGAAATTCTTTCATTTTGGACTTGTTATTCTTATTATTTTGAGTATATATATAGATTATTATATTCTAATAAAAAAAATTTAAATTTATAAACAAACCCAAGAGTGTTATTTAATTTTTTAATTTTAAATTTTAGTATTAAATTGATTTTTTAATTAAACAATAAAAATCTTTTAACATTTTTTTAAAAAAATTAGATTTAAATTTAATAAAATAAATTTTTATAATTTTTATAATCTATTTAATCCAAAGCATCGGCTGGAACTCTATACCTGATAGAAAGATATCTCTCGATACGGGGAAGTTCCACCAATCTAGAGAGGGTAACATCAAGATTGCAGACGCAGGACCGCGCACAGCGGCCAGTATGGTTGAAGTTAGTGTCAAAAGCCATAGAAAACTAAGAGACGTACGTCTTCAAGGCTTCTGTTAGCAGCTGAAGCAGCCCAGAATTCGGGACTTGAGAGTGATGTAAGGTCGGTGATTCTGAAAGCAATGGAGAGACTACCAACTGGTACTCCAGCCTGAAAAGCTCTATATTGAGAATCATAGATGATAAGGAAGCTCCGATGAGTATCTCATGTATTTTGGCCGCGAATTGTAGCAAATTGAGTCGAGTGTTTATATCTGCAGTGCCCACACCTATCGAGGTCGCATAGATAGTAGAAGCATTCAAGAATACAAAAACTATGGTGGACATGATTGGTAATATGTATGCCCGCACCGCATAACGCTTTCTATCATCTTCCGGATCGAATCGCTTGCTTGGTCTCTCGGCTTGTTGCTTCCGATTTTTAAACAGTGTAGAAATGAGTTTAAATCGACAGAAAGGCCAAGAAAAAATAGATTGAGAGATTTCTCTTCTTCATGATGAGAAATTATTAAACAGTGCCTTCCAGATAGCGATGAAATTCATATTATGATACGACTTGGAAATGCTGGTGTATAAAAATGGTCATCGTGCCTCACGCATGCGCCTCGAGTTATGCGATTACACGAAACCTGAAGGAATGAAGGGGCGAAATGAATTGACGCTCCAGGACACCTTACCATTGACGAAAAGCAGCTTCCAGTGCCTGCATCTGCCAATAGTGTTGAAGCATGACACGGGGTTAATTATGCGGACTGTGAAAAATAAAGCTGGTCATAAGTGCACTTGCGACTTTCATTGCGATACGAAAACATGAGCTCTCAGCCATTCAAGAATATACTGCAGTACTTCATTCTTCATGCTTAAAACTTTGAGCCATCGTCTTGTAACCTCATAGAAACATCTGAAAACTCGCTGAATCGAATCTCCAACCCATAGAATCAATCAAAATAAGAAATAATTGTTACACCGGCCAATCCTAAAATACAAAGCCAGTAATGTGCATATTCCCATTCACTCTAAGTTGTATATCTCATCATCACTTCTTCGCGATCAAATCCCCCAATGCCGCAATTTCGGCACCACCAAGGAGATCAAAAATAGCGATAGAGACCCCAAAATCTCTCCGAATCCAATTACGCAGCTCTACAGCCATCAACGGGTCTGTACCGTAGTCCGATAAGTTGCGATGAGAATCTACATCATCCACTGACACATCCAATGCCCGCGCCAGCTTTGCTTTAAGGGCCGACACAACCACCACGCTGCGGTCTTGGGGGGTCGCCGCTTGCCGGAAAAGGACAGCCGGGTCTTCCTGGGTTGACACGGTAGATTTGTGCTTATTGGCATCAAAAACCTGGGGAGCGCTAAAGCCAGCAAAGAGAGGTCGTTTTAAAACATCGATCGGCGCCTCGCCCCGAGCATGAACGTGTGTTTGCGTTATCACACCAATTAGAACTTGGCTATCCTTGGTGCCGAGAAGGGGCAGCAAAGGGTTACAATAATGCTCGAGCAGAGCGAAGAAATCAGCCTCCTCAACTTGAGACATGTCACCGACGTTTTGGCGGTTATGTTGATATTCTCTTGTCTCGGCAATAATACCGATGGTCCGCATCCAGCCGAGGTTTATTGCAACGGAACCTCGATATCCAGCAGCGGATCCGGATCTTGCTAAAGCGTCTTGAAAGGTGCAACCAGCTGCGTAATTACTTTGTCCGGGGGATCCATAGATGCCTGCGATGGATGAGAGAAGGATGAAGAAATCCATATCTTTAGGCAATAGTTTGTGAAGATTCCAGCTTGTATTGACCTTGGACCGTATCGTTTTTGTCCATTGTGCATGTGTCATGTTTTCAAATACCGAGTCCTGACTTCGTGTAAGCTCGTGTTCTCATAACCGACAGGAACTGAAAAGAGAAATTCGGGGAATCTAAAGAGGGAGGTTGGAGTTGTTGAACACCTATGGAAGGAATTGTAGGAGAAGTGCATACCTGGAGGACCATAGCTGCGTTTATGCATCCTTTAATAGGCGGCATGCTGACGGCACAGTCTTGTAGCAATGCTGCTAAATCTGTGTCTGATGCAGCATTACATATTTTTGTTATTACGCGAACACCTCTTCTTGCAAATTCTGAGACTATATTCACCGCTGCCTGGGATGAAGTCCCCGAAGTTGAGGGAACAATGAGATTCTTAGCCCCTCTATCCGCCATCCATCGAAGTATTGCGCGGCCAATACCGCCGAACCCCCCAGCAACGACGTAAGATGCATTAGCATCCATATTGCAGTCACTTTTGAGAGTCAAGAATTTCTATTCGATTGTTAGTGAATAGGCATCTTGGTTATGGCTTCAGGAGGAGAGACCTACAGGAACAGGATCCTCATCTCGCCCCGTCATGATAATGCGGCCTGTATTTTTTCCACTTTGCATATACCGAAAAGCTTTCTCGACGCTAGACGCAGGATACAAGTGCAAAGGCTCTGGCCCGTCAATATCTCCCTGAGATATCAAAGTTACCACCTCTATTAGATGACGGAATAGCTTGACATTTGTAGCGGAGAGATGTACGAGGTCAACAGCAGCAAAGCTAGTATTTCTCGCAAAGCTACCCATAGGTAACGACGAGTCTATCCCGATGTCCGCTTTCCCGATCTCCACAAACCTTCCATACGGTGCGATGCATTTCCAACTTGCACGAAGTCCTTCCCCTGATAATGAGTTAAGCACAACGTCAACGCCGTAACCCTTAGTTACGCGCATGATTCCTTTGGCAAATGTTGTATTACGGCTGTAGAAAATATGATCATCAGGAATTCCAAATCGATCAATAAGAAGTTTCTTCTTTTCGTCAAGCCCAACAGTGGTAAAAACTTCTGCTCCAAGCCACTGTGCCATGGCGATGGCCATTTGACCAGTGCTACCTGCACCGGAGTGTATGAGAATTTTCTCTCCACGTTGCAGACGTGCTATATTTATCAATGAGTAGTATGCCGTGATACCAGGATTAGCCGCCGCCGCAGCCTCGTTGAACGACAAGTTGTTGGGGATTTTGACGACTCCATCGGCTCCAGTCCTCGGATGACTCTTCATACATCCCACAGAGACCATCACCACATTTTATGTCATACTGACACTCGTTTCCAGTTCTTGTGACGACTCCTGCGCATTCAACACCAAGCCCTTCCATACCTAGCCGACCAAGTGCCACAAATACATCGCGAAAGCTAATTGGCCATGAAACGGCCTCGATTTCAACCTCATCCGGACCCAACGCGTCGTTATATGCAGTATCTTCCACGAAACGTAGTGCGTCTAGCATACCTGGAACCCCGATCTCGAGAGCTACTGGTGGGCTAGGTTTCTATGGTTCCGTACGAAGTTGTGGTCTCACGCGTGCCAACCGTTCGGCATCGAGTTCAATTCCTTTCATCAAGCGCGCAATCGTCAGATGGCCACCTCGCACAACAAACTCAATCTCGGGAGATGCAGGCTTCTCTCCAAAACATTTGTCAAGGATATTGAGCACATGTTTCACTGTCGTGCTCGGGGAACCGGACTCGGCAATCAGAGTCACAATATGCTTCTCAGGTTCCTCAGACTGGATACTGCGCAGAAAACCTGTCGCAACGGCGGGGAATGGATTGATCAGTTTGCCATCAACTAATGGCAGAGAACCAACCCATAAAATAGCTTCTACGCCTTAGACAAGCTCCTTCAATGACCAGAATTCTTGCTCAGACAAAGAACTTAGCCGTGTCATGTCGAACTCCACTAGAGAAACAATGATGTCTTTGGGCGAAGGGCACCATAATCCTTCCATGAGATGTTCCAATTCCAAGATCTGCCGTCAAGAGAGGGGTGTATTCGCGCCACTCTTCAGTACTAAGCCACCAACCCGGAAGCGAGCCGAAAGTGACATTAGCACGAGCACTATTCGTAGCGACTACTTCCTGCATAACGATGTGAGCTCCAGGTCTGAGCAGCTGTCTTACACGACCTAGAGTTGCCTCTAGATTAGATGTAGCATGAAGAACGAGGCCTGCAATGACTAAATCATAACTCTCAAGCTCAAAACCTTATTTAATGGGGTCACGTTCCAAGTCAACCGTCTTATACAGCAGTCTTCCATGGAAGTCTCCAAATTCCTCTTGTGCAGCTTCGAAAAACATTGGTGAAATATCGGTATACGTATAGCTGGCGAGACGGTATTGACCTGTCTCTTTCTCGAAGCGGTTGAGAGAGCCGATGATATGACGAGCCATACTTCCAGTTCCTGCGCCAATCTCGAGAATATTAAGAGTGGGCTTCTCGTGTGATGCTATGTCGAGGAATTTTGCAAAGCGGCCATCACGCATTTGCTGGTTGGCGAGGTAGGTCTAGAGCTTTTCGGCGCTCTTGGTTGCGAACATCAGCTCCAGAGGATCTTGTTCCCCCCGTAGAATGCATGGCAACATACGTCCAATGTTCAAAAATACCTCACAGTCTGGATTCATTATTTCGCACTCTTCTAGAAGGAGGTCAAGTTCCGAGTCGCTAATATCTTTGGTTTCGCCAGCTGATGGTGTGGCGTAGAGGTGCTCCAGGGATTTTAAATACCGCCGCATGTAGCTTAGAGCACGATCGAGATCCACTTCTTTGAAGTCCCGCAAAGCCTTTCGCGTAGCCAATCTCATAGCCGATTCTACCTTCAGCGCCCATTTGTCTTCAAAGGTCTCATTGTGGACCAGGGCAGTATCATCGCACAATTTGAGCAGCTCTTTACCAGTCAGAGAGCTCAGCTACGGTTTCCAAGAAATGTTGTAAAGCATTACTTGGTCATCTGAATCATCTTTGGACTGGTTGGGTTGTGAAACTTCCGTCAAAATCACATCCTCTACGGAACAAAGCGGTGAACCATCGTCAGCCAACGCCCATACAGAGCCTTTGAGACTACCAGGGCTGTCGGGTTCTGCATGGAGAATTGAATTCAGACGCAACGATGATCTTGAACCGCTCCATGCTTTAGCCGAAATCCATACGTTTGCTATCCGTTGCGGAACAACTGTTGCACTATCTTCACCAAGACCTTTCGAAATCTGTACTAGGAGAAGATGAATGCCTACGTCTAGAACAGCTGGGTGGGCAGGGCTTTCAATCATCTCGTGCTGTTTCTTAAATGCAGTTAGGTCAATTCGTGCAGTTGACTTTTTATTACCGTCCCATTCAATATCTCGTAGAAGCTGAAATGTCTCGCCATAATGGATGCCATGTTCATCGCAAAAGCGGTAGAAGGCGCTTCTTTCCACAGTCTCGTTGCAGAACTCGGTTGCTTCCTGAAAGCGCTGTCGGAACTGCTCTTGCCAAATTTGGTTCTCTAGGCCGCCGTCCACTTGAGTCTTATTGGCTTCTTCATGTTGTACTTTACAATCAGTGCGGAAATATTGTGTCCATCGTTCATCACGGTAGGTAAAGATATTGATCTCATAGCATGTTTGTTCTTTCTCGTATGTGTTCTGTACGGGGTGCAAACGAAGAACTGTCTCAGTAACAGTCTGTGCAGTCTTGCCGACCGTGATTGGAGCAAGAAACTGAGCTTTCCTTAAGAGGAACCCTGAAATTGTACGGTGGTTTGCAGCTGTCTCTTGTCTCACAGCCTCGATGGCCAATGCTACCATTCCCGTCCCAGGACAAATGATTTCGTTGGAAATATACATGCCATGTAAGTGATAAGTGACTACGAGGAAAGAAGGTGGAGAAGGAAAAGATAATAGGATACTTACTATATGATCCCCAAGCCAAGGCATTGCTTCCATACTTAGCCAATTTCTCCATTGTGGCCTCAGTGCATTCCAGTCATGGTTACGTCTTCCAAGCATATAGCCAGGCGAGCTTGGCCTCAATCTAAATTCTTTGCTCAACTTTGACTCAGCGCAGTAGCGTCGGCTATGATCAAATGGATATGGGGGACAATCAACGAGGAAGGGAAAGTTGCCCTCGGCTTGAAGGTTTCCGGCCAATATAGAAACAGGATATTTGTGGCACCACAATGTTCCCAAAACAGTTAACATGGTGTGTGGTGACGATTTTTTACGCTCCAAAACAGAGTGATATCGTAAAGGCGATGAAACTGAATCTTTTATTGGCCTCCTTAGGGCTGAATGGGCACCAATCTCAACTATATCAGTGATGATTTCTGGTCCTCCTGAAACCGACTCTTCAGGCTTTTTCCTTAACAGTTTTATGGCATCGGCGAATCGCACAGGCGAAACCATGTTGTTAACCTAGTACTGAGCAGTTGTTAATAGTTTTGAAGAAACAACGTGGCCAGTCACGGAACTAATCATGTGAATCGGCCTAGTCTGGCTTTTTACTATTTCCGATTCTAGAGTGCCCATCAGCGAGGCATATTCGTCAGCAACGGCTAGCATGGCCGGAGAGTGGTATGCGACACCGGTATTCAACTTCTGAGCAAAGATGCCACGCTGATCAAGATCAATTTTGAGGATATCAATAGCTTCTGAAGGACCAGAGAGTGTGACATTGGTAGGGCTATTTACGCATGCAACGCGAACTGTGTCTTTCCAAGATCCTAAGTCTAACTCTGCCAGATATGCAGGGACTTCAGGCTCAGGAATATTAGCTGCAATCATAGCACCTGTAGTTTCAGTCATAGATCGAAGCTTTTTGATTACTTTTCCGCGGAAATATGCCACTTTGCACGCAGATTCGTGAGATATGGCGCCGGTAGTGTACGCAGTGGCAATTTCTCCGCTCGAATTTCCAACTACAGCAGTGGACGTCACACCAAAACTAGAAAGGAGGTCGATTAGGGTAATATGCAGCACGGTACAAAGCGACTGGCTGAATTCCGGACGGTTGATATTTTTCTCATTGCGAAGCTCATCTGAACGTGGTGGGATATTGTGTCAGCAAACTTAACACTGTTTAAAATTTGCCTAGACAAGGAACTGAGCTCTCAGATTGAGCGAGACTTACTGAATATTGACCAGCCACTTCCTAGACTGGCCAGAATGTTATCAGATTTTCGTGAACTCTCCTCAAAAACTGAGTATCATAACAGCTCCAACCCCATGTCAAGATATTGCGCCCCTTGTCCTGTGAAGACGAAGGAAATAATAGGCTTTTTAGTCAGCGCTCGGACTGCTGGCGCTAGGGATAGAGGAAGCATGTCTCCGTTAAGTTCTTCTTTGTCAATGGGTTTCTCTTGTCCATCAACTACCGCAAAAGTTCGCCATGGCATAGCAGATCGTCTTGCTGCCAGTGTATATGCCAGTTGGTCAGTTTTGGCACTGCTTCCGACGATGTGAGCTTGGTAATAATCTTGGTAGGTATGCTTTATGCGCTCCAAAGCATTTGAATCCGCAGCACTCCAGATAAGTAGTTTCGGTATTGGCAGAAGCTCAAGCTCTGTTGATCCAGTATTGACGTCATTACTGTAGCTGGTGGTTGTGGAATGTACGGCTCCATTGACAATGGGTTCCTCTGAAATGGATGGGACGACAGTACAATGATGGTACCCGCTAAGTCCATGACTTTCAAGGTAATGCAAGGTACCATCCAAGATAATATGAGAGTTTGTCCCTCTGTAGCCAAAAGAATTGACCGAAACTCGACGGAGGTTAGATGTTGGCCATAGGGTACTCTTTATAGGAACCTTTTTGAACGTGTCAATGGACATATAAAAACAGCACTGTCAAACAGTATTAAATTCGAGCTAACGTACCTGTATATTTTAAGAGTCGGCGTCAATGTTCGGGTACATGCTCTCAAAGAGAGCAATCGGTGGAATGACTCCTTTCTCCAGCGCTAGAATTGCTTTTATGATACCGGCACCTCCACTGGCCCTTCGAGATGGCCGATATTCGCCTTCACCGATCCTCTATCATATTACAGTTAGCTCAACTAATGTATCATTGGAGAACTATCCGTATTAGCTTACACCAAAAGAGGTTCTTCCTGCGAGCGGTGTTCGCTAAGCACATTTCCAATTGCTGACACCTCAATAGGATCTCCCACTGAGGTCCCCGTGCCTAATATAGTTAGTTTGTCAGTGGTTCTTATTATACGTGTTCTGATGGTATTACAACCACTTACCGTGTGCTTCAAAATATCTCGTGTCCTCAAATCCCAATCCTGCCTGAGCATAGACTCGGCGAATGAGAGCTTCCTGAGATTCGGCGCTAGGCTGCGTAAGTGTCGGCGTTCGAACATCCTGGTTAGAGCCAGTTCCTCGTACAACTGCTCGAATGATGTCTCCGTCTCGTAGAGCATTATGTAACGGCCTAAGGAGGGGAGCCACTATGCCCTCGCCGCGAGCGTAGCCATTAGCTCGCGCGTCGAAGCTGAAACACTTACTGTCAGGCGAAAGGAACGAACTAAGAAGCAGATTAACGAGTATTTATGGAGGAATTCCATGGCTTGGAAGGGACGGCGGAAAAGTTGGCAAACAGACCGCTTTGGCATTACCACTTCTCATCGCTTGACACGACATATCTACTGCAACCATGCTACTAGAACATGCCGTGTTAAGGTGGAAACTAGGTCCACGCAGGTCAAAATACCAACTGATTCGATTGGGCAGTATTCCTGGTTGTCCTCCGGTGACTGTTTGTGGAGGGGCAGTATCACTGTCTTTAGACATCATTTTGGCGTAATCATCTGACATGGTTGCTCCAAACACAGCGGTTTGGCTACCACGGAGTTTTTCAATGGCTATGCCGGCTGTAGAAATTATCGCAAATTAGTTGATGCCAATTTATGGATAAGGAAGAAAGGAGAGTTTGTTTCATTCCGATCTTGCCATTTTCGAAAGAATGATAAGCGGTTTCTAAGGCCATACGTTGCTGAGGATCCATTGCTGCAGCCACTTTAGGTGTGATAGAGAAAAAAGGGGCATCAAATAGTCTGGGGTCTTCAGTGAAGAAACGAGCCCCATGGGAGTGAGGCTGGTCATGATGTGAGTGTTCAAGTAGCTAACAACCAAAAAATTTGAGAATTTGTGAGATATTAACATACCTCTCCACTATTGAAAAGTGAATCGGTAGTAAAACGGTCTTTAGGCCAGTCCGTGGAGAGATTCTTGCGCTCTGAAAGTATCTTCTAGAAGCTGGACTCATCTGTATCCTCGCCAGGCAACTTGAAAGATAACCCAATGATAGCAAAGGGCTCCATGGTACTATTCTCTAAAGTTCTGAGCTCCATTGCTAGAATTTATTCTGATGTCGTCAAGGTTTGGTATTTTGTCAACAACTCACTTTGTCAATTAGATTATCTCATAGTAAAGAAAAATAAAGAGTTGAAAGCACACAATGAACAATAACAGCAAGACCAGGAAATCCGAGGTTGATATCTTTACCTTGGCCGCACGATCAAGGGTGTCTCGCTTGGAAGTTACGATGACTATCAAAAGGACGAGGCTTCATGTTGAACTCTAGGGTAACACCACATTTCCCCCAATAATGATAACCACAAGGCAATACCCAAATACGTTTTGACGCTCGTCATGTTATTCCCCTTAATCTCAAATCTATTTTGAGAATGATGGTTGCAACGATTATATTACTACCGTGACATTGGCATTAACCACAACTACTACGAGAGCCGATCCCCCAACTGAACATCTAATAATGCCAAACAAATTAAGATTTTCAAATACGCCAATAGCAATTTGGCAATATCATATCATTCATGCATTCGCAAAAAGTTAATTACGAATTATTCTCAAACCTTATTACATGTCATATTCAACGTTACCTTGTACCTGATGAGGTAGCACAGCACCAGTGATCACTGATGGACAGCTGCAGTCAGCAACAATTCTACGCCTCCCCCGCCTTCATTCCACGGTTAATGTTACCTAGAGTTTCCTCCTAAGCTTCCGGGTGATAGTAGACGAGGCTGTGCATCCTTCGGTCAATCGACGCCTTTTTGTCAACCTGAATGAACAGTACTTCGATTTCTTCCTTCCAACTATTATAGGTAGGTATAAATAAAAGTTACAGTACTATCAATTTTCAAGAATCTTCAAAATTACTTCATACAAACGCGAAGTCTGAATGTGCAAATCCTTTCAGGTACTCTCTATTCTCCACCATGAATACATTGGGCAGATTGTCCGAAGTGGCAGTTTATGCTCTCGGTATCATATTGTCATTGGTAAGTAAACCTCTCAGTATCCCATCCATGATGATTCCAACTAAGCTTTATCGCTTTACTTTACTAGAGCCTTTTTGCTCTTAGCTACTAACTTGTGCTCCACCCATTGAAGAATTACCCCGGCCCGTTCATCGCCAAATTCACAGATGGCTATGGTGGCTATCACGCCGTTAAAAAGCGTCTTCACCTCGCTACATATTTCGGCCATTTGAAATATGGTACGTCTATTTAGTAGTGCTTTACCTAGAACATGCTCGAGTTTTGAAAATAATCAACCCTATCTACTATCAAACAGGCCCCGTGTATAGACAAGCTCCCAACCGTCTAGTATTCAACACCTCCAGCGCTTTACGAGGTAATTTAATCCCCTTTCCCCCTCTCCACCTAAAACATTTAGTATTAACCTACCCAGCAATCTACCTCCACCCCTCCATAAACAAAGCCCATATTTACACTCACACCCAATTCAACCCCCAAGCCAACATTTTCGGCACACTAGAACGAGAACGTCATCGCCAAAAACGTAAGATATACGGACAAGTTCTTTCCGAACGTTCATTGCGTTCTTTTGAGCCTACTATGAGTAGCGAGATTGATGTGTTCTTAAAGCTATTGTTGGATACTAAGAACGAAGTTGTTAATATGTCGCCGTTGTGTGAACGGCTTACGACGGATGTGGCTGGGCAGTTGGCTTTTGGACAGCCGCTTGATACGCAAACGGAGGAGAGGAATAGGGCGTTTCCGAGGGCGATGATTTCTATGAATAGGCTTGTTAGTATTTTTAGTGAGTAGATCGTGGTTCCTTCGTCTTGAAATGTGTTTCAAAATTAAGAGCTAGTCATAACGTACCAGTCATTCTCCCCGAAGTCTGTCGTTTTCTGCTACAGAAAACCAACTAACCATCTACCACAAAGTGGCTTGGCCAATAATTTCAAAAACATGGCCACTTCTCAGACGACTCAATAAGAAGAACGGCGTGGCATTTTCCAAGTCAATACAGAGTATAATACAAAAACGCGTAGCTCTTCCTCAGGACGCAAAGCATGATTTCTATTCTATTGCAGGAGGGGAAGTCGGTGAAGATGTAGAGAGTCTTGGACGTAGCGAATTATGGGCTGAAGCTGTATTTTTTATTTCCGCAGGTTGGTTATGTCGATTTTCTTAGTCCCTTCTCTTGAACCTATTGAATTACCTCAAAATTGGCTTTTGCAATGACTCTTCCTATGCTCACTAGGAGCGTCTCTTCAAACCCACACTATCCATGATGGGCATCATTAACACTAAATATATCCTCCCAGGCGGCACAACCCTCTCCGCAGCCCTCAGCTCCCTCTTCTTCTATCTCTCCCACCACCCCACCGCCTACACTCTTCTCACCACCGAAATCCGTGACACCTTCTCCTCCAGCCTTGACATAAAAAGCGGAGCCCAACTCTCCTCATGTAAATACCTTCGAGCCTGCATCGACGAAACATTACGAATGGCACCACCATTTCTAGCCACATTTTGGCGCGAACCTTTTTCGGATTATGCAGAACCTTTTGTCGTGGATGGACATGTAATACCGCGTGGTACAATGGTTGTAGTCAATCCGTATTGTGTGATGCATAATGAGGAGTATTTTCCAGAGCCATTTGCGTTTCGACCGGAGAGGTGGTTAGGATCTGCGGAAGCAAGTTTTGGGTGAATTTATTCGATTCTTTGATGTTAACCCCTATTCCAGTCCCATGCTTTTTTTTCTGTCTTTATTACTTCTAGTCTCCTCATTCTAACCCCTTTCCCTTCCAAACCCCCTTCTATAGAGAACAACTAATTCCCTCCTCTCAACAGTACCCCAAAAGAAGAGCAAAACCTCGCCTCCATGCGCGCAGCATTTGCCCCCTTTGCCCTAGGAGATACCGGCTGTCTCGGCAAAGCAATGGCCTATCATGAGATTAGTCTCGCAATCGCGAAAACTTTATGGTATTTTGAATTTGAAAAAGCACCAGGCGAAGCTGGTAAGCTCGGTGAAGGACAGCCAGGGAATATGGATGGGAGAGATAGGGTGGATGAGTATCAATTATTTGATCTTGCGGTTGCGGATCATGATGGTCCGAATTTGGTGTTTGCTCCGAGAGAGGAGTATTGGCAGGAATTGGGTGGTGAAGGTTTGAAGGTGTAAGTTGAGTCTGGGTTTTTTATTACTGATGGCTTCGGTATTGATCTGGTTAATTACTACTCTAATCGTTCAATCTCTATCGTCTATTTCCGTTCTCACATTGCTTCAATTGCTAGTGTAGTTTCTTATCCGTTTCTAACTTTAACCCTTCTTCACCCGTACCCTAATCCATTTCGCGGCATTTCCCCATTACCCGACCCCCTTATCCTCCTTGCTTTCCATTAAAAAAACACATCCCCTCATTCCACTAGTAAACGGGTCTTTCTACACAATACCCCTCCTCATCAACCATGTCTGCCATGCAGGTTTTGTGTTTGACGATTTGTCACCAATCGCGAAGTCGCCCATTAAAGAAAGCTTATTCGTGTTGATATCTTTCTGATTGTGGACCGAACCTAACATTGCATTATGCCATAACTGATCAGTCGTTCAGGTTGTAAGAATCCTTTTGCAAACAATTTTGATTATTAAGGTTCATATTTCCGGATATACTTATACCATCCCATAGCAAAATAATGCATCAGGCTTCGTTATCTTTGTAACTCAATTTAAGTCTAGTACCTCTCTTTTCGGCAACCCTTTTACATCAAAAATCGAGATTTTCATTTATTAATAACTTTACAATTAATTAATACAATTTAATAAAATTTAAATTGTAGATTTATTATATAATTATTAATATATTTTAGAAATTTCAGATTTTTTGTAATTGATTTTGTTGAGATTTGAAAGATTAAATTTTAGAATTTTTAATTTATATAAAATTTATATACAAATTTGAAAAATTACTAAGGGCCTGTGCCCCCTAGACCTCTAGCATTTCGAGAAAGTTTAATAAAATTTTGATTTTGAAAAGTTTATAATAAATTTAAATATAGAATATATATCAAAGTGTAAATAGAATATCAATTTATTTTTGATAATTGAAAAATAAATTTTTTTTACTTAAAAATAATATTATGATTAAATCTATATAAAACTATAAAATTTATATCAAGTTTTCTATTCAATTTTTTATAAAAGTATTTTAGATCAATTAGATTATTAAAACTATAATTTATTTAAATAAATTTTTTATTTTCTTTAATTTATTAAATAATATCCCGATATGATTTATTATATTCACTTGTTAATTCACTTAATTCATATATTCAATTGTGTATTCTTAACCTTATTCCCAAAAGGGTTTGGACTTAGACGAATTACTTGAGTTTTGACAGTAGACATGCTTTTTAAACTTCCTTTTGGGTATGTTATGGTCTTCTTGCACATTCTCAGTAGGGGATTTGGAGCAAATCACATTAGTGCATGAAGTCAGTAATATCTGTGAGTATGATACCTGGTAGCCTTTTTATCTAACGGATTTATATGATCGAATTTTGTACTATCAAATCCCTCCTCCCAAAGAGCACCTTACTCGTGGCAGCTATCCCATGACAATCTCATCCAGCGATTCTGAGACACCTTCAGATAACCAATTGTCTCTATCCCTTTTTCAAAGATGATTCTTGCTAACAAAAAATTCCTTCATCTTCTACGGAATTGTCGATTTACAAATCATGGGCGTTCTCCACGGACGAGAACTCGCACACCTGTTCCCTCAAATGTTGTTGTAAAATAGTCAATTTGATTTAGATCTTTCTTCGTCATTTTGCTGTCCAGAGACATATCCAGACATCTAAACAGTTTCGACGTTGCGATGCGTAGCTCAGCATAGGCCAAACTGGAAAAAATTGTTAGCCAACGAGATCTGTTCGGGTCACAGCGCAAAAATTTCAACATACTTCATTCCTAGACATTGCCTTCCACCCTTCCCAAATGCGACCAAAAACTTCTCGAGCTGGTTCGAATCAGGTTCCAACCATCTTTCTGGCTTAAACACTTCGCTATCCGGGCCCCAGACAGATTCGTTATAATGCATCGCTCTAGCGGAAATTCCGACAATTGACTGTATGATGTTAGTGCAGGAAGTAAGGTTGTTTATATTTAACTTACTCCAGGTGCGATAACTTTTCCATCAACTATAAACGGTGGAGCACCTGGCTGTGGGGTGGGAACAACACGCGGCAGACGTCCTGGAACGGGTATTGCACATCGAAGCGTCTCCTTGATACAAGCAGTCTGATATTTGTGAGCAGATTTCAATATCTTGAAAGAATTACCTACCAAATACTCGAATTTTTCCAGCTCTAATAAAGGCCAGTTCGCGTCCTTATCTGGAAGTCCAGCATCTAGCTCAGCTCTCAATTTTTGTAGGATATCAGGATTCGCGATAACAGCGTTCATTAGATATCCTAAGCATGTTGCAGTCGTGTCTGAGCCAGCAACCATGATATCAAGGCACTCGGCCTCTATATACTTCTTCGACATATTTGAAAGTGGGTCGAACAGAGGCAGATGTTCAAATTTCTGGCCATCTGCGCGCGCCTTATCGAACGATGACATGGCGTCTGCCAAGGCCTGTATCACCTACTTAGCATTGGCCGAGCATCAGATCATTCGCACAGCTTACCATTCCCAGCTCCTTGACTTTTGAAATCCTCTCACTAAAAACAGCCATCAATGATGCAGGCAGCAAGTTGGTAAAATGTCGCACAATTGGAAAATACCGGAAGGTGATTATTACTTCTGTGGCCATGTCGAAAGCAAGGAGAATGCCGGGCCGAAATGTATGGTCCTTGGCATCCTCCAAGAGGCCAAAAGACTTTCCAAACGAATATTCGGATATGAAGTCCACGGTCAAGCATCTGTATACCGGAGCGTTCAATTAGCGAAAGAAAGACTTCCAGAAATTGGAACCCACCGAATAGCGCTATAGAGGTGGATAGCTCCTTGGTCTTGGAAGTCACGCATCTTGTTGACCATCAAGTTGACTTTGGCGTAGATGGTGGGTTCAACTGCGACAATACGTTGCCTCGAGAAAAAAGGGCTTATGATCTTCCGGAGTTCACGGTGAGCAGCTGGCACGCCTTCCGAAAAAACAGTATTCGCTGCATTGAAGGAGGCATAGAAATCAGGCTCCTTCAGGAAACGGTACTTTTGGGAGTATATCTCGTCGTAGACAGAAACATCATCGATGTGTAGCTCGTTTGGTCCGATGCGGAGAATATGAGTATCTATAAACAGCAATTGTCAGTTCAAGCGTCGGGCGCGTGGAAGGGAAGATGTGTTTCACCATATTTTTTGTGCAGGGCTCTCAGACTCGTCTCGATATCTCTGGCTTTTCCCTCGCGGTAGAGCCACCAGACCGAGATGGCAGCGAATTTAGGACCAGGAAACGAGGCGAGCGGGTGTAACGTCAAACGGTAAAAGGCACGAGAAATCCAGAACACAACATAGGCGGATGATAGAGCAACTGTGAAGTCCAGGAGCCGGGGAGGAAACTCCAACTCGCTGGTCGAGAGAATTTGGGTAAATATGGCCATTCTGCCAAGTCGTTAATGATTTTGGTCCTGAGGGGATAATGTAGTTAAGTAGACATGTAGATATAGATAGACCTACAGAGCGACCCTGTTATACCGAACACTCTTATATCCGTAAATCCGTTTATACCAATCACTTTGTAAGATTTCAAAATATTGTATGGGTACATTGGCAATCAGTATTTTATTTTCACCGAACAATGCTCGTGCGGCCAGAAAGTATAAAACACTCCACTGTTAAACATACCACAAGATGATAAACTACAAGCGGAATAGTAGTCTATATATAAGTGAAGTGTTTTATACTTTCTACATAATACTCTTTAATAGATGTAAATCTATCTTTATAATATTTTATTATTATTTGAATATTATATAATTGATTGATAAAATTTCAAAGGTAAAGTTAAATTTTGAGATTAATTTATTATATAAACTTATTGATATTTGAATGCCTGAACCTCTTTATACTTGTATATCCCGAAGGAAATAAATCTGATTTTTCATGTCTGGTATGACGAGGTTCTTCTGCATACGGTACAGAAAAGCGAGTAGTTTTAGAGGGTAAGGGTGTAGATTGAAGAATAGAACTGACAGGGTATTTATACCCGGATCAGCACTAGATCTAAACTAAACTAGCGTACATGTGACCTGATAAAATTACCCTCGTTACAGGTACAGCACAGTACGCGAGAAAGTTAAACTCAAGTAGCTCGTTACACTAAAACCTTTTGAATTTAAGGTTATTTATGATTTACTTTTGGATGGACGGAAGAATCAGCAGCATGGATTGATTCACTTTCATACCTCATTGAATCGTGCACACAAACTTCATATTCTATGGTAAGGAAAGGTTTCGGACGCGGACATTAAGAAAATAGCGAGAAATAGGGCAGAGCTCACCCCGCCTTGTAAGTAGCTGCAGGCTGTGGAGAATGCGGGAGCTAATAATCAGGGTCTGGTGGCGCTTTCGGAGTCCGGTAGTTGTTAAGTCCGCCGGATATAAAAAAGTGGATTAACTAAGATCCCTGTATCTTGTACGATCTAATATCTTATATGCTATTTGTTGAATAAAAATATATTAAAAATCAAATAATTATAATAATTTGAAAATTTGAAATATATTCTATTAAAAAGAATTTCCAAAGATATCTTTTGGTTACGAGGGATGCGATCTAGATCACGTGGAAGTGGCCTGGATCCTCGAATGGTTTATAACTAGGTGTCAAGTAAGGGCTTAAGGTAATATCAATGGTTGCAATTCGTAACTAATAGTAGAGTATACTAAATGATTAGCCTTGAGTACGAAGCTCTATAAAAGGAATCCTTTCCTAGCTATAGAGACCTTCGTATCAATTGGATCCTTTGGATCTAGTAGACCTAGAATACGATTTCTTAGCTCGCTAGATCCTTATGATCCATCACGTGATTAGGATCAGAGCATATATTTAAACTTGCTGAGGGTGGAGTCAATTACAAATTGCTTTGCTTTTCGATGAGGCCCAAGCTCATGTGGACAGGTTGACTGTTACCTTGTAACAAAACTTAAGGTAATATCAATAGTTGCAATTCATGACTAATAATAGAGTATACTAAATGAATGATCTTGAATACCAAGTTCTACAATAAGGAATCCTTTTTGGTTATATAGATCTTTGTACCTAAAAGCCGCGGAGCTTTCGAACCTTCAATACTTCATTATATAATCCTATAATTATTATGGATCCAAGCTTAACAAGGTTTGTGCATGTTTATTCCCCACACCAACTCCATCCCATACTATATCGTTCAAATCGTATCTCGTAAGTACACGACCGTTTAGTATAAGATCCGTGGTCGTAACATAGATTTAGATTTATTACATTATTAACTTTTAATCTTTCATATAATTATTCAGTTCCTCTCAATATGAAACCGGCTTTAGTGCTTCGGAGATAGAAAGCAGAGCCTTTAAAGGGCCGGCGTTGGGTTTTTTGTGTTACTTAAATTCATGTTTTGGAAAGAGATGCACCATGATCTACATATATCGTGGCGGAAGTATACAGGAAATTCAGGGAAGATATTGAGTGGTTAAGGGAGAAGTTTAAGGAATAAGGATAGTTTATAAGATGAAGGATGATTCAAAGATGAGCATCGCCGAATATCAATCATAATTGGACGTAAAACGATATACACACATTTGATGATAGCAAACTTCAGGATGGGATATTCATGCCGATATCTGTCAATGCTGTGAGGCAGATTACTGCAGTGATCATACTAGACCTAAATTTTTATACAACAAGGAGTTGCCACATCATCATTTGATGCATTTACTTTCATCGCTACGAAGTCAGATGCACATCCGTGCTTTGAGTCATCCGTAACAAGGAAATTCAATGGAAAGTCTTAAAATGCCAGCTGCTTTCCGAATCTGGGACTCAGCACCACCATCGAATATCATCCGCTTCCGATCGTTAATACGATGGTTCCAATATCTCCAAATCATGGCCTACATCGGTGGAAGCTGTAGCACAGCTTCTACCTCAAAAACACCAGTCCCGGTAACCATACATATGCGCTTCTGGGATCCATCACACGAATAAGTATCAGCCCCTTCTCCATCCAAGCTATTCCAGCTCAGCTTTCGCAAGTCTTTTTGAAGTTGCTCGTATCATGACTGAGGAAGAAAACAAACAGCCTAGATTTATGGTTCTTGCGTGCATCATCCATCTTACAATTATCAGTTTGCTTATATTTTTCGCTGCTTTTTTGGCTGGTCAAGTGAATTTTACGCCACTTCGCGCAGATGTTCGAGCGTTATTGGAAATCGAGGCTAGATACTTAGATCGAGGTAGTATATCAAATTCTGTAAGAGGCTTGGATAGATGGATAGATGGCTAGATACTCTTATTAATGATGTTTCTTAGTGTTACATCGGGTAACATATTCCGCATCACATGATTAATCACGGGGCCAGGATAGTCATGTGACCGTATCTAAGTGATCTAACTAGAGCCTCTAGAGCCAGAACACGAAGGTCTATATAATCGGATGGATTTCTTTATTTGTAGAGCTTCGTGCTCAAGATCAATCATTTAGTATAATCTACTATTAGTTACGAATTGCAACCATTACCATCGTTACTTAAGTCCCTGCTTGACGCCTAGTTATAAACCACTTCGAGAGCCTAGAAGCACTTCCACGTGATCTAGACGGCAACCCTCGTAACACTTAGATGGACGCTTGACTATTAGCATCAAGTGATCAATGGCCTCATCACTGTTGGGACTATATTTCGTATTCTGAAAGAGCTAAAAGTTTCTTTTGGAAGTAGTTGCGTTTCTGTTAGTGCTAGCCGAGAAATATTTTTGGGAGATTGTTTAGTACATACAGGAAAGTTTTTTGAGGGTGGCTTTGATCAATCTGAAGTTGAAAAGATTTACGAAACACGCGAATGTGATCCAATAACTGTACCATATTCAGCAAATTTTACGCAGAGATCAGTTCAGCCGTCACTTTACCCGGTGCTCTTCCAGACAACAAGCCGAACACTAGGTCTAGGCCTCAATAGTATGCTACCAGTATCAAAATTTCCGTCTGATGGAGTACCATCTTTGTTATCATTCTATGCTCTAGATGTGTAGATTTGAGAGCTCCGTAGTACGGCAAAGGGAAATTGGTCTCGTGAGGAAGGATTGACTTGAAGGTGGAACGAGAATGGAGTGGCGTGGGATAAGCTGGATTGTCATCACCAGCCATTGAAGGGATTTGTTCCTTTACTGGAATTTTACTTTTGATATGCACTGCTTGTATGCATCGACGATCTTCTTCTTATTGTTGGGTATATCGTTCTTTTTGTTTCATTTTCATGTTGTATGGGGTTTACAGTGTTATGATACTGGTGCGACTGCGTGTTTGGTTTGATGGGACGCCTCGTGGCTATGATGGCATGGTAATGGGAAATGTATCCGACTGGAGTTCAAAATCCGGGATCAGTCTTCTAATTGAATCAATATACTATTCCTATGACAATGATGTCGATTTAGGTTTCTCGAATATTCCTGCTACAATTTTTCTGAAAACAACGCTTGAATGAGGACATTCTTCCCTTCTTTATATCTTTGTTGCTCATATCATCAGTCTGGTTTTCTTCTGTCCTGGCCTTATGCACTTTTAGAGCACAATCGATTTGATCTACTAGAAGCTCTGTAAGGTACCTACTGTGCAAAACGTGGAAGACATCACCCCAGATGGAAGATGTACTTTAAACACTATATCACTATCTCCCAACCCTCATTTCCGCCCCCGGTTCGAAGGCTTTTTTGTTATTTCCCCCATGGCAATTTTTCAAGTCTTTTGAGGGAATCGAGCGTATTGCAGTTGTTGTCGGGTTCGTTTCTGAGTCTGACTGCTGGTTGATGCTCGGCAGGCCTCGTCCCGACTTGCCTACGCGTAAAGAAAAGTGGACGGTAATGATAAATTCCTGGTTTGCTCTCTGCCAATTATGTTGCTAAAAACATGCAGTATCATTCCCGCCTCCAGGTCAACCAAAGAACTTCAAAAAGGAACAAGGTTTAGGTTTTTTTCTCGGGACCGAGATTAGTTCCATCCAATTCGGCATCTAATATCCCCACAATAACCTTAAAAGCATTCGATCTTCAATCAGATAATTTTTGAGCCCCACAAACCCCATAAAACTATCACTGTGCGCCCTGCATCTTCTCAAGTTCAATAGGGAATCACTGCTACATTAATCCCCACGCATTACGTGTTGTAGGTGGATTTGGATTCCAAATCGTCTAGAACGGCGTCCAGTTGTTCATTATGGTTCGGATCAAATGCTGATATGCAGCCAGAATCACAATGACCCGTTCAAGAAGAGTATAAGATCGTGGAGTATGACTCTAGTGTTTCATCCTCAACTCATCTTTCTCTTCACCTCATCCATCATTTGCGGGTCAGACTACACCTAGAAGACTAAAATGCGTTCTTCGCATGTCGTAGCTGCCATTGCTTCTCTCCCAGCTCTGGCAAAATCTCTCAGCTTGACCGATATTTGTACACCAACCTATCTCGCGGCTAACTTCCCATCTGTTGATTTTTATAATGGAATAACTCTGGATCCAACATCCATCACAGCTAAGACGGTGACAAACGCCTCGGCATCGAGTGTATTTTATCCCAATGCCGTTATCGATTATTGTGCTGTTACGTTCAAGTACTCTCACAATGGTCTGAACGACAGTGTTCTTCTAACATACTGGATTCCTGCACCAGCAAATTTTCAAAATCGTTATCTTTCTACGGGTGGTGGTGGATATGCCATCAATTCAGGGACTCAATCATTGGCTGGTGGAGTGGAATATGGTGCGGTTGCAGGTCAAACTGATGGTGGTTTTGGAATCTTCCAAAATAATGCTATTGCTCAATTTCTTCTTGCGAATGGGACCGTCAATTGGCAAAATGTGTACATGTTTGGATATAATGCTATTCATGAGATGAGTGTCATTGGAAAGGAATTCACTTCGACTATCTTTAATATAACAGTCGAAAACGCTACCTTGTATTCTTACTATCAAGGCTGCTCTGAAGGTGGCAGAGAAGGCTTTAGTCAAGTTCAACGTTTTGCGGACCAATTTGATGGAGCGGCAATTGGTGCACCGGCTTTCAGATATGCATTCCAACAAGTGCAACACCTTTTTTCCAGCGTCGTCGAGCAAACTTTGGATTATTATCCACCACCTTGCGAATTGCAGAAGATTGTCAACGAGACAATCATTGCGTGCGATCCGTATGATGGTAAAACAGACGGAGTAGTCTCCCGAACAGATCTTTGCACGATAAACTTCAATATCTCGACTCTTTTGGACACACCATACTCTTGCCCTGCAGCAGCAGCAGGAGTTTTTACTGCTGCAACACCCGCACAAAATGGGTCGATCTCAGCCAAGGGTCTAGCTATAGCCCAGAAAATACTCGACGGTCTCCACACCACTGATGGCAAACGCGTCTATTTCTCATATACTCCCTCCTCCACCTTCACCGACGCATCCACATCCTACAACTCCACATCCGGTCAATTTGATCTTGAGATTACCTCTCTTGGCGGCTCCTTTGTCGAAGTCCTCCTCGATCTCAAAAATGGTTCTAACGTTCAATCTCTCGAAGGAGTGACATACGATACCCTCCGCGACTGGATTCAAGACGGATGGAACCGTTATAACGATGTTCTAATGACCAACTGGCCAGACCTTACTCCTTACAAAAACTCCGGCGGAAAAATTATCCATTTCCACGGCGAATCCGACTTTAGTATCCCCACTGCCTCATCCGTTCGATACTATGAGTCTGTGCGGGGGATTATGAACCCGGGCCTCTCATATAACGATTCCGTCGCCGCAACTAATGAATTCTACCGATTATTCCTCGTACCAGGTGGTTCACATTGTGCGGCCAACGCAGCCGAACCTAATGGACCATGGCCACAAACGAATTTGCAGGTTTTGATTGATTGGGTGGAAAATGGAGTGGCTCCTGTTACTTTGAATGCGACGGTTTTGCAGGGAGAAAATAATGGGATGAATCAACAGATTTGTGGGTGGCCTTTGAGACCCTTCTGGACGAATAATGGGACGACTATGGAATGTCGGTATGAGCAGGAGAGTATCGATTCGTGGATTTATGACTTGGATGCTTTTGATATGCCGGTTTATTAGATTGGGTTAAAAAGTTGATGGGGAAATGCTGAGGGATAAGGTTAATGATCGATTGGTGATGGTGATGGGGGATGTGAATGAGGAACGGACAATGTGTTGCATTGCTGCGTACTACTATACCTATTCATTGTATAAATATCGGAGTACAAACCAATTGATCAACTTATATCCATAATTTTCACATTCTGGATTGGTGTGATGAACATTAAAAGATTAGTTGAGGCACGCAATATTAGAGTTCCACGTGCTATCACGTGAATTAACCATCTCAGCTCCATCACCTCTTCCCAAATACTTCGTAGATCAGGATCAATCAGATTTATTGTACAATATCATGTTAGACCATAATTTTGCGTCCACAAAAATCTCGTCGCAAGTTCACGAGACACATTTATGCTTTTTTCGATCTTCTGAAGCTCGCATCTGATCGACGCGTCGCGCCATTCGCTATACTGGTGTTGCTATAGAACTTTTCATGGTGATCATGAATCCTTCATACAGAAATGTAATTGAAGCTTGATGCCATGATATTTGTTTGTACTGTCGGGTGTTTGGGTGGTAGAGGAGGAAGCCGCTGTACCGCCAAGGCCGGAAATTGGGCGTACACAACGCTATTGTCGCTCTTTCTTCTTGACACCTTGTTTCTTCCCCTCAACTATCAATGATGTCCAACAATGACATCGCGATTTTGACCTCTTCTGCCAGTTTCATGAACTACAAGAATTGCCAAGTCGGATGGTCTTGCATTTGCTCATGCTTCGGATGGTGCACGCGTTCAACAATAGTACCACTTGAAAGGTAGTTTTTGATAGGTTGGGAGTAGAATTTTTCGGAAAATTTCAAGATCTATCGAATTCCATGTCGTTTTTGTGTCTGTTTCATCTTTGGTTTCTTTCTTTCTAAGACAATTCTCGGAATAATCATTGCACTAAAAATCTGGGGGTCTGTTTAAGAAGCTCCAACATTAATCTAGACTGCTCTTTGTATCGGGCTCCATGTTCATGTGCAGCCGTGTTATGGAAATCTTACAAGGAAATGTCTATCCGTTATCTGTCGTCACTAGTTGTGACACGTTGATAAATATCATGCCGATTGATATCGTGATATATCACAAAACCACATCATTGAGACTGCATGGACCTGCGATGATCAGTTGAAACATGGAGTTTCTTTCCTCCACACAATTTCTCCGGAGGACTATGCAGGTTTCCGTCAAATTCTTGAGTTGTGCCACAAGTGGAAACTGCCATTATGCTATTGCCTCGACATCTTCCTGCTCTGACCTCGAGCTCGTGCTTTCCTCATTCTACAAATATCAAAAGAAATTCTTTCTAGCGTGATTTGTCCACATCTCCGTGCCATTGCCAGAATTGCTCGATTTGCGATAGTAATTTCAATCAGTCACAGCCACGGGATGATGTGGTCAAAACTCCTGATCTTGTTTGCCTTTGTGCCAGCACTGGTAAGCTCTTTGGCACCAACAGACGAAATTCGAGATGCAGATGCACCACAATCCGGCTATCTAGATAACCATAATATGCACCCTGCGACAGTTGGGTCTGCGATATTTGGGATTCTATGGAAAAACAACTATGGGAGTAATAAGGAGAAATGGTACGCAAAACCATTAGTATACACTCCACCTGGCAGATCACAGTTGGTATTCCTTGCGTCATCAATGAATGTAATACGAACTTTGGATGCCGTTAATGGTACTTTGTTGAACTCGCGAGTTATTCAGCCACCTTTCCTCCAAAGTGATCTTGGGTAAGTAGAACTGAATATCTGATCAAAATTCAGCTGATCCAGATAGATGTACCGATATCCCTGATTTTATTGGTATTATTGGTACTCCTATTATAGATGCATCAACGAATATCGTATACTTTTTCTCCAAAGGATATAAAAATGGTGCTGCTAGTGGAGGGGTTGTTAATGGTATGGGATATTGTAATGCGCAAGGTTTTGTGCTGACAAGTGGGTAGGGCTCTACAAGTTCTATGCTGTAGATATCATCACACTCCAAGATATTCCTGGGTTTCCCGTTCTCATTGATGGTAATTTCGCAGATAATGATAACGCAAGGTAAATGGTATTTTCCCAGGCCGATGCCAATTATACTTATATTTACAGGTATTTTCTTGGCGGCACAGTTCTTCAGAGACCATCTATTACCTTAATTAATGGAGTGGTGATTGGCGCATTTGGGGGGCATTGCGACCTCTTTAATTATACTGGAATGTTGGTTGGAGTTAGCACAACCCCTGGAGTTGGTGTTACATCCATATTTGCCATGGAGTCTAGCCCTGGAGCTCCGCCTGTCGTGGCGGATTTTAATATCCAACAAGGTGGAAAGGCTGGAATATGGCAAGGAGGTATGGGTCTTGCAACTGATGGAAATCGCCTATTTCTTGCCACGGGGTAAGTTGAATATGCTTGATTATCTACTTTGCAAACAGTGTGTTAATTCTGCCCAGTAATGGCGAAGGACATGCCAATGGTGATGTACCGGCATCAGGAAGAACTCCCCTATCGACCTTGGACGAAGTCGTTGGAAATTTTGCTGTTTCTACCACCGGTAAAATTACTTTGTCGGATTATTTTGAGCCTTACGAATATGTCTCAATGGATGCTGGTGATCGAGATTTAGGATCTGGTGGGGTGGCCCTGTTAGACCCTACTGTGTTTGTCGGCACCGGAGTTTCACGAATCGCAATTGTTATTGGGAAAAATGGAAAAGCATAGTACAAGAATAACCAGAACTTTTAAGTGATTATGGCTAACAATGATTTAGTATCTTGAACGCAAATAATCTTGGTGGATTCAAGCAAGGGCCCGGAGGTGATGCCGCAGTCATTGTTATGTGTATTTTGATTGACAATCATGCAGGAACCGACAATATACTCCAAACGATCATTGCGCAAGGCTCTATTTTCGCTGGTCCGGGTTCATATCCACTTGAAGGTGGTTATATCTAGTATGTTGCTACCAGATATTTTTACAGCTAAGACTATTCTAACGCAATACAGCTTTACTCCTGTTGGTGGGTGATACGTCGATTATAGATCGTAAAACATATGTTAATAGCGAATAAAACGTTTAGGCTTTCCGACAGTCTGTTACAAGCTAGGGCACGACGATCAAGGCGCGCCACTTTTTACTTTGTTCGGACAGAGCGCAACAAACTCCGCAGGGTCTGTTGGGATAGGTAAGAACGTGAGTATGATATCTTTCTACGACGGGGCTAAGAATTCACTAGGGATACCGACCACAACTACTTACAAAGGTCAGGCTGGTACAGGGATTCTTTGGATTTCAGATCCAAATGCTGGACTAAAAGCATATAATGCTGTGCCTGTGAATGGAATCCTGACACCAATACCGCTTCCACCAACTGGAGGTCTTAACAAGTTTCAGCGTCCCGCTTTTGGAGATGGACGATTATATGTTTCAGACACGAATGGTAATGTCATATGCTTAGGATCCCCGGTTGCTTTACCTCTTCAATGTACTCAACCTGTCGACTTTGGTCAAGTTGCCATTGGCTCAATCGGTACTCAGATTATCAACTGCACTGCACAAATTGCCATTACTTCAGTGAATGGATGCACCACGGGCGATAAAACTTGGCAATGTGTCAATTCAACCTTACCACAAGGGCCATTAGCTCAAGGTGCAAATTTCTCGTTTCCCGTGACCTGGAATCTTACCCAAGCTTCCATTAATGATGCCCAGAACGCATCTTTTGGGCATGTTCTACCTGGAGTGGCCAGCACGAGTCTGGATCTCTATACCACAAATGCAATACCTAAGTATAGTACTCTTGTTCCTGTTTCTCTCTCTGGTACGACTGTTAGCAAGGGACCATTTCTGGATATTGCACCTGCAGAAGTTGATCTGGGTGGCATTGTTGTAGGGTCACAATCGGCACTTACTGGCTTGAGTGGGACTGTAATTATTTCAAACATTGGGGCACAGGTTATGAATATTTATGGCTCAGCCTGGACTCCTAATATCGCGCCCGATGGTGGTGGTAAGCCTACCAATTTCACCATTTTGGACATTGAGCTCTGTTTGATATAGATTTGGCCGTTCATGGCTGTCTTTCCTTTGCGGTGGACGAGTAACATTCTTGATTTACGATTATAAAATTCCATGGCTAATGAAACAACACCAATAGCTCCAAAATACACAAATATTACAAACGGAAATCTCGGAAATGGTTTCAGCACAACAGCCATACCAAAGGCTGGTGACACAATTGCAAGTGGAGGCTCAGTGACAGTTCCATTAAACTTCATAAGCAATATTACTGGAGCATATTCAACATTTGTTGAATTCTGGACAAATGGAGGTAACGGGAATGTCTTCATCACTGGCAGTGCCTCCACAGCACCAGTTGCCAATATCTCAATTGCTACAATTGAAGGGGGTTGGGATTTCTCAGAGCCAATAGTAATGAACTTTGGAAATGTTTTGGCTGGGAAGACTGTCACTTCCTACATTCGGATTTGTAATTCGGGCGGATCAGCACTTCTCATCACCAAGAGTAAGCCACCTATTGATACAGAACTATTAGCTCCCGATTCCGCCGTGGACCTTCATGAAGGTCAAGTCATTGAGGTTAATACTTGTGCCACGGGCGCTGTTTCTATCGTTGCCGCTCCTCTTGGAGTAAATAGGCTCGACCATACTGTTTCTGATGTGTGGATTTTGAATACTGAGTAAGTGCTTTCCATTCTATCAATGTGTTACTAATGAAGACAGCGACATCACATTCGGTATCCATGACGTTCAAGTCACAGCCAATATTGTAACAAGGCAACTCGGACCTTTGCTGTCAAATGGATCCGCAGAGTATCTATACCTGGGTTGCTATTACGATGGTGGTGGCCGACAGTTACAGAAACAATATAATAATGCTACCAATGAGAATGGATGGTGCTTGACGAATTGTTTCAATTTGGGATATAAGTTTGCTGGCACGGAGTATCGTAAGTATTATATTCCCAAGTACAATGCAAGTTGGTAGCTAATTTAAATTAGATACAGAATGCTGGTGTGGAAATAATGCTCCAACGGCAGCAAAGTAGTAAGTCCGGCATCCAAATTTGCAAGTTGGAATGATTGACCTTCTAATAGTAGCGACTCGTCCCTGAATAAATGTGCATTCAGCTGCCCTGGAGATATAACGCAGGCATGCGGAGGAGACGGGACATTTGTATCTGTTTACTATGATAGGACCAAGTATGTTCCTGGTCCAGATTCAATCCCTGGACTCTCGAATCCTCCAAGCAGCAGCAGTAGTTCAAGCTCTACTTCCACAACAACGTCCTCCTCTTCATCCCCGTTGCCAGCTAGCACCTTGCCCCAAAATTCCACTACTACCTCTACTAGCACTGCAACCTCAACTACAACTTCCACTTCTACTTCGACCACCTCAGTCGTACCAACCTCCACCGGCCCTGTAATTATCCAAAGTATCGGCTCATATTATTTTGTGGGATGCTATACCGAGGCCACCACCGGGAGAGCTCTAAATGGGAAGAGCTATGCAAACGATAGTATGACTATCGAAAGCTGTTATTCTTTTTGTTCAGCTTTTGCCTGGTTTGGTGTTGAATATCGGAGAGAGTGTATGGACTCCTCGAAAATCCTGCTTTTAAGATGAAGCTGATTCCTTTTTAGGTTATTGTGGGAATGTTGTTAATGCAGGTAGTGTAGTGTCAACAAAAGGAAATACTTGTTCTTTGGTGTGCATGGGAAATCCTTTAGAATATGTAAGTCCCAATTTTGATCCGTGCAATCGAATGGAGATTACTGACCGCCATGATTTGATAGTGTGGTGGATCCTCTCGTTTGCAAATGTATCATAGTGTTGCGGGCGCTAGTTCAAGCTCCAGCTCATCTTCAGGCTCCGTTTCTTCGGCCCGCCGTTCGAAGTGATGTGGCCAATCCCCCAATACTCCTCTTCTAGTGCATTAGTCTCCATAATCTCAACCATCAAATCATCTGTCACAGTACGCAGCCCACCACTGCTTCAATATCTTCTTCAATTACTTCTCCCTTATTGATCACAATCCATCGATCGCATTCCTAGCATCAACCACGTCTTTGGTACCCACTATTGTAATTCTAGGTTCGCCTCAATTGGATGTTTCACTGAACCTGCAGGAGGACCATATGCAGTTCACAATCTTCAAAATTTCTTCTCGAACGGTTCCATGACCTCTGAACTTTGTTTTTCTTCAGCGCTAGCTTAAAAACCGCCCAAACTCCCGTACTCACAAATACATCGGACTAGAATATGGAAATGAATGTTACACGGGAACAAGTTTGCCAACTCCTGGACCGAGTAGTCTAGTGGGTGCGACGCATGTACCATGCCTTGCGAGGGCATTTCAACAGAAAGTTGCCGGGGTCTGAATATGTACAACTTCTACTCCGTATGCAGCAACGGCAGTGTTGGCGTCGGCTACGAGTAACAGGATTCGGAATAGTGCAGTGAGCACGGTTAGTGTTTGGCAGATGATTGAAGAATTTTAACGAGATGCGATTTGGTCGATTAACGATATGCAGATAAAAGAAAGACAACGTCGAATACCTGTCTTTGCTTCTTTTTGCGCCTTGCTGATATTTTATAGAATATTTGGTTCTCATATTAATCTTTGAATTCCTCCCATGACACTATTTCATGTGCTGATTTTCTTTATCTGTTCGATCAAAGTAGATGCTGGAGCTCTATACTCCAAAAATGCCTACTAGCACCGTTAAAAATTCTCGAGTTCACACATAGGTCAACGCTTCCGAAGTTCCGAGTGTTGGCCGATGCCCACTCACCCCACTTGTCAATCATGATACCCGCAATTATCACCAATAGACACGCAATGACAAGGAGTTTGCCATGTATAAAATAACGTGGCTTTCTGTTGGAGATTGGGGTGGGAAGAAGTCTGGCGGGAAAATTCAATCGTGCATGTGGAGAGGGCTTAGCAGTTGACGTGCGGAGAGAATTTTTGATGAAGGATGTGATCGACTTCCTTTCAAAAGCATATGAGAGTTTCGCTGACCGCAATTCGCGATGCTTACTGTGGCCCGTACGTGTCAATTTTTCTTCGAATTGAAGTCGTTCATGATCAAGGTTGTCTAGGACCATGTCTATTTGTCGAATTATAAGTGTTTGGGAATCAGCACCGAAGTTTTATTCGGTAGCATTGTATAAATTGACATTCTCCTTCTTTCTGAGTTCTTTTTGAGGTTTGGAGTTGGTACAGCAGCCTGGTACAAACTACGTCAGTGATTGATTTTTCGATACCCTTTGCATTTGTTTCAGATTTGCTTTTTAGACGATTGGTTAGATCTTTGCGATTTATTGATCTATTACTTTCCAAATCATTGGCTCAAAACAATACATATATATATATATATTCGTCCAACACGCTAGAAGCTAGCCAAGAAGCCACACTACAATGGCTTCGCCTCCACCCCCGGGATCTTTATCGGCCACAGCAGCAGAGCCAACGCCAACGGCAGTAGCAGCGCCGGCGCCAGCGTCAGCTCCGGTACCAGTCAACCTAGAAGCTGATGACGTCGAAGCCTTACTTGACGATGGTGATTCAGCACTTGGATCTGAACCTGGAAGTTCCACAACTTCACTCGCATCAAGTATTACCAGGTACCGCATTGAAAATGGACGCACATATCACGCATACAAAGATGGAAAATACGCATATCCTAATGATGATATGGAGCAAGAGAGATTAGATCTACAGCATCATCTGTGTACTATCACACTCAATGGTAGGTTATTCACGGCTCCTATTGACGCGGATAAGCTTGAGAGGGTTCTCGATGTCGGGTGTGGAACAGGAATTTGGACTACGGATTTTGCGGATGAGTATCCTCAAGCTACAGTGTTGGGTATTGATTTAAGTCCCATCCAACCCATGTTTGTACCACCAAATGCAGTATTTCAGGTGGATGATTTGGAGGAGGAATGGAATTTTGCGGATGGTGATAAGTTTGACTTTATCCATACGCGGATGATGACGGGGGGTATTCAGGATTGGGATCGATTTTTTGAACAGGCCTTTGAGTGAGTGTTCTTCTTCCAATCACCAATTGCGCTGTGTTGTGATATCCCTCAAAAAACAAAACCCTCCTTCGCGTCTACTAATCATACACGCTTGAGTAGAAATCTTAAACCAGGAGGATACATCGAAGTCATAGATATCCTACTTCCTCCCACCAGTGCAGACGGTACACTGAAACCCAATTCTCCACTTCTCAAATGGGCAAATTTGCTTCTGAAGGGAAGTATTCTGGCGGGTAGGAATCTAGATAGTGCGTTGACGTATACGGAGAAATTGTCAAAGGTGGGGTTTCAGGGGATTAACGAGACGATTCACAAATGGCCGGGTAATAGGTGGCCCAAGGATCCTAAGGCTAAGGAGCTTGGTAAGTGGTAGCTTCTTTTTTATTCTTTTGTCTCCACGGATCGAGTTTTGAAATGGTTTATTTTGGATGAGGAGATATCTATCAAGATTGTAGAGATGTACTAATGCTAAATATTAGGAATGTGGCATCTGGAAAATATGTCGTCTGGGTTGATGGGGATTAGCTTGGCTCTTTTTACGAGGGTGTTAGGGTGGAGTGTGGAGGAGCTGGAGGTTTTTCTGGTGGATGTGAGGAAGGATATGAAGGATACTTCGATTCATGCTTATTGGCCTATGTTAGTATTTTTCGTTTCTTTTTTTTGGTCCTATGGAGTTTGGGAGAGGAGCGGGGTGAGGTGTATGACGTTTAAGAGTGTGTTTACATGGTTGTGCTAATACTTAGATTGCGATAGACATGTGATTTATGCGCATAGGCCTCTGCATGCTTAATCGGTTTCGATGAAGATCGAGAGTTGGAGCAGGTGACCAGTGAAGGGGAAGGGATTGTAGAAAGCTAGAGATAAGGAGAGGTTGTTTACATTCGGATGAGAATGCCATTGAATATTAATTTATATATGCATCAAGTGGTAACTGCTGAAATGACTGGGTAGTCGAAGTGGCTACGTCAAATTCCGTTGGATAGAGTTAGCAAGAAATAGAGCTAGCTAGAAACTAGATAATATCAAGCAAGTATCATAGTTTACGACATGACTCTGGTCTCCATTTTCCCCTCCTATTTACATATGAATCGGTTTATATGAAATAACTCATTTGGGAACGAAAAAAGCTGATTGGTTAATGCATGGAATAAGTAAGTGTCAACATCTAGGACGTTTGGGTATATCAAATCGGAATGGATGTCCTTATAACAGCACTTGCGGCCCAACGTATGTATCGCAACTCATGATGACTATTCGTGTCAGTTCGAGTTCAAGACATAATCTTTAGTGATTACTATTCAAGAATCTTGATGATTAGTGATATCGGTACTTCAGCTCTGCTGGTACCCCACCGTCATCACGATTTCCCTCCTATATATCACCTCTTCAGATGCAACCACCAAATCTCTCTACCAACCTTGCACAAGAGTTCCTCACCAAAACCATCCAATAAATCAACCCCAGCCTCATCGCAAAAGAACTCACCCTTCCCAAAATGTCCACTCCAAACCTCACAATCCATCAACACACGGGTCCTTTTCCAACCGTCTCATCCCGCCAACACCCCGCCCTCCGCTTCCTCGAAAACTACATCAAAAAAATAAACTCCGCATCCTACTCTGATTCCTATCTCTCGTACTACCATCCTCGCAGCGTTTTCCACGATGCCACTGGTATTGATTATGTGGGCGGAGCCGTAATCTGGAAATGGATACAAGGATTATTTGACGGAGAAATATTCTCGAAAATCGAGATGGAAAATAAGGAGTTTTTTGTTATTGGGGGAATTGGGGGTCAGGGTGAGGAAATTGAGGGGGAAAATGGGATGGAACGGGAATGGAAGATTTTTGGTGAATCGATGGCGCATTGGTGGGTGAGGAGTTCTGGGGAGAAAATTAGTGTGCCTAGGAGTATGGTGTTTACGTTGGTGAAGGCTGAGGGTGAGGAGATGGAGGAGGGGGAAGTGGTTGATGCGAATGGGGTGCTGGTGGAGGAAGTTGGGTTTGAGGGGTTGCAGATTGGTGAGGTGAGGGTGTATTATGATCGGAGTTTGTTGATGGGGATTTTTAGGAAAAGTGAACAGGAGAAGGAGAGGTTTGGTGCTTGAGTTGTCCTTGAGGATGATGGAATTGGTGACTTTCTTTGTGATGTTTCTATTCTCAAGATTAACATTGGAAGCGGAATGTTAGTGAATCTCTAGCGAAGTTGTGGGAGCTCTTCGAGGCTTAGTTCCCAAAGTCTAGTTTCATGTTTCGCTATTTTACTAGATTTATTAGACCAGCGCAGCGTTTTTTTAAACAAAAGAGCAATATATGGATAGAGGAAGACTAGTATGATGAATAAAAGGCTCAACTGCAACAATATAAAGGGTCAAATGGTAAGTGTCCTCAACTTCATCCGTCTCGCCATCTCATTATATCAATCGCAGAAAGCTGTGCTGCGTATAAATTCTTTTACAGTTCCACGGCCAAATTAACAACAGACAGCTAAAATATCATTGTCACTATGCCTACCGGCGATATACAAATAATAGTCAAAGTTGACAGCATGTATACAGTATACTACTTACTGCGCTACCATACAAACGTTAAGGTAGCCACAATGTGACGAGTTACCATTCGAACAATCTTAAGACCTTTCTACCATTTTGAACGATACCTCTGGTCCCAATCAGGATTGTTACTGTTGATTTTGATTGTAGGTAAATTTTTACTCCTCTTTTATATTCCTACCGATCAACAATGCCATACTACCATAGTGCACTCCCCGCTCCGGATAGTTATTGCATCTTTCTCAAGCTAAATCAAACAATTGTTCTTGTTTCAAACCTCTTGACTTGGTCTATATAAACTCCGCCTTTATTAAAGAGCCTTACTACATGTCTACATCAAGGTGAGATAAGTATGCGTTCATTTTGAGCTCAATTACTTGTTTTTGCTTCGCATTATATCTCCCTTCGTTTTTAGTAGTCAGAGTGACCTGTTAGTCAAAAGATTTTTCTTGCATATCTACGAAAACCATTCTATTAATCTAATATGATGGAATCTACCAGATCAGATTTACTCAGGTTACTTCAATTACACTTCACTATATTCGGTCAACTCAAACACTCGCTCAAAGTGGGATTGTAATTGGTATTCCATATCAGCGGGATTAGTCCAAAGTGCAAAACGGAACCAAAAACGAGATTGACGATTGAGTGAGGAATCTGGGAGTACAGAGATAATTATTTTGTATATACTGTCTGTTATTTGTCTTTTTTGGCGTGGAAGTCATAGGAGAATTAAGTGAAGTTTTTTATTGTCATTTTACAGTAATTACCGCCTAATTATTACTTGATCTTGTTCATCACTGTGTCTCACTACCCCCAGTGGTCTTGATTTCCTCTCCTCAATGCTCCCCTCTTTTTCTTTTCCTCTCCCATCCCGTTCCTAATAATTGAAATATTGTATTTCTTTCTATCCTTAAGGGTAGGATAGGAAAGGAAGGGAATGAGCTTTTAAAATAAGATTTAATAATAATAATAGAATAAATTTTATAAGTCTAGTACCCCACTTTCCGGCCACCCCTCTTTCCGGACACCTTTTTACACCAAAAATCATCATTTTCAGCTATTAATAACTTTACAATTCATCATTAGGATTTGATGAAATTTGAATGACATATATATTATATAATTATTAATAGATTCTGAAAATTTCAGATTTTTCGCGATTTTATTAATTAAGAAATTGAAAGTTGAAATTAGGATTTTCAATTTGTATAAGATTTACATACAAATTTGAAAAACTTGAAAAACTTCAATAATTTTTCAACGAAAATTACTAAAAATAAACTATAAATTTTTTTGAAATCTTCAAATCAAAGATTATATAATAGGTTAAAATTTTGAATTTTTAATCACATAAATAAATCTTTAATAATATTTATAAATTTTACAAGGATTAAAAATCATAACATTTTGATTAAAAGGATTTCTGTAAAATATTTTTTAAAATAAATTGATTTATTTGATCAATTATGATATAGATATTTCCAAAAAAATTTATAATTTATTTTTAATAATTTTTATTCAAAAGTTATTGAAGGTTTTAATAATTTTTCAATTTTGTATATAAATTCTATACAAATTGAAAATTCAAAAATTTAACCTTTCAATTCTCAATCAAATCAATAGTGAAAAATCTAAAATTTTCAAGATTGATTGATAACTATATAATAAATCTATGATTCAAATTTCAATCGATTTAATTGATTAATTGTTGAAATATTAATAGATGAAAATCATCATTTTCAGTGTGAAAAGGTGTTCGGAAAGAGGGGTGATCAGAAAGTAGGATACTAGAGTTAATATAATAGTTCAATATTAAGATTAAAAGATTACATGATTTTATTTTAATTCCCGAAACTTGAATAATATCGATATCATTAGAAAGTATATTTGAATATTTTTAAATATTTATTTTTATTTTTAATAAAAATTTAAACTATCCCTTTTCATTTCCAACCTCAATCTCAATTACTTCTTTTCATTCCTATCTCAAAAATTTTTTATCACTTCTTTCTGCTTCTAATAATGAATTCTAATGAACCTATCCCTTCTCGTGAAGTAGGATAGGAGAGGAGAGGAGGGGAAATCAATATCACCGACTCCCCCCCTTCCTATATCTCTATTCCATTCATTTCCAGTAAGTATCTCATAATTATACCGCGTAGTCCGTTCTAATCCCATGCATATTGAACCCTAAAACAAGCCTCTGGCTGGTAGAAGAGGTCCAAAGTTTCCAGCTCTCCATATGATAACCGAGTCTAGTAGTAAACATTTCATAGGAATCCTTCTTTTAAGCATAATATACTCCATATTTCTAGAATAGATATACTAGAAATATAATTTCCATCCACACATACCACAGACTGCAACATAGCTCCTTAATATATATTTGAGACCGCTTATAGAAGCAAGTGGTGTACTCATGAAAGACGTGACTTCGACCATTCTTATAAACTCTTATATCCTACACCCCTCATCGACTCCACAATCCCCAGATTATCCAAGCCCCTTATCTATCTAGTTCAAATAGCCTCATATTGTCATTCCCTTTTTATTCTTATAATCAGTTGTAGACCCCTATCATTTAATTATTTTATATACTTATATTCTTATTAAAACCATTTATACTTATTTAAATAATAAATATTTAAATCTTTATTATTTTTGTAATTGAAATTTTTTTTTTTTTCGAATATAATAAAATAAAATTTAAAATTTAATTAATTAAATATTTTAATATATAAATCTTTTAAAATTTCTTATCTAAATACAAATCTTACTTTTTATATCTTCAAATTCCTATCCTGATTATTCATTTCATTGTTCTTGAAAATCTAAAATATAATTTAAATATTATTAAATAAATATTATTATTATACTTTATAAAATAATAAATATTTTTTATTTATTTATTTATTTATTATCAAATAGAAACTTAAATTAAATAAATCAAACTTTTATTTATTATCAAATAAAAATATTATTCAAGAATTAAAAAAAAATATTGATAAATAATTCATTTATAATTTTTATATTTTTTTTAAATATAAAAGATTTTAAAATGAAAAGTTTTAAAAACAAAGATTTATCTGCTTTGAAAGGTTTCAAATTTATTTATTTATTTATTTATTTACTTTTTCAATTTAAGGTTTCTGTTGTATATATTTAATAAATCCAATCTTAACTTATTTAAATCAATCTCAATCTCATCCCCAGTTCTAATTTCAACCCAATATAAAAATAAAATAATATAAACTATACTCCGCTCAATAAATATTTACTCGCTCGCTCGCTCGATTTCCTCGCTAATTCATATTTCCATTTCGTTAAAATCCATCCATCATCTCATCGACATCATCAATCATAAAACCCATTCCATGCACTATCCACGCACTATCCATTGCATCATCCACCGCACCCACCCATCAAACAAAGAAGTGAAGAATAAATTCCCCACCTCTCTAAACCTCCCCCCAAGCACCCATTCCCCCTCCACCAGCACCACCCACAACCACACTCCCCCTAGTAGAACTTCCAATACTACCCCCAATATCCCAATAATGTCTACTACTCCCACTACCAATTCTCAAACTTTTGAGTGTGCCACCAATAGGTACACCTCCACTTCCTAATCCCAATCCACTTCCACCAATCCCTTTACCTAACCCTCCCAATCCTAAACCGACACCACTTTCACTAGATCCTCTTCTTCCCACTCTCTTCCTCACCCCTCCATTATTCGCTTTGAGGTTGACTAAAGGATGATGAGCTCTTACTCTCGCTGCTCGAGCTAACGAATCGGGTGAATTTTCTACTGCAAGATTGTCTCTCGTACTTTTCGATAGTACCGAACCTGAAGCCGAACCTGCTGTAGAAGTCTGTACATTCTCACCCCTACTCGTAAATCTACTTTTCAAATATCGAAAGACCATTGTAATATCCAAATCTCTTTCCCATTCCTCTTTTGTTATAGGAGCACTAAATGACTGTGTTGGTGTGGAATCATCTTTTGATTCCTGTCCTCGACCAATAATGCTCGAATTCGGTATTGAAACTGGTCGAGTGATCGTAGGATGGAATTCTAAATCAGCATCTGTAGTTAGAGTTGAGGTAAGAGGTTCTATCTCTTCTTGTTCCAAATCAGGAAGTGGAATATCCGTAGCCATATTCATATTGTTACTCGAAGCTGACTCGGGGATAACAGGTAACCCTGCATAAGGAAGATGTGTTTGTTGAGTTTGAAGATATGTAGTAAAAGCACCTGGATGATCCGAAAGTTGATTGACCAGCAATCCTAATTCGCGAGCAATTCGTTCAAGAAGTCTGTATTCCCATGAACTCTTATCAGGTTTGGTGACGATAGGAATGGATATCGGTCTTCCTGGTATTTTGGATAAATCGTCTTCCATCGGTAGAGATTCACCAAAGATGATTGAGAGAAGATCATCATCTATACCCATGAGATCCCGTATTACTCTTCGAGTGAGTCTATTCCATAAACTTTCATTTTCGCGTATAATTGCTGGTATTGGTTCCGCCTCGACATGATTTAATGTAGCCAAATCCTCTTGTTCCTTATCCTCGACGACAACACTCCTCTTTTCACTCGACATGGATTGTTTCCTTCTTCTCGTCTCCCTTTGTATTTCATCCACCAAAGCTTTACTCTGTTCCAACCTCCACAATTCAATCCTCCTCGTTCTCTCCATTTCTGCCGCTCTCTCATTCTCCAAAGCCATATCCCCAATCTCCAAACTTTCCCTCCTCCTCTTCACCCTCCTAGGATTATACATTTCAAATGCATATAAATGTTGTTGAGCATCCTCTCCCATTCCATCCACCCTAAAACTCCCTAACCCATCATGTTTTGGCAACACTGGTCCCTCCCCATCTTCCCTATTCCCATAAACACTTGGTTCCGTCCTAAATTCGTGTAAATGACTATCCAACGAATCCAATTCCGCATCCTCATCTTCATCAACATCATGATCATCATAAATCCCATAACTTCTGGCCGCAGTTTCTAAACTCCCAAAATCACTAACCCTCGAATGGCCCGCTGTTCGTGTCCCTCTAGTCCTTCCTGTACTAGTCGTATATGTTCCCTCTGTAAAAGTCGGCGCCACTGGTGTAAATAATACCCATTCTTGACTTTCTTCTACCCTATTATCTCTCTCTTGTATATTTTGTTCTGTCTGCGTCTGCGAGTTTGCATCTTGACTTGTTTGTGTAAATATTCGGGGAGTTTGATATGTAGGTTGTCTAAAGGCCATCTTTATGTATATCACTTATCGTTGTACAGATATATGTGATATCAATACAATCTCCGTCTTAAATCTGTTCGCGTCTTTGTGATATAATCTCGGAAAGTCGTAACGATATCGAAGATAGAATAGGCTATCAATGAGATTGTTTAAAGATTTCGTGTATAGTATAACGTAACAAATTTCGAGGGGCTCGAGTCTCGTATGACGTTGATCGAGGATGATCTTGTACGACGAAGACTTAACGTGGTGATGTACAGAGTACCAAAAGCTCTAATGCAATGAGATGATTTCTTCCTGACGTCGTGTATTCCTAACCTATAAATATCTCTTGAATGCTCAACTTGGGAACTGACTTGATTCGACTTGATTTGGCATACACGTTCCACAATGATTGAATAACATGCATGCAGGTTCCCTGTCCTTCTTTGACGATTAATCCAATCCTGTCCTGTGAAGCCTTAAAAAACCAAGGGAAAAGTTAAAGCAAAGTAAAAATCTTCATTCCTCGAATCAAATAACAAATAAAGTCTCTCTTGTATATGTAAATATGTACCTATTCTTCAAAGTTCTCGAGATCAGCGGTTAATCTCACTGGCGTGACTGGATAACTACAGCACGCATACACGTGGACTGGTGGATAAGACTTTGTTTATGGATAAGGAGTGGGGGTTTCCATATCAATGTTTCTGATTCATTGCGATGAAAGAGTGGATGAGGGATGAGGGTGTGATGTATGAGCAATGGATGTATGAGCAATGGATGTATGAGCAATGGATGTATGAGCAATGGATGTATGAGCAATGGATGTATGAGGATGAGCAATGAAAGAAAGGAAAATAGAAGAATGGGATTGTACGGGAAGAGAGAAAGGGAGAATTCGGGTTCATCGAAAAAGAGTGAATATAATTAATTGTTGGATTGGATGGAGGTTGGTTAGCTGACTGATACTCAGAATATCCAGTAATACCCGATGAATGATTATCTGCATATCTTATCGGATGTCCCTTACTCGTATTCTATGTATTATTGTATCAAATTAAACAATATATACATATCCAGCCACTCACTCCCTAAATACCTCAATAATACACACACTTATTCATCTGCTTCCATAATCCATAAATCTATCATCCATCATCCATAATCCATCAAACAATCACATCATCCCTCTCATAAACTCCTCATTCATCTCCTCATCCATCTCACCATCCATCTCACCATCCATCATCCATCTCATCATCTCTTACCTCCCTCTCTCCTCCCACCAAACATCCTTCCCTTCCTTGAATATCCATCTTCATAAATTAAATTACAACCGCCTCATATCCATCTCCATCCATCCCTATCTATCCATCTCCATCCATCCCTATCTATCCATCCCTATCCATCCATCACTATCCATCCATCCCTATCTAGGTATCCATCTCATATAAAACATAAAACATAAAACATAAAACATAAAACATAAAACATAAAATATAATATACATACATACATCACCACACAAATCACAAAACCCCATCTATCAATCCACCCATCTACCAAATCCACCTACAATCAACAAAATCACCATCCACCATCCACCCATCCACCATCCCACTAATCACTAAACCCTCAAACCCTCAAAACCCAAAGTCTCAAACACTCTCATCCAATCTAAAATGGTTGGCTGGCAGCACTAAGGTTAAGGCATATTAATTAGAACATCGTCAAAGATCCCTGGAATCTTGCTGATCTGATAAAAGAGCCAAGGAGATGCTGTGTCATGATTTTCACATTGCATGTTGCTTTGTTGGATCACGAATCAAGGTCTACTTGGAGGCGTTCAGTTACACCTTTTCTTACCTTGGCTTAAAAATCCATACATATACTCAGTGTAGTGAGCTGACATGATCTACGCTTTCTTTCGTCCTACTCGGGCCTTCAATGTTAGATTTGTCACAGATATAATTCCAAGACCAAAAACACCAATAATCACGTCACCGACACGTCAGATATGTAAAAGAAACATAATGAGTTTGAAAGTCGTAGAATCAATTCCTTTAGGTACAATGATTAGGATTTGTGTCTGCCACTTCTTGTGACACCATGCTAATCCAGCCATTGCAAATGTACGCCTTTCTGATCATACCCCGAATTTCCCCTTTGATATCAACAACTCAGTTTATGCCTCAGTCTCGAAAGCAGCTGGGAAACGTCTAATGTTATCGGCCAACTTTCCGTGGTTGGACAAGAATTGAACGTATGCACCATCGACCAAAACCTTTCCACTTTGCTTCTTCTCCATGTACTCCTCACGACGGAGAGGAGTGAAACCCCAGTTCTTGGAAACAATGATCTTCTGACGACCTGGGAACTTGTATTGAGATCTGCGGAGGGCCTCGAGAGCGTTGGGGCGGACTAAAATGTATGTTAGATATTGTGAATAGATCAAATTTTGAATGTAAACTTACAAGAGTCACGAGTTCTGATGGACAAGATAATTTGACCAATGTTGACACGGGCAACAGTTCCGTTTGGCTTACCCCAAGCACCACGCATACCAGTTTGCAATCTATCGGCACCAGCACAAGACAACATCTTGTTGATACGGACGACGTGGTATGGGTGAGCACGGACACGGAGATGGAAGGATTCCTTTCCTGCGGACTTAACCATGTACCTGTTGAAGAGTTATTAGTTTCAAACTCGATAACCCTCCTTCATCTTTCCAATATCCATTTTTGTAATTCGATCTCCACCTTGAACAAATTCCTCCCTTCGACGTCATTGTTTCGGGTTGAACTCACTTGTTGGCGCAAATACGGGCGGCTTCCAAAGCCTCGGAACTCAATTGTTCATACTCGTTGGATACCAAGTGAATGCAGAGAGGGAACTCGTCGACATTTGCCTTCTTACGACCAAGATCGAAGATACGAATCTTTGGGTCGGGAACACCACGGTTGAAACGAGACTTAGGATAAGGCTAGTGAGAAAAATTGATCAGTTTCTAATTCCTTCTAATTATTGTGATTCTGCGATCGTAGATTTGCGCCGTTCAAGTACGTTCGAAATTGTTGATAGAAAGTGGCGAGCGATCAAAGTGTCGATTGTCGGCTATCCCTCAAATCCATCTCGCACATTTCGACATAACTTCTGCTAATTTTGCTGGTTTAAAATGAAATGTACGTACCTTGTTCTTGCAGTAACGGTAACATCTCGCTGGGCGACGGGCCATCTTGAATGATTTCTAGAGGGACTTTTGGGTGTTGTTGTCGATGGTTTGTTCAAGGGATTATGGGGGCTTCAAAAGAGACTTTGAAAGTTGGATTGATTGATCAGCAAAAATCGCACTAGTCTCGTAATGGATATTTAAGCGAAAAAGAATTTAGGGCAAACTTGAAATTTCCCAAATGGGACGTCAGGAGTTTCGGAGATCTGAATAGTGGCAATTTTGTATTTGAAATCAAGTAGAAATCAAATGAAGGAAGGTACTACTGTATGTCTCAGAGTGAAATCATTTGGGCTTTTATGTATCATTTGATGTCAGCATTAATTGTCACCATTAAATGTCACCATTAAAGTTCTCAGCATGCGGTATCCGGCTCTTGAAAAAGTCCGAGGTCGAAATGAAATCCTTCAAGAAATCAACGAGCCGGTGTGAGTCACTTTGACATTAAGTCGGGATACAAGCACATCAAGATATAACCATATACGTCCATCACTCAACACGTAGAAGAAAAAACGAAATCCTAGAATCAAGGTATGTCATTTCGTAATGCTATGAAGCTGTGCAGAATATGCACAGTGATACATATCAAAAGGTCAATCAATCATGATTGATCTTGAACCATCATCTAGAATTTCTCCACCTCGACAACCAATACTGAATGATTGATAATCCTAATCTATACAGCTTGGCTAGAGAGGATGTCGGAATCACCAGCATCCAAAACAGCCATGGTAGAACATCTGAAGAGCTTACCGCAAGCAGTACCGAGCTCAATCTATAAAAGGATAAAATAGTAAGCAACTGAATACCCTCCAAAGTCTAGAGAGACTTTATCGCTGGGTAATGTCCTCCCAGACCTAAAAGGTTCTGATCGATAGACGGATATTTGACAAATGAAATGTTCATGTACGTACGTTGTTACCGGAGAAGTGGTGAACTTGAGTCTTGGACAACATCGAGTAGTACTCGAGCTCAGACTTGCGGAGAGGAGGGGTGTTTCCGGCGATGATGACGAGCTTGGCCTTGCCAGATCGGAGTTGCTTGAGAGTAGACTTGTATCCGAGGGTGACTGTGAATTAAAAATTAGTATTTTATTGAACTTCACGTCGAAGAAAATTGATTTTTCGCATACCCTTTCCGGACTTCATAACAAGAGCCAAACGACTGTTGATGGAGTCGGCGGTCTTCTTAGCCTTCTTAGTTGCTGGTGCCATCTCTGCGGTTTTGAAATTGAATAATGCGCTCCGGCTGTATTGGAATGCAAGTTTGGTGTTGTCGTTGGGGTTGAAAGGGAAGCTTTTGAAAAGATCGAAAAGTTCTGGATATTTTCAAAGTGCGGGACGCTAAGGATCGATTACGCTAAGACTGAAATCGCCTAGACTAAGAGACGTAGAACGTGACTCCCTACCCTTTGATGAAAAGTATACACGTGATATAACTTGGATCTGCTCTACATGATACAGGAGGGATTTCTTGTCGACTGGACTTTTCCAGGTTTATGGAGATATCCAAAATATAAAACGGCCATGCATGTTTCGTAGATGTTGTGCTCAGATGTGTATACTGAAGATTAAGGAATGATGATCCCAGATTCCTAGCCAGACTTCCCATGTTATCAAATTCATGTCATGTCAACAGATCGCAGCCCGCAGCTTGCCGATCGCAGGTCCTTCAGCCTTGATGAAAATGCTGAATGCTAGATGCGAAATCCCACATTATCATCAAATATCGGTCATGATTCATGAAATTCCCAGAGTCCACTAGAAAAGAGGTCACGTTCACGTTTACGTTCATATTCATATTCATATTCATATAAAACCGAAAACCGAAAACGAGTAAAAGGAAGTTGTTCCGTTTTGAATACTAGGTACCTTGTTTCTCGTGGGCAAGAGATAATAAATAATAAATCCTACGGAGTACCTATGAAAACGGTGAAGACGGAGATTTGAAAAGATCAATTCATGCATTCATCAAAACGCATGGTCCACTGTGGGGATTTTGGATGGATAAATTCTTTGCGAACATTGATCATAGGGAATTTAGATAACAGCCAGTCATTCATTCCCAGTCTTTTAATATCGGGGTCATATCAAGGTACCAGTGATGGGTAATGAACCAGGATGAATATCGAACCCGGCCTTTGTATATTAAAGAGAAAAGGAGTATCGGTATAGGAGTGAGCAGAGGAAATAGGATGTATTTATTTATTCATTTCGATATACCTCTTGTACCTTACTGAGAACCATAAACCAATATAAAATACAAATAAAGTGACAATATCATATATAATATCATATATAATGATATATAGATAATCAATATCAATATCAATATCAATAACAAGGGGGTTGGACACGTATGTGTAAAAGGGAAACAACTCCCTCCTTTTTTGCAATCCTCATCCATGGATTCATCTTCATCCCTCCATCCCTCACTCCATCCCTCGCTCCATCCCTCACTACTTCACAGTCTTCCGCTTTGTATCTCCTGATCATAAAATACATGCAAGCCCATGTTGTACTTTGATACTTTTAACCAACGATAGCCAGCATTTTGTTTTCAAGCGCATCAACCGTTCAGATTTAAGGGTGGCTACTTGGTGGTTAGTTGGTTACTGTACTTGGAACTTGGTTACTTTACTCCAACCTACATCACATAACCATATCTTATCGCATCGCATCGCATCTCGTCGCATCTTCCCTTGTCCTGCGTAAATCACCAGACATCCATCACACATCACATCCACTTACCGCAAATCTTACTTACCAACCAACCAACCAACCAGCCAGCCAACCAATCTTACCTACGAATCTTACTCCCCTACCTCTCTCCCATTCACGCGACTTACGAAAATTACGATAAAACGCTTCTATATTTACATTTAGCTGAAGCGGCGAATTGTAAACAACTACTGAAAAACAAAGCCACTGCCCCAACAACCAAAATTCACTTGCCTGCTGTACTTATTACTGGATAACTTGAGGCAACTTTTACTACTACGAAATCTCCAAGAATAGCTCAATCCGCAATCATTTACTTTTATTTTAGCATTCATGCAACAATAAAAGATTATTTGATTTATTACTACATTATTGCTACATTGCTACAACCACTACATTCTATTCTTTGTTCCTTCAACGATTCCACGTTTCACGTCTGTTTTTCATTACGAGATCACGGTTTTTCGTTTTGCTTTCGTTTTATACCCTTCCTCAGGATACCATCCAAGTAATCACAATGTCAGCAGTTACAAAAAAACCCCCAGTGACTCTAGGAGCTGGTCGCAGAACATCATCAGATACTTCAACTATCAGTACTCCATCAAGAACTGCAACACGTTCACCAACAAAGGACTCTTCACCTGCTACAAACGGATCACACGCACGAAGTCGTTCAATACGCAGTGGTACCCCATTATCCGCACGATCTGCCATGCAACGACCAGGCACTGGTACTTCCAATCTCAGTTCGACTAGTGTGTCATCTGTAGCAGATGATGAGGCCAGGGCTGAGAGTGTTGCTCTCTTGGATGATTTGAAAGAGAGACTCCGTAAGACAGAAACTATATCGGAGCAATTTCAGAAACAAGCTCAAGTTCTTCAATCAAGGTTGGATGAAGCTTTGCAAGATCAAGGGAAGTTGGAGGATCGTTTACATGAGAACGAAGAGAAATTAGAGACTTTACAAAATGAAAAAAGGGATGCTCTTCGACAAAAGAGGGAGATGGAATCCATTTATGAAGCCGAGAGAAGTTCCATGACAAAAGAAAGAGAAGAAATGGCAAATCGAGAGGAAGAGATGCAGACAATCATTCAGCGATTAAAGGATTCTTTATCGCAAAGATCTTCGTCAGATGAAGAATCACGATTGTCTAGGCGTTGTAAGTTGTCACATTATCTTCTAAACAATTCGTTGTGCTAACATTTGAAGCAAATAATACTTCACCGAATGTCGAAAATGGACAATTCGCTCCTCCATCTGGATTGAACCGCAGCGACTCTCGCAACAATTCTAAATTACTTCTACAAAAAGATAGACTTATTGAATCCCTGCGACTAGAATTGGCAGAAGCTCAGATCAAATTGGTGGAATCCGAAAATATGGGAGGTGGACGAATGCAAGAGGTTGAAAAACTACTTTTGGAAGCACGAATGACGAATGCAAGATTGATGGAAGATAACGAGAGTTTCCAATTACTTTTACAAGAAAAGACGTTGAACGGCGATTTCTCAAAAGAACATTTCGAATACATGGGCGCATCTTCAAACGCTGACGCGCTGAATGCTCTCGAGGGACGATCACCAGGAGCTTCTCTTGCAGACGAGCTTTCTGAACTTAACGACAATGAAGGCGAGAATGATCAATACCGTCGCCTTGAAGGAGAGTTGAAATCTGCCAAGGACCAGAATAAGGCTTTAACATTATATATCAACAAAATCATCGAGCGACTCCTTCAACATCAAGATTTCGAAACCATTCTGGACTCGGACTTCAAATCTGGAGATACTAAAGGACCTGCAAATAAGGATAAAGATCTCCCACCGCCACCAAAAGAACAAGCTAGTGGTGCATCAATTCTTCAACGTGCGAAGACTGTAGCTATGGGAACTCGCAAACCAAGACCTCAATCAGTTATGCCAATGAGCCATTCAACACTCAATCAGGATCCCGAAACAGCCCCCAGCATTCCATTTGGAGTTGGCCGTTCATCAAGTGTCCGACAAGGAGTTCGTCCCAAATCAGAACAATATACCGGTAGTGGAGCATCAATCGTCAATCAAATGTACAGAGGTGGTCAAACCTCGCCCACCCTTCATGGACCCCAAACACCCCGACACTCGCAAACCTTTTTTGCGGCTGGTCCAATGACCGGTAAACCCGCTTCTCGCCATACATCTCTAAGTAGTGTCCCCACCGTGGGTAATTTCTCGGGACTCAGGAGCGAAACTAGTAGTATAAGCGGAGATAGCGGTGAGGTCAGCACACCGCCGAGTACTTACAGTCCTCCACGAAAAGAAGCAAGAAAATTCGCCGGAAACAAACCAAAACCGTTACAATTGGTTCAGGATAAAGAAGAAGAGGAAAAGAAGGCTAAGAGAGGAAGTTGGATGGGTTGGGCTTTTGGTGGCGCAGCTGCTCAAAAGAAAGAGGAGAGTGCAGGGGCTGGAGCACCAAGTGAAGATCCAATTATTGAATAATTGCGCAATGTGCTAGGATTTATACACGGAGTGGTTGGAAATTTGTGAATGGGAAAGGATATGGGGTAATATCTGATAATGATTACAGGGGAGATATGATTGAAAATTTGTGTGGAATAATGTTGTTGAATATGTTTGGTATACTGTAGTCTCGGAAGATTTGGTGGCTGGTGGATATATTTTTCTTTTCTCTTTCTCTCTTCTCACAATACCACATGAGGACATTAGTTTATCCTTTGATTGGTCAGTGGGTTGATCATAGAGGGTAGCTCAAAACTCCCCTCGATTCTTTACTACCTACGTTTAGTTACCTACTTTTACATCTACCTACTCCGTAGATTAACATCTCTCTTCTCTTTGGCCTGAGCTGGGTGCTTCTTGCTCGCTGGCGAGAATTTGTTTGATGCATGTTTTGCATATTTTGATACATACATGCTCATTCTGTATGTTTGTATGTATCTATCTATGTATATGAGAATGAATGGATGAATTGGAATGGAATCAAAAGATTTTTTTTTTAATTTTGGGTTGAAGTGAAAGAATGTTTTGATGTGAATGAGTATTTTTGGTTGATTGGATTGGATTGATTGGAGTTATTCGGTTAATACGTAAGGTTATCTAGTAGGTAGAGTGAGTTGAGATGTGATGCGATGTGAGATGCGGTGCGCGATTTGATTTTTGTTTCTGAATATAAATATAAATACAACTCCTATACCCGTAATTTCTTGTCCGCGGATGAAATAAATATACTGGATTTAAAATTAGATTTAGATTTATTGATTATTAATTTATCTTGTATATTGTATTGGGCTTGATCTCGTGTTATATTGTATTATATTGTGATGTTGTATTTGTATTTTATGTTTTGTTAGATTTGATGTTATATTAGATTTGATGTTATATTATACTTGATGGATGGGGATTGAAGATTGAAGATTGAAAATGAGAAGTGAGAGGTGAGAAGTGAGAAGTGAAAGAGGGTTGTTTGGTGGTTATTTGGGTTTATAATATAGAGGAGGGAGGAGGGTGGAGGAGAGGAGGGTGGAGGAGAGGAGGGGTGGAGGAGAAAGAGAGGAGAGGAAAGGAAGGAGAAGAGAGAGAAGATAGAAGATGAAGGAAGAGGAGGGAGGAAGAAGAAAGAGAGAAGAAGGGGGGATAATTAATGGATTGATGGAAGATGAGAGATGAGAAGAAGAGAATATATAAATAAGGATATTGTATAAAAAAATTAATTATAAATTGATACAAAGAAACAGAGTTATATAATTTGTAATTATATTATTTAAAGAACGAGTTTTGAATCCGGCCTTTTAATATTTGAAAAATAAAATAAAAATTGTTAATTCTTTTTTTTAATAATCTCAAAATTTATTTTGTAGTTTGTAGTTTGTTCTTTAAAGAGTTTAATAAGAAATATAAAAGTTTTTATAATAGTATATAAATATAAATATAAATATAAATATAAATATAAATATAAATATAAATATAAATATAAATATAAATATAAATATAAATATAAATATAAATATAAATATAAATATAAATATAAATATAAATATAAATATAAATATAAATATAAATATAAATATAAATATAAATAAATAATTTTTCATGTATTATTCTTGATTATAAATTTAAATATTTCAATAGAATATAAAAGTCGGGATGAGATTTTATAATTTGATATATAAATGTTTTTATTTTGATATTGTGATTTTAAAATATAAAGACTATGATGTATAGGATTGAAGGAATATTCATTTTGTATCAAGTTTGTTGTTCTCAAAGATAGATACAGGTGTACTTTATTCATTCGATTTTATTTAATGGGGTTGTAATGGATGTGTGTCTAGTGGGGGTATATATTCATCAACTTTCTTTTCTGCGTCTCTTTTTCTACACTTGTGTGTATATGTTCTCGAATTCTATAGTGTGGGTGTATGTGGTATCCTTATTAAATCCGAGTTGAGAGGTTGATGAATTAGAGATAAAGGGTTATAAGAAGATAAAAGTGAGTATAAGAGTAAGGATGGATAATAATTGGTGGTGAAAGTGAGGAGGATTCACTTATACAGAACAAGTAGTTTTGTGATTATTCAATCGATTGAATCTGGAAGATGGATTCTCTTTAAGTCTATATATATTTTATTGTATTTTTCAAGCCAAGTTTTGATAAGGATGTTGGGTACGAATTTAATGAAAATAACAGGGAAGTGGAATGGGAAGATTTTAACTCTTTTATCATGTCTTTTGGAGGGAGAAGGAACAGGGGTAAAGGAGGGGAAACTCGATGGAGAAATGAATCATATGAAATGATAATACATTCTCCTTGTCGAATCTGGAATTATTATTGTCGAACTTGAGATGATATAATAACTATCATCTTACTCACTTCTTATTTCTCATAATTTTTCGTCTAATTACCTAGTATCTTCTGCAGGGAATCTATATCCCCCTCCAGCAACTCTATAATTTTACTGCTGAATTCATATTTAGAATCTGTCTTTTCTTGTGCCAGGATGGGAGCCTTGATGGCCTCGATAAACATTTAAAAGTAATCTGGATTTTGTTTCTGAGCTGGTTGGATGTTTATATAGACATCTTTTGATCTTCTGTTCTCGGTTAATTTTCAAGGTGTAGAGTTGGTTAGAGATGTTTAGGAGAGGGATTCAGTCTCTTGTGTGGCGAATAGGTAATAGATACGTGATGTGTGGTTGCACAAGTCCGCGTGGAAAATGGTCGATGATTACATTCTATGTGGGCACCATAGCTGTCAGGAAATATGTATGTGGATTTTGGTGGTTAATTGAAGCTCTGGATATAAAGAGTGGTACTAGTTTTTTGCAGGCCAATCTATATAAAACCCGCAAAATTACAAACATGTCATAGTAAGGGGCAAAGACAAAACGAATAGTTCGAAGCAGATAATGTGGTTTTATAAGTCGAGCTGTAGCTAAGCTAAGATCAATCATCATAATCCATGCACTTTTGTATGCGAATATTCATCTCTTTCCTCATCTTGTGTCTTTAACCCTTTGTAGAATCATCTCACCTTTTACATGAAGATAATCTTGTTGTCGTCGGTAAACCGCAACGATCGCATCCAAGGTAACCCTCAAATTATCACCATATTCAACTTCCCTTTCCTCTTTAAACCCCTTCAGAATGGGCAAAAGAGGCCATATTTATATAATAATCTTCCTGCCCCTTCCTCATGGAATTGAATCAATGATTCTTATATGGATATACTGTTTTGATTTGAGGGATGAAGAGGTTTTTATATAGTTAGTTTGGATTCGCTTCCTTGATGGATTGATAGGTTTTGCATGTGATCATGAGGTTATAGTGATGAAAATAGGTTCTACTTTACTGTATGAAACAGGTGGGAATGGGTCTGGGTGGTTTACATATATACATGTACTGTTGGGAGATATAATTTCACCCGGGGAAATTAAGACTCAAAAATTTAGATGGTTATCTGTTCAATTCATTGAGATGTCTTTATTGCAGCTGTATCGGAAGTCATCTTTCAAATGTTTGAATCTCCAATCCAGCTCCCGATTTTATTTTCTATAATAGCAATTAGTAAAATATAAAGAGACCTTTAATGCGAGAGTATATTTCCGGTTCCCTATAGGTTTTGTTGTCATTCTCATTATTGGTATATTATATCATATCCTAGCCTCATCCTCTCTTCTTCATCACCACCATCTTCCTCCTCGTAGCGCCGTCAACTACATACTTCTCAACATTTCTTGCACAGATACTGCTTTTTCTAATCGTTATCCGCCTCAACTCAACCCATCTTTAAAACATTCGATACTCTTTAGAGCTTTAATGTTATCAAAATACTCTGCTGCAAAGTTCATTTCCTGCATTCACAGCACTCGAATCTTTAAACTATTTGAGTAGACTTAAATAATAGAGACGTTAATTTCATATTAAGGAGATTTTAGATTTGGAATAGAAGAGTGGAATATATGAAAGGAATCCGAAAAGAAGGACTTCATGAGTGGACGCCGTGCTCGCTCATCTATTGATCATGAAGTCAACGAGATTAACGTCTTGCTAAAGTATTAAGGATGTTTACCATCTTGATAAATTTATAGTGGATTTTATATACGAGATCAAGATTTGTCATACATAGTTCATAGGCCAACATATCAATCGGCGTCTTTTCCTTGCTGGTAGGAAATATGTTATTCTACAAGTGCTCTCCGCTCATTTTTATTACCCTATGGCGCGGGTGGATATTTGTTGTTGCTTTCGGTATATCTCATCTTCTCATCATCATCATCCCATCCTTCTTCCTCCCTCCACGACCATCTTCATCCACTTCTACCATTCTATTTCCTAAAAAGCTCCGAAAAATTCCAAATTTCAAGGCTTCTAATGAACTTCTCACAGACGCACTTCCTACGGTTTCGTAGCAACACAACTCAGGACGTTTGAGAAGGCTCTAATATAGAAGTTCTCCGAGCTTTGGTGGAGGCCTTCGTCGGAATGGAGGTGGCCTGCGGAGTTTTGAGTCTATTTTGTCGGAAAATATTGGCTGTGGATTGGAAACTGTTGGTGTATGATACGCTGCCTTGGATTCGATGGGGTACGTGGAGTTCAGCTTGAATTAGACCTATGAAACTAGTATCCTGGTTGTTACCGCTCCAAGATATCTTCTACGCTATATAGACATTGTGAAAAGCGTACATGGTGACTATAAACCTGGTTATTCACAGATACTGAGGCATAGTTGTGCATGGACTTACATCCACCACATCTCTTGTCCAATTTCCCACCCAAAACATTGCATCATACTCCGTTCCAATCCAGATATTTGTTTCAGTCAGATATCATATAATCTTTGTATCTCAATCTCTCCGCGCTCCTAAACTCTCATTTTGAATCACAAGATTCTAGTTGACGGTCGTCGAACATACAAAATCTTCATCCCAGGAGTATACTTATTTCTCCAATTACCTTTTGAAGTTGTAGTCCAGCACAAGTCTAAGGGTAAATAGCATTGATATAGCTCTCGGGAGCACCGAAAGTGTATTTTCGCGGATCATTCCATGTTGTATATGTGATTGATGACCTTTCGAAAGCGTGTTGTAGACTCTTATATATCCCCATAAACAAGACTCAAGTCTCCATATTGTACCAAGAGAGCAAAAGGATGGGAGATGATAGATGTAATATATCATTCACCTCTATCAACTCCCACAGTAACTTCACAGCCAGCCCGCTCCTGATGGATATTCATTGTATTCCTACTAACCCCTCAGACGCGGCTACAGATGGTGAACTGAATATTCCTTTTCGGGTTCGAAAGCTACTATAACAAACAGCTCAATAATTTCATACTGGAGCTTGATCAAGAAGAAATTCCATTTGCAGATGATGTTTTGTACGGAGTATATGCCCTACAAGCAACGAAGCCAGCTAAAAATCCACGAGGTGCAGAGTCCTTGACGCTGCTGCTTCGATAAATTTGTCTCTGTATTTCAATTCCATGATAGTCTCATCTTTCATCTCTCTTCTTGTATATGCGTCGTTGTCTCTGTATTAAAACTTAGTCTTGTTGTCACCACTTGGCCTCTCTCGCCATCAGACAAGGAGAAATATCAGCCAAAAAAACGTACAATAATCCAGTCTCAACTCCCATCTTCCGTCATTCCTCGGCCAATGTTTAATGGTTGGCTTCCACCCTATCTACAGGTAGCCTCTGTCAATCTCGAAATCTGAATGTCCTTTAAGATTTAGACTGGGTTTCCTCAGCATGCGTGATAGACTCTTCTTCTATTACTCCCTCAAACTTCTAAATCCTACACATCATCATAACCCATTATAAAATAGAAAAAAAAAACGACTCCAAGCAGAGAAATCACCCCTTCTTCATCCATCCATCCAGTCACAACCTCAAAAAGTGATTGATCGATGCAGCCCAGCCATCTTCCCTTCCAAATTCCGGAATCCAAGCAAAAAAATATCTCATGCGCCCGCCGGAAATCGAATCCGGGGCCCATCGATGTTGACTAACATCTCTTGCGATCAAGAGCTGCTAATGGCAACGATGGATTTTACCACTAAACCACAGGCGCTAGTTATTGTTGTGGGTTGTTGATGGAGGAATGGGGCATTGTGTGAAAATATATTTTCAGATTTGGTAGATCCATAGCACTAGACCATTTGTATTTAACCGAGAAGATTTTTTATATCAAACATTACCCGCTTTAATAAATAAGTTTAACATATATAACAATACAAATGATCTTTAAATTAAAGATTGTAATATATTGAAATAAAATAATAAAGGAATTTTTTTAAAAAAGTAAACTAATATAATCTTTTAAAGTATAAAAAGATTGAAAAAGAAATATTATCCTTTTTATACTTTAAAATAAATATAATATTGTAATTAAAAAAGACTAAATGAATTTAAAAAAAAAGTGTTAAAATTTCTAAATAAAATATAATTTTAAATATAAATTAGAAAATATATCAAAACACTTTAAAAATTAAAAGAAAAAATAAATATTCTACTTATAATTCATTCACTTTATGATTAATTATAACAAGTAAAGAAAAAAATATAAATTCACAAATAAGAAAGAAAAAGATGCGTTCGCCGGGAATCGAACCCGGGGCCCATCGACGTTATTCAAGATCTCTTCTGATGATGAGAAGATAATGGCAACGATGGATTTTACCACTAAACCACAAACGCTTGTAGATTACTAGTTATTGTTGAAGGTGTGTTTCTAAAAGGATATTTATTATCTTCTAATATTCAATGACATTAAATTGTTCAAAAATTTTGTAAAAGAAGGGTGCACTACCTACCGCAAGATACTCGGGCCAAAAAAAAAAATTCTCTACACGCAGGCAAGATTAGACATTCATTTGGTGATTCATTCAACAGCAGCAAGTAACATTGTAACTCCAGTCAATCAATCCTCTATCTCCTACCTATCTCTCATAAATACCCCTCCTCCTTCCTTTCATACCATAAATAACTTCCTCATCCAAAAAGCTCCCGAAAAAAAGATCAAAAAATAACAAGCAGTAATTAATGAATGAAGGGAATTGAGCCCAACGGGGGGGTCGAACCCCCAACCTTGTGATTAAGAGTCACACGCTCTACCGATTGAGCTAGCCGGGCAGGCTTTACTTGATGGTTTATTGAAGACTCAAAAGTTTGTTTACACATATATTTGCGGGATTGAGGATATTTTCTGGGGAGAGTTTGTCTTGTGAAAGAGTTTGTAAAATCTTTTTTCTTGGGGAGAAAATTTAAGCGAGGGGGTAGTGGGGTGGGGTGTTGGGGTGGACTTATTTTTTTGAGTGGGGTTTGGATGGATGAGTGGATGTTTTATAATTATTGAAAAGTTCTTTTTATTAATGGTGAAATTTTTGGAGATAGGATATCATCAGAAAAGATGGGGACACAGGGGAATTTGCTCCTGGAAAAGGTATTGTGGAAAGATCGATGTTGCGGCTATGTTGCGCTCGATATCCTTGATGCATACCTATGCTTAGATGGTTTTTATTTCGTACCACTTGCAATTCCATGTATCTCCATTCGGTATAACCATATATATTCCATTACAGTCATTTACTATGTTATTGCTGTTGTGTCTGGTGTGAGCTGTAGATATAGTTGATCTTGATGGTATAGAAGGTATGGGTTCTTTAAGTTATGCCTAGCATCAAAGTCTCTCAGTGCAATATCGGGCAGAATTTCTGATAGATCAACTGAACTTCATACTTGAAGAGGTTTCCTTACACGGAATAGAAGTTCTTGCAGATCTCATGATACTTATAAGGCTCATGTTTTTTTAACACAGTTCCATTGTATGAAATGAATCAAACAGATCAAGGTCCTCTCATCGTAAGACTTGATCTGGACAACTTGGAATCTCTGGCCTTGGATTATGACTTATGAAACGAGGATTCGTAAGGGGAATTTGATTCGAGAATTACATATTTCTCTATTCAAAACAAATCAAGGTTTCTTTAATCATGCACGACTGCGACAAGTCAGGCATTGCAAGTGCAGTAGAATATTTATTCATGTAAAGGGTCACTGGTAAACCCCGCCTTCATTATCTCATCCCATCATTCATATTTCGAACTAGAGCCATGGATATATATGCTCAATTCATGTCCAGTCTCTTTTCAATATATATCCTCCAAAGTTCTCCAAAACAACAATTCCAAAACAAATTCCGCGTGTGTGATACACCTTCGCTTCCATCTATTCGTATCCACACTGTCTACATAGCCCTACCAGCACGAACTTCTTCCACATACGACCATAGACTGAAGAGAATTGGGCATCCCGTCCGCTCTGCCATACACAAGCTTCAGATCGGTGGATTAGTAGTTGGGTGGGTGACCACCAGCGAATCCCCACTGTTGTATGTTTTTTGAGTTCTCATCTTTTTTTTTACTCACTCCACACTTCGCTTGATACCCTTTTCTCAACTTCGTCCACTTACTATTTATTCATGCATTGTGTGAAAAGTTATCTATCCTATTTCTGTCTTAATCTTCCATTTCAATTGTTTATAACTACATCCGCATCATATCCAGCAAGCCGACTTTTTACTTTTTTACCATACCCTGTTGACCCCTCACTGCTGCGTAACTGCTGCCTACCTGTCGAGACAAGTCATTCTGAACATTCTAGGATATATATATAACACCACCTATCCACACATCCTTCAATCATAACAACTATCTGATATCCTCAAAACCACCTTCTTACACATAATAAAGAATCCGCACAATGTCATGGATAACCAAAAACTGGATCGCACGATACTTAAAACCAGGCCACAAATTCCAAATCGGTAATGACCTCTGGCAACTTTCCGGAAATCCAATCAATGAAGCCGAATATGAAGATTTTTCAAGAGCTGTATATAAATGCAAACTTTTAGAGGAAAGAGAAGGGATTATATCTCCTGCTGTTGTTAAGATATGGATGCAGTAAGTGGAAGCTTTTATGTATACACGCACACATAGATGTCTTTATTTCTTAATTATCTTGTTTTGTGTTGAGGACCGGGAGTAAGTTTGAGGAGCAAGTTGTTAATATTTGTTTTAGGACTCCGGAGATAAATACTTATGATGGTTGGTTTTATGCCGGCGAATTGTATGATTTGTATTTGGCGGAGAATTTGAATATAGCTGGGACCTCGGATGGTGCTAGTCATTTCGACTCCTTTGGAAAATTCGTTGCAGCTGGCAATTCGGATATCGCTAATGATTCTAATCTCACTGGACATTCAGACTCTACTGTTGGATTGGATTCAGATGGTCATTCAGATATCGCTAGTCATCCAGGCTCCGACAGTCATGCAAATTCAGTTAACCATTCAGACTCTGCCTGCAACTCAAACTCCACTACTCATCCACTTTGCACCAGTCACTCACCCTCCCCCAACAACCCCAACGTAGAAATAACCAGCCCAGAAACCCAGCACTCCGAACCCTGGACCTCCGAACTAACCTGCTTAAACCTCCTCAACGAATCTTACTCCAAACTCCACCACACCACCATCTCTAAAGAACCCTCCAACCCCCCACCCTATAATTACAAACCCTTCCCCTACGCCATAGGGCTAACACAATACAAACAACCACGCAATTTTCCACTCGAGGGGGGATATCTCGTTTATTTGGTTATGGAAAAATTACCAGGTGAATGTATTCACCCTGGTGTGTTTTGGGGGTATTGGGATAGATGTGAACGAGATGCTTTTCGGGGGGCTTTTGAGGAGGGTTGGGTATGTTCTTTTGGGAGCGGGTTATTGGGAAGGTGCGATGTACTGATATACTAATACCTTCTTCTTCTTCCCATATTAGAATCCTCCAAAAACTAAGCATAGAAAATCGAGACAAAGCCATGCGGAATTTACTGTACGATCGAGAGGGTGGTAGATGGTTAGTTTTCCTTTCCTTTCCTTTCCTTCTCCCCCAAATCCAACCTACACATACTAACCACCCACCCCCCAAAAAACCAGTTATTTCATAGACTGGGAAACATGGCGATATCGCCGTGAAGAAGCCTGGCCCCCTCTTCCGATCTTACAATATTCTTATGATATGATTCGGGAGAGGGAATTGGGTATGGGTGATGAGGATGAGGGTGAGGAGAGGTGGGATAGGGAATAGGTATTATGTGGCTGATTATGGTGCATATAGGGGATAGATAGATGGGTAGAATTTGGGTGAGGTTTATAATTTATTTGGAAATTGGGAATTGGGAATTGGGAATTGGGAGGGGTGATATGAATAAATAAATGTTGTTATGTTTGGTTCTCTTGTGGATTTGTGTATACTGTATTTTCTTTTTATTCGATGAGAGTTTAGGAGTGAGGATTGAGGATTCGGATGAGGGTGGGGGATATTATGTGAATTGGAGTTGGAAGGTATAGATATATTATCTATAGTCTATGTTTTATATCTTTAGCACGTAGTACCTAGTATCTAGCATCTAGTATCTAGCATTTAGTATCGAGCATCTAGTATCTAGCACCTAGCACCTAGTATCTAAAGTATATCCACCACATATCAACCCATATCTAACATCAACCACAACCCAATCAGCACCGTTCTACCCCTATTCAACTTGCGGCTCGATTCTCCCGCACAACCTCAGATCTACCCTCATCATCCACAACACCACCCACCTCACCCTTCCTTCTCCTCCCTTCCTTTTGAAACCTAGACTCTTTCGGCTTCATAGCAAACCAAGCCGGCAAAGCACATTTTCCCACCAAACCCTTAAAATCACTTCTACATTTACTCAAAAACTCCTCATCAGAATATGTATTTAATAATCTCGACTGTGCCCCCCCAGATTTAGCATCTACCAGCAATTGCAGAATTTCCAACAGGGAATCCGACGTCTTGGGAAGAACTTGTACGGTTTGACCCGTGCGTGCTGATACGAGGAATCCCGACGCTGATTCTCCGAGAAGTAACATGTATAATGCGACTTGTAGTAGGTGTTCTGGTGAGAGAGAATCTGAATGTTTGATTTCCCATACGCTGGCGATGCCTTTTTTTGGACGACATATATCCATAGCTCCGCTTACGAGGACAATTTCCTTCTTTTCCGGCCTTGTAGGTCCGCCCCCATAAGTAATTTCAAGAAATTTGCGAACACTGATACGTTCGAAAAAAATACCTCGCACAGGAACCTTGGCGGCGCCTGCTAATGTATTGAGTACATAATTAATATATGTACAATATTTCTCTGTCAGCCACGTATATCCCGTCAGAGGAATACTCAATATCTTGGTAATATCCTTATCTTTTAATGCCATCTCGATATTTGACAAATACAATATGTCCCCGGGTGTTAGAATCCCAACATCATACCTGTCTTTTATAGACTGAATTTTCTCATAATAAGCTTCAGGAAGCTGTCTTAATGGATTTCTTCGCTTCGTCGGTCTTTTGAGTGGTGAGAGAAGTCGCACGGGTCCTGCGAGTATGGATAAACTTCTTTTAAGATACCATTGAAAAACAGCAGGAATAGCCGTTCCCGTAATACCTGCTACAGCCTCAACAAGACCATACTTGTCGAGAATTTCAGACGGTGGCGGGGAGCTTCCATAAGCAGGTTCGGCAATCATTTGGAATTCGAGACGACGAAGACAGTCCGTTATAAGAGTCTCTGAAAGGTTTCGGCAAAGCGCAGTGACGTTAAATAGAGGCATTGGCCGTTCAGGGGCAGGAAGTTCGATTTTGTGCTCGCGAGTCATGACTAAATCGCATGTTTGTCCCACGGTATTCAGGTCTACGAAAGGCAGTGAAGAGTTTGTATGCGCATGAATGAGAACAAGATGTTCAAGGGCCCGCGTGGCTGCGACGTATTGTGGATTTGTGACAGCTACGGGGTCTTCCGAGACTTTATTATAAAAATTATGGTATCCTTGATCAAAACCAAGTACAATCGAAGCCTTACGTTCGATACCCTTCGCCTGATGATAAGTGCAGATCAATACCTTACCATGAGCGACTTCAGGTGCGATTTCTGATATGTCAGAGTCCGATCTAAACACTGGGATTTCACGGAGCGCGAGGTCATTAGCAAGATAAATTGCAGGTGAGACTCCACGCACTGACGGGGAAAGAACTATTATATCGTTTGGTGATATATCAGGAAGTTTCAGGAGTCTTTCTACCTCATGCACCAAATCCTCATATGGATCACATATGACATATCGTGGTTGAGGATATGGTTGACCTGATGCATCATTGGATTTAACAGCCCGCATAGGTTTCCCATGTGGATCCTTAAGAAGAAGTTGTTGGTTGATAAAGTCGACGTTAGGTTTAGTCATGCGATTCGTAGCTGTCTGATCAGCCAAGATCCAGTCTTCCCGATTGATGTAACCGAATACCTCAGGATGATCAGCCATAGACAAGAAGCGTGAGTCAGCATTGTTAAATCCGTAAACTTCTTGACGTCGGTCGCCCAAAACGACGACTCTCAGCTGTTTCTTGGTATTGGGCTGGCGGTCAGGCCCGATGAATCCTTTGTCGCGAATGACCTTGTCCACGAAACGTTTCAATATCGGAGTCATGTCCTGTTGCTCATCCAAGATCAAGACGGAAAATTCAGGAAGTTCCATGCCACTGAGAACATTCATGTCATCTTCAACAACTCGCTTGAGACCCTGATCGGTGGCACATTCTGATGTGTAGTATCTCGCCCCAAGCGTGTGGTAGTTTTGTACAGTCACGTTGGTGAGACCCAAATCTTCGACTCTCTGTTGTGTCTCCAACATCAAACGCCGGTTGTATACCAAAACTAAAAATCTGGTACCAGGTGCAGATTGTGCAAGATGCAAGATGGTGGTCGTTTTTCCTGATCCAGCACAAGCATCAACAATGACATTCTTTTTGGTATATAACAGCGTATCAATAGCCACTTGCTGTTCAGGAGATGGTGGCAACAAAGTCGTCGGTGGACCAATACCCCTAACCGCATCGATCGTCTCATCTGGAAGACTTTCCTTTGCTACAGACGCAACACGCGCCAGTCCTCTGGAGAAAAGACATATAGCGCTAGGTGGATGAGCCTGCTGATCAAAAAGTGACCATGACGAATAAAAATATGGCAAGCGATGGCTAAGACGACTGGGAGAAATTGAAGATGCCCTTAACGTCGCATGTGGCCATAGAGAGCAACGTCGAAACATGGTGGAATTGCGAGTGGTGAACACCACCTGACTGGGCACGTGCGGAAGGGCTCAATCCGCAAGTTTGAATGTGAATTAAGGTGCGAATGGGAGAGTTTGATGTCCTCTCAGCACTCGGATTCCGTGGCAAATATCAGTGCAGACAACATACTGCTCTTGATCAAGAACAGCAGGAAGGGCGAATTTGAAATAAAAATGTAAGAATGCTCCAGCAGTATATTGAATATATCCATCCAATCGGGATAAAGTACAAGACCGAAATGTTAGAATATAAATTATGATGTGGAGAGCCAAGGTGGACCGGTCTAGTGAGCTGACTAAGCAAATCCTGGGGAAATACTTGTCGATCACTAGTTCCGAGGCGTCATTATTCATTCGATGGAGTAAAACATAGTGCTATCATAAAGTAAGGATTTCGAATTTCATATTTGAATGAACCGAGATATTTATGGACTAACTGGAGGACAGATTTAAGGAACAGGTACTAAACATATCCTCTTGAATAAGGTGGCGAATAAGCTGTCCCATCGATACTCCCGCACAAAGTGTTTAATGTCTAGTGCAGAAATTGTACGGCATTTTCAATAATTTTTTACCGCAAGATCTTATATATACCGTATTTAAAACTAAGTATTTCATTCCTAAACTAGCCGCCTTTTCGCACTTAGTATGTCATTAGAAACTCAAGATAATCCAGCGTTGATCTCCTAGCACACAGATTTCCGGCATCAGCCAGGCTTGACTCCAACCAGTCTCCCATTTACCGTCAAGAATCCCGCCTACATAATCTGACAACTGTCCTATCACAAACCATCGGATATTGACCATAACTAGGTACTATACCATAATCCATTATGCCAGAGTCCACATCAAAGGTACCCACCCACGTTTGCTGTATATGAAGTATCGTGCCATTTTCAAGGGGTTTGCTATCAGTTTTTTCTGCCGTCTCATGTATTGGAATTAGACGTGAACGCCCCTATAGTTTCACACATCGTTGAGAGAGGATGCAGGAAGTTTTGGATATATCCGTACGCGATGGGTTGTCTTTTGCGTTCTACATGCATGTGCATGGTGAAACCAACCACACCTCGGACAATATCGAAATCGGTTCGGAAGCAAATGCCCGAGGGACGTTGCCATTGATCTCCCTACCAGGCCAGAAAATGAGGCCGGTCATCAAACAATCCCAGTAATTGAAGAATGCTATCTAAACATGCGTCGTGTCTAGCCTATCTCCAATGTAAAGCGATTAGGTGTGCCATGTCGTGTACATTGTCAAAAACTCCCATCTAGTTGCTTGAATTCAAACTGCTGACGACGACTCATTCATTTCCACTTTGTGCAGCACAATGGGCGCTGACATGTTCTATTCAAGTAGGTTTATAGGCCTTACGAAGGCCTGGAAGGATCCAACTTGGTGGGGGATTAAGGGTTTCTCACTACGCCGCCACAAGTTTAATCTTGGTCGTGGGGTAGGACGTTGCAGGATTCTTCGCCGAACAAACCGATTTTTGACAAGATTAAATGGGGTTAACACAGAAAATTAAGAAATGGAAGTGCGATGGGAGACTAGGGCGTACAGATTATTTGTGATCCTAATTGCAACATCCTGAGACTTCTGGGAGTCCATCTACCATTTAATAGAAACGGGTAGAAATCGGAACAAAATAAGCTTGCCAGTGACTAGTAAGATGACGATAAACGGGATAGCTGACTGAGACAAATGGTACTTACCTGAGTACATTTTCTTCAGATGAAGAAACGACATACTTCAAGTAGGGGTTGAAACGTCTTCTTACCCTGCAATCAGGGAGGCATGTATCTGAATATAAATTTAAGGATGCATAAGAACCAGGATAATTCATCCTACGACCCACCCGTTCCTTCCATGCTCACTCTTGCAGAATTTTAGGAAGATGTAAATTCTCGAAAAGAAATACCCATACATCCTCCTTCTTTCCAATGTTTGTGGTTTGTTTCGAGAAATGGTGGTTGTGCGAAGCATGGTCTCCTTGTACGACGAACCTCATGATACATCAACTATGATCTTCAATCCTGCAGTCGTCCCGCATTATACTTTTGTTTGTGCAATAACGAAGAGCGTGTTTCTTCAAAGGGGTATCATTCTGATGTCTGGCTCTGTTTGCAAATCGCTTCGTACGGCAATAGGATATCTTTCATCACATCAAGGATCGCATTTTCTAGAAGGAATGTCTCTTGGCTGAAGTGGCACTCCATCACCAGTTCTCTTTTTCAGGTTTTTCTGCGGGCCGTGAATGTATAGAATTGGCGTCTAGTGTGCCATTGATTTAAATGCGCATCGCGCTCACCTATCTTGCAACCAAAAGTTAGCTTAGCCTGGCAATAAGTGACAACCTGTAGGACTTTGGCATACTAACTGTCGCAAACTCTACGGCTGCTTGTTGATGTATTGAACCGCCTTCAGTAACCCCTTTGATCTATGACTCTGGATTTCTGAGTATCGAATTTCATGCTGTACCCATAATGACAAAATTAATTTGGGTCAGCAAGTTGCATTTTGATATTGAGAATTGATTGGTCATGTCAGCAGGCTGCATATCGCACCAGCTAGTGTACATCAGTCAACCAATCATAACCCTCTTCTTATCATCAATAAGCCAGGGCTTTAGATGTCCCATCTGTGTAGCCTCGTCAGCGTCCGCCTTACATTCATCAACTGCACGAAGTAATTGGAATATATACATCATCTACTCACTTCTCCCATCCTTCAATGTCCTCTCTCTCATCTCAATTTTCCTATATTCTACATCTACATCCACCGTAATATCCTTCACCACCAATCCAAAAAAACCAGAACAATGCACCTCATCCTGACCGGCGCAACCGGGCTCGTGGGCTCCGGTATCCTCCAAACAATGCTCACCAACCCCTCCATAACCAAACTATCCATCCTATCACGAAAACCCGTTCCCCTCGCCGAAACACACCCCAATCATGAGAAGGCCAATATCATCCTCCATTCTGATTTTAAAAAGTATCCCGAGAATGTGTTGGCTCAGTTGAGGGGTGCGGATGGTTGTGTGTGGGCTTTAGGAACGAGTAGTTCGGGGGTTAATAGGGAGTGAGTTTTTATTGAGTCTTTGGGAAAAGGGCAGTAAAAGAATATATGCTAACGATTAATTCACAGAAAATACACCGAAATAACACAAACCTATACCCTCTCCGCCGCTCGAGCTTTCTCACCACTCAATTCCCCAAAACCATTCAAATTCCTCTATATATCTGGTGAAGGCGCAACTACATCTCCAGGTATATTTACACCCATGTTTGGTGTGGTGAAAGGAAAGACAGAGGCCGATCTCTTGGCTCTTTCTGCAAAAGAAAAAGATTGCGAGAATCTGAAAGTGTATAATTTGAGACCGGGCGCTGTGGATGCTTTTGCACATGAAGAAATTAAAGAATTTGTACCGCAGAGAAAGGGAATGTTGAAATTCATCGAGTTGGGTTTGTTTCCCGTGGTGAGAATGTGCAGTAGGAATATGTATACGCCGACAAGGGAGTTTGGGAGGGTGGTTACGGAGTTGATGTTGGGTGATGGGGAGAAGTTGGAAGGGAGTGGTATTGTGGAGGGAAGTGGTGGGAGGACTTTGAGTAATATTGGGTTGAGAAGGTTGGGTGGATGGTAGAAAAGACATTTCATGATTGATATTCATATTTCATGTTCGGTAATAGAGCAATTTTAATATGATATAGAATAGTTATTTATTTATTCTTATTTCGTCTCATTTTGAAACCCATATATAGGTATCTACCAACTATCTAATTCTCTTTAATAGCTAATCTCTGTAGTTCCTAAATTCTCCTTTCCATTTCCTTCCGTCAAAAGTCCTCTCATAAACCACAAGTATCATGTACATCCTTCCTCTCCATCCAAAATCCATCCACCCATCCATCCACCTATCCATCTACCCATCTCACAAAATAAAAGAAACTTAAAAAACAGACAGTATAGCATGATATACATGCCCCATCCCCCTCCCCCTTCCCATAAACCTCCAAGCCAAACCCCCCCTGCAATATTAAAATAAAACTGGTATCATAGAATAGAGTATGTAAAGAAAAAGAGCAAAGATATAGCTAGCTACCCAAGACAACCAGCAAGTGGAAAAAAAAAAAAAACGAAACAACTAGTCATAGCAAGTGGTATGAAATCGTGAAAGTCGTTAAGAGTTTTTACACGGAAATGGAAATGGGAAAAACGCCAAAAAAGCCATAATTAAACAGATTCCTAAACTTTAACACCTTGTTTCCCAGAAGGCATAGTAAAAACCATCGGACGAAGTAAAAACGGCGACATAGGAGCCGAAGGTGAAGACCGGGGATCAGATTGAGATTTCTGTTGAGATTTTTCCTTACGAGGAGATCGCGCTTCTGATGAAGATTTTGCAATCTTCTCTTCTAGAACAAATTGAACATCGTCAGAAGAAGGCGAATCACCCATCCTGTTAATCTCATCCTCTACATCAGCCAATAAAGCAAAAACATCCGAATCAGCATAGATACGAATAGATTCAACGGTTTTATGGCGATATTCTTTTTTCTGCCTAATTTCTGCTTCGGAAAGTCGTCGTCGTTCGTTTTCGTCTTCAGGCTCGGCTTCAATTTCAATGTCGACTTCAGCGTGCGTTTCTAAAACTAGTGTTATGCCCTTGATGGGACTTCGAGGCGGACTTCGTGGTGGTGTGATGGTATTCATAGTCAAGGAATCTCGAGCGATGGTATGGTTAGGTTCGGTAATAGGCATGAATACTGCAGCGGCGACATGTTCGAGTAACTTTTGTCGCACGCGTGTACGTCTATTTTCGGCCTGGTCGAGTTTGGATACCCAGTCATCGATAGAGGAGTCGAGTTCGGCGAGAGCTTCTTCTTGTTTGAGGATGGAATCGTGGGAGAATTTGGCAGTGCGAGGTGAGCGGAGATATGTACAGATGCGATCGTGAAGGTTGCGACGACCGGCTCGTAGAGAACGGTGCGTTTTGCGGAGGTAGAGACAGCGTTCATCTAGGGCGCGGAGTTCCTTTGCGTATGTTAGTGGCTGGGATTTAATGGGAGGGAGGTAAAACATACTCTTGAAAGATCATCCACGTCTTTTGAATTGAGAACTTCAAATCGACATACTTGTCCGATAGCCTGGCATCTAAGCGTCTCCATTTCTGTTTGGGTTAATTTGGAGCTCGCTTGAGCAGCCTTCACTCCCTGGGGTAAATGTTCAAAGGCTAATTGTTCCTCCAAAGTGGGAGCTCGTTTGGAAGACATAGCCTTGATAGGTGATCCATCAGAACGTTTCTTTGGTCTTCCTCGATCCATTATCGAAGTGCTGGATTCGGATTCTCGGCGTCGATGAGATGCACCCTTGGAGAAAGAATCGGATCGTTGCTGCTTTGTAGGAATAGTTTCTGATTGATTGCGGGAATGGCCTGGGGAGCGTCGCCGTGGGGTTGGAAGAGGAAGAGTGGTTATGCTGGAATTTACACTTTGTTGTTGCATGATGCTTGAGCCATTTTTCCCAGGTTTGGGCGAGGATCGTCCGGAGAAAAAATTCATCATCCACGGCTTTGGAGATGAACGTCCTTCTGGTGGCGAACTTGGTGTGGTTGCTGCAGTGGAAAGGCTCATCGAAGATGAAGGGGTGAAAGGAGAACATTTATGATGTGGGAATTGCTCCATCATTCTAGCTGACTTTGGTGGAACTTGTGGTGGTGTTGGTGATCTAAGTGTACTTGGTGAAGATTTAGTACGCACTCTTTGTGGCATTGGCGCATTTCTAGATGGGATAACAAGAGGGGCCAAAGATTTTGGCGAAAGAGGTTGATAGGGTGAACGTGAGCGGCTTTTGGAATTTGATCGTTGTGTCTTAAAATTGTTGACTTCATTAAATTGGCTATCGACCTCTGCACCCTCATCTAAAGTTGGTCCCTCAATACATGAAGCTAAGGATTCACCATATGTATGTTGCCTCCATTTGCCACCTGGTGCACTAAAGGATCTTTCGTGTAAAGCAGGTCGTCCTGGAATAGTAGCTATTCAATGTTAGTCCTATGCATGCTCTGAAATGATTGGAGTACTCACGAGAATCCATCGCAACTTCATGTACAGTGGTCATGGGTCCCAATTCGGTGATACTTATTTTCCTTCGTTTACTCGGATCTTTTGGCTTTTGAGTATTATGCTTCTCTCCCGGTACCGATGTCGAAGCTGATTCTGGACTTGGGCTATGTCGATTTGAGCTAATCGATAATTTCTCTTTAAATGGAAATATACTATATTTCCGTGGTGCTTCGCTAGGTTGATGCATTCGCCAAATGTGTTTTTCTTTCTCTTCCGTAACTGGAGCTTCTAAACGCTAAATATAATGTGAGCAAGAACCAGCTTAATCATGAAGAGAATGACATACAAGATCCTGAGCTGAAGGGGATACACTCAGTTCACGAGCTATTAAGTTATTTAAGCCAATAGTGCTCGCAGCATTGGCTATGCTGTCGACGATATGAGCCATATTATATACCGATCTGTTTCGAAGCTCCCGGCTCGAATTTGCGTATCAATGAAGTAGTAAGATAGATTGGTATTCAATCGTTTGGGAAGGAATGTACCATATATATTAGTATATTGGAGTTCGAAATATATAACGGGACCCGATCCACTTGGGTGAGGTATAGAGGCGGAAAAGACAGGATTAGGATATACCCAAAAAGTGCCAGACACTTGGACCGACCCAGCGAGGATTCAAGTGGAGATATGTAATATTCTCAACATATTCATTCCCAGTCTATAAAGTAATGTGCAGCAGGGCCCATTAGTGTCCCTTTTTTCTTTTCTCCTACTTGAGAGTGAACACCGATGGTTTTAGCGTCTGAGACAGGTACAGTGAAAATGACAAGAAGGGGATAGTAAGCACTTGACTATGTGTCAAGGTATGTAGGATGCTAGAGAGTAGTATATGTGTAAACCTCGGAATTACCAATTTTGCCTCATTCACTTGCTGATACGATGGCGTACCAATGCACTGTCTAGAGGGCAGAATTTTGCATTTCTGGGTGAATGAGGTGCAAGTGTTTGAAGGCTGTTAGTGAGAAAACAAGGGTGGTTGATGAAATGAAACCGCTTGGAGCTTCTGACAGGATAGAAGAAATTCGCTTACCACCTTACCATCAATCAAGGGTCCGTGCTGCCCCGTGCGCATTCATGGCAGCCATGCAACTGGATGCAAAACTAGGAATACATAAGGATCTAGGAAAGAAAAGTCGTTGACTGCATGAGACCGGGCAAGAATCGTGGGATTTACATACAAGGGCGTTTTGTTGGTGCGTAAGAAGAATTAATAGGTTCTTACTAGTCAGGTAGGGAGGGAGAGGGATTATGGACATGGGCTGACTAGCTTCGTGATGATGATCATTAGAGTCGTGATGTACGGAATGTGTACCTGCTCACTCGAGGAGGTGGCTGATTCAGGATCAGGAATTCGAGGTTCATGATGTTTCTCTGATGATGACTTTATGTCGGTTTGAAGCTAATGGAAGGTTGTACCAGTATCGTTATCCATTGTCTTGGTGAGATCTCATACAATCTTCATCCTAGTATAGCTTCCGTTGACCAAGACAGCTAGTCTTGATGATCAGCATCGGGAAAATGAAAAGAAGCTTCGTATCAGTCGGTGGGTGATTTTTTTGTGCAGACGTCGATATTTTGGGTTGAGAAGGGGGCAAACCCAAACAGTCTTGATTTGCGATTAGTGGATCATTCTCGCGTCTTAGGGGTCATTGTGGAGATTTCCGCATTGGATTAAAGCCTGAAAGTTTCTTTTGACGCCCTAACAACAGATATAAACCCCTAAAGGAATACTGTATGTCTAGGCTCCATAACAGATGCAGAAAACGAACTGACGAGAACTCTAAATCAAAACACTATACCTGAAGGATAATTCCATTCTAGTATAGATGGAAAAGACTCCCTGTTATCGCGGCTATTGTATTATCATCGTATATACTAAGTTTCGTTGCTTTGCCCTTCTTCTAGAGAAACATTAATTATACCGCGGCTACCAATAAATATGTAGCCTGATTTTAAATTTTATATATTTGAGTATATGAGACTATTTTTGTTTCTAGAAGAAGATACAGTTCGCCATCTAATCATAGCACTAATTGACCGAGGGGAGCTAATTACATCTTCATTGGTCACAAGTGGGAGCTGTCCCGTTGTTTTTACAGAATACAAAGATATAGCGGAGATTTGGATTAACATTTCTAATCTCTATCAACTTCAATGACTTCAATGAAAGCTGCCAGCCAAATTACCGCAAAGCTTACATTATTACATGTTCAATCACATCGATGAGTGTTAGATGTCGGCACAGAGTTCAGCTCTTTTTCCGATGTCCTTTTCAAGCTACGTAGTCTGTGTGGTCTCAAGCTCTAGACCAATGTGGAGAAGAACTCTCAAACCCCCTTGATACTAAAACCTACACAGCACAAAAGTAAATGTTTTCGGCACAAATCCGGTTCATCAGCCAGTCACAGTGGATTTGGAACTGTTGAATCACTTCACATATCATTTCCATATCTATCTCGAACTCCTTGATATTCTTACAAATGGATGGCCATGTCCTTGTTGTTCATCCGGAAATTCTACCTGGTTAGGACAACCCCCCTTGAAAACTATTTTCTCAAACATCGCTTTGGATAGAGATATTCGATATTCTGAGTGCTAACTTTGCATCCTTCTGCCATGAGAAGCAATTAAGCAGCTAGGATTGTGGAGAATTTGGATGATCTCGATGCTAAACATATACTCTACTTTCCTTTCCAGGAGCCCACGCAAAAATGTGATTAAACGTCACTCTAAAATCACTCTCTAATCGGTTAATAATTATTTAGTTTAGAACCTTGATAAGGATAGCGAAAAGGATGACCTCAAGTCAATGGTTGCCACTGAATAGACCATGATATGTCAAACAAAAGGTTGCATCTTTTCAAAATCTCGTTCAAGTATTCCCCACAAGTTCGTACGTATAACGGCTGCCGATCAGGGGGTCTTGACTCCCTGAGCTTGTCAATAGTGCCTATATTATAGACAGGAGACGTTCTGTTTCATTGCCTGGGTATAATACAGCACATCGAATATAGCGGTTAAAAGTATTGTGATGGGCACGAGTAATTATGTTATTCCTATTGGTGGAGGTGCTTGTTTCATCCAATATTTCCTATCTTATTATTTCCCATATTCGTGACTCCATGAAACTTAGAAGCACAATCCACAGTGGGAAGAACGGCGAAGTTGTGTGACTGTAGTAGGAGCAGCAATGCACTTTCATGCATTTTCCATTACATGCACATGAATACTTACGCAGCTCTAAATTATCACATTTTCATCTCGTCTTTCGTCTTATGCTGCGTGCAGCATTACAATACAGTTCTAATGCATAAAAAGGGTACACTCCAAGGAACCAAACGAGAACGGTTTTGCGAGTCAGAGGCATGCAGAAAGTCTACCACCTCATTTCAAATAGAGTGAAGATATTCAAGCAATTGGAGCAGGTGATACCACACAGGCATTCATGCCTTCATTTCATATATGCTTCGCATTGATATTTAGCGAATAACTTCAAATTCTCATGATTCAATACCACCTTTAGTAAAACAAGGAACGAAGGAACGGAATTTACCACCGGATTTGGTTTCAATTCATCCTCATGATTGATTACGAAAAAATCCTAATCCTCAGCAAGTTTCCATTCGTCTTTCTTCCCCGGAATCACTTTCTTAATCTAGTTTACATCGTTTTTCTTCAATACAACCTAAGTACAGCCGTCATGATCGGCTCTAGCTCAATGGTTCTTCCGACGGAATTGAATTTCTATATTTGGCTCACAATGGTAGCTGTCAGCACATGGCATCTGTAACAAGAACAACGGCCCGTCCGTCATACCATGAAAGAGAAGGTGCATGCCCGTCAGATCCTCCTTTCGTGTCTATTCTTTGCGAATTTGTCTCGAGGTAAGTACTCGAGTAATATCATCACGGAATGGAAGCTCTAGTCTATTTCTTCCTTCGACCACTTGTAACCAACATACATTCCAAATAAAGATCGTATAATGTTAATTAGTCATCATTAATTCCCCGTAGCTTAAAGGTATAATCTCTACGCTAGCTTTTCCTTTGGGACAAGAAAAACATCGGTTACAAGGAAGGCATGTTGGTGTCAACAAATGCCATGCCCAAAAAGTTTTCCGAATTTGTGCAACACCATGGATGTAAAATTCCTCAGTTCAGACTGTCGACGTTTTAGGGAATATGTGAAGAATAAGTATTTCAATTCATCACCATCGTACGATTTTATCACAATCTTGACCTTTTGCAGATAGGAAGACTTTCCCCGCCCCCTCCGTGCGCAGAATTCTTCCTTGGGAAGAACTTGCAGTCTAGATAGATACCATCAAGCGACATATAACCATTTCGGTCGGTTTCCGGGGCGTGAACCTTACCTCCGGTGTTGAGCCCTTGAAATATGGCCCACCAGGCCCTATAGCACTGGTGGTGTACTTAGTACTAGCACCCGAATAAAATATGGTAAAAGCAAAAAATCCAGGATGAATACAATGCAAGAACGAAACCAACCAGCCTGGAACGAACCAAATCTCGTACTCCGACAGCCGTGGTCAACATGGCATATTCATTGGTGCCAAGACGGTGGTTCGAAACGGACTGGTACAGTATTATAAATTAGACACTTTGGAATTTTTCGATACCACGGCAGTGGTGACCCAGTGCATATCTGAAGCATGGCGATAGTGGAGAACTAAGCAGGAACAAAAACTCAAATATGGGCCCTTTTGAGCTTGTTTTTATGATTAGATTGTTTTAAAACGTGGGTTTCCAGGTACAAGGAAGAAGAGAGAATGGCTACCGGTAGTACGGAGTGAAGAATGAAGTGAAGAATAATGGTTGTCGAGCATAAAATTGGGAAATTTGTGAATATCTCGCGATTGATTAACCTACGTCTGTGCGAGACGTAAAGAGGGCATGGGTGAGGGCCGTTGCCGTGTATGCCAAGTATGGCACTTCATCTGTGCTTATATACCGATCTACTTTCTAATTGCTTTCAAGCGTCGACAATTTTACGCATGACAATCCCTAATTGTACATGTCGTTGGAGATCGTTGATTTATTTGAAAATTCTTCCTGGGACCTCCGGGTGGGGGTGTTTTGCCCTCGAGGAGTTTCCCTTTCAAACCAGTACCCTCGTCGTTCCTTATATCACTGCAGCTACTCATCCATACACTCCTGGTACAGTATTACGTCATCGCATCAAACTATTTTCCCCTTGGTGTATATCGCAATGGAGCTCTCACCAGGGTTTTCCTACGGGAATCCCAAGTTTCAGTCAAGTTCGTCCTTATTGTGCCTGTACCTTGCCTTGAAATGAAGAGCACCGCCCCAGTATTCGCACTACACATTGACATTCACCATTGTCTAAAACTACAAAACTACATGCTACGGGTGTTTTCATCTTAAGCTTGTTTTATCATCATCAACAATTTCAAATGAATCTGTATTGCAGTTCGTGCCTCCGAGGAGTGTCCCAATTCGGACTGAGTAGGAACAAAGCTGGGGGTGGAGAATTTCGACGAGATGATTCATGGGCCGGCAGCGACCCCTGCTACTTTTACCGTACCTGATCATCCTATCCCATAGCTACCAGAAGAATTTGAACGCACGAACAAGTTGGCAGGTCACAATGATGTGACAAGTTGCAGCTTGCCGTTTGCGGTCTGCAGGCCAGAACATCTAGACCGCATTCTTCCCGGTAAAACTCTTCTGTATGTGATAGTTGTAAATACACTCCACGGCTGTTTTCGGATGAGACCTTCCGTGAATGGTTTTCTTATTCGAGGTATTCGAGTTGAGTGTGTAGAGATAACACTATACATTCGTACCTAATCATCTACCATATAGAAACACCCAAATCCACCTCCCACTAGAGCAATTGAGCACCTTGAAACAGTGCCATTGAGATTAAGCTTCAATTTAATTTGAATCCGCGACAGAAAGATCCTTCTGGCTGGTTTCCAATTCCTTGTAGATCTGTTCTCAGATCTATGCATTTCCCGGTTGGTCAAACGTTGTTTGTACCGGCTATATCTTTTGGATGGAAGATATGTGCTTCCCAGAGTCAGGGGAAGAAGATAGACGGAATCATCGGAGTTTACTAACCAGATCAGGAGAACGCACATATCATGTGATTTGTCGTGAGGTCGTTCTTGCCATTGAGGCCTTAGGCCAATAATCATTCTACCCCTCCTTCTCACCCCACCCTTCACGACCAAAATAAGAAATCTTTGACCTTCACTGATCATTATCTGTAAGCTCAAATTTGGTCTGGCAGCTGGATTAGTTTCATTCCATGCAATTGAGTTCCCCGTTATATGAATTCCCTGCTCTCTATCGGACGCAGTATCATCACATTTGCACCTCGAATAGTATCAGCTCGTCAGACTATCGTCACAGTTCGCACGATGGCCACCGTGTCTACCATCCATATGCCTCGTGATCCAAACACCTTGTCGAATTACAACAATTGGAGAACCAAGCATACGATCGCCGATTTAGCTATTGATTTCAAGAAACAACGTGTTCATGGCACAGTCACACTGCAGCTTGAATCTATTACGGACAAGGAATCTGAAGAGATCATCCTTGATACTAGCTTCGTTGATGTGCAAAATATCGCTGTTGACGGAAGTAAGACCGAAGAATGGACTCTCAAGGAACGCACTGAACCATACGGCAGCCCTCTTTATGTGAAGATTCCAGGTGGAGCAGCAAAGGGTACCATTATTGCACTCGACATCACGATTTCCACTACCGACAAATGCACAGCTCTTCAATGGCTTACTCCCGCTCAGACCTCGAACAAAAAGTTCCCATACATGTTCTCTCAATGCCAAGCCATTCATAACCGCTCTATCTTCCCGTGTCAGGACACTCCTGATGTGAAGAGCACATATGATTTCCGAATTCGTTCTCCTCTTCCCGTCCTCGCAAGTGGCTTGCCTCGTGGTGCAGCCTCGTTCGTCCATGGTGAAGATGGAGAATCTGGTACTCTTCTCTACTCCTTTTACCAGGAGATTCCTATGCCATCTTACCTCTTTGCTCTCTCATCAGGTGATATAGCTACTGCATCTATCGGACCACGTTCTCTCGTTTCTACTGGTCCAGAGGAGCTCTTAGGGGCCAAGTGGGAACTCGAGAGAGATACCGAAAAGTTCATTGAGACTATCGAGAAAATTGTCTATCCTTATGAATGGACCCAATACAATGTTCTGGTCTTACCGCCAAGTTTTCCTTATGGTGGTATGGAGAATCCAGTGTTTACTTTTGCTACACCCACTATCATTAGTGGAGATCGAGAGAATGTTGATGTGATTGCTCATGAATTGGCTCATAGCTGGAGTGGCAACTTAGTATCTAATGCTAGTTGGGAACATTTGTAGGTCTTGAGTATTTCGAATACCCTTCTCAATCGATGCAAACCTTTGCAAGAATAAGTGTTGTTCGTAAATGTAGTTGACTAACTTCTTTACAGCTGGTTAAATGAAGGATGGACAGTCTACCTAGAGAGACGAATTATCGCCGCTATTCATGGAGAAGCATATAGAGACTTTTCCTCGATTATTGGATGGAAAGCTCTTGGTAAGTCCTCGCACTTGTACGCAGATTTCTGAAGCTAAGATGCGTACACAGAGGATTCCGTGAAGCTATTCGGCGAAGATCATGAATTCACCAAATTAGTTGTTGACCTCAAGGGTAAAGATCCAGATGATGCTTTCAGCAGTGTCCCTTACGAGAAGGTGGGTGCAAGCGATGATCAAACTTCAAAATAAATCTAATATAACCAGGGTTTTCACTTCCTCTACTATCTCGAGAGACTTGTTGGTAAATCAACCTGGGATAAATTCATCCCACATTATTTCACAACATGGAAGAGAAAGTCTCTTGACTCTTATGAATTCAAGGCTACACTTCTTGATTTCTTCGCCTCTGATGAAGCTGCTTCTAAAGCTCTTGAGTCAGTTGACTGGGACTCATGGTTTTACAAGCCAGGTCTTCCGCCAAAGCCAGAATTTGACACAAGCTTGGTTGACAAATGTTATGCTCTAGCCAAGAAGTGGGAATCAAAGGTAATTCATTAGCTACATCAACTTTCTCACACAGGAAACTAATTCATCCTAGGACTTCGTACCCTCCCCATCGGATATCGAAGGTTGGTCCGCGAACCAAGTGGTCGTCTTCCTCCAACAAGTCCAACTCTTCACCACTCCCCTTACCCCATCCCAAAGTCAAGCAATGGGTAAGGCCTATTCTCTCGTCAACACTCAAAATGTCGAACTTAGCTCCCGCTATTTCGGCGTCGGTTTGGCTGCAAAAGATGAATCCGTATATCTCCCTACTGCTGAGTTGTTGGGTAAGGTCGGTAGAATGAAGTTCGTGAGAACACTATACAGAAAATTGCTGGTGGTGGATAGAAAATTGGCCGAGGAAACTTTTGAGAAGAACAAAGATTTCTACCATCCAATTTGTAGAGAGCAAGTGGAGAAGGATTTGAAGGAGTAAAGCAGGAAAAAGTTGATATGTGAGGAATGTGCAAAAGCGTGTGTAAAAGCGGATATCCCATGCTGCGATTTTGTTCATGATTACGCAAATTTTCAATGTATGCATTTATAGCTTGCGCTTGCTTTTACTTTATTATTAGTATACGAATGATAAAACTTCTTTGTTAAACTTTTGTAGATCCTTGAGTTTTCTTCTTGATGTGAGATTCGTATCATGTTATATATAAACTGAGGAAAAAAATAATATAATTTTTATTTAAATAATAAGAATCTGAAATTAAAAAAAAATATCAATTTTAATATAATTTCATTTAGTAATTATACAATGAATAGATTTTAGAACTTATATATTTCAACTTCTTTAAAATTTATATAGCTGATTAAAGTTTAAAAATATAAAAGTTAATAAATCATTCGCTGATTTCACTTGTTGATAATAATAAAAATATTATCTTATATATATCTTGATTACTTTTTAAAATTTAATCTTATAAGTAATAAATTTATAAATTGATATTTGGATGTTTTAATACAGATTGAGATTGAGATTTGAGGTAGAGCGGGGAAATGTAAAATGTATTTTTGTTCACTTTGATATTATAGATGGATCGGGATTTGGGAGTTGGGATTTGGGATTAGGCATTGGGGAATGGATGTGGAGATGTGGAGATGTGGAGATGTGGAGATGTGGAGATGTGGAGATGTGGAGATGTGGAGATGTGGAGATGTGGAGATGTAGAGGGATGGTTATTTAAGGAGAGTGGGAATCTTTTAGTTTATATTGAAGCTGGAAAATAAAGAACTGTTAAAAAAAAGGACGTAAGGCTTTTGTTGGTGAAGTGGAAGAGAAGATCTGGTGTGGTGGTAAGGTTGTGGCTGTGAGGTTGTTTTGAGGGGGTTGAGAAATGAATGGAGATGTATAGAAGATGGAAAATATATGAAGGATTTGAAATGTGACAAATGTGACAATAAAGGGTGAGAAAGGTTGTGAATACGAAATATGTTTAAGGACAGTGGTGGTATTTAGCGATAGTGGGTTTGCAATAAAAAGATGAAAGTGTTATTTCTTTACGCTTGATGATCTAGGAACTAGAAGCTTGATGGATGATAGTTGGATATTTGAAGCAGAGTGCTTGCTGATTTATATTACTATTTTTTCATAAAGGCCTCCCCTGTATTCCATATGGTTATCCGTCGCTTTTGGTAGAGTTGTAGGTTTAGATGGGTGCTTATATACTCGTAGATTCCTCATTGGAAGCCATCTTCGGATGTGGATAGGGTGGGGGTTTTCACACTCAATAAAGATGGTGAATATTGTCGTTCTTTGATACGGAGAGTATGTTTTGAGGGGTGAATGATTCGGTGAAAAGGAAGCGGAGAAATCCAGCAGGAAGTTGATGGTTAAGATTGGTGAATTATCTACTCGTCATTTTCTGCTGCGCGGGACTTACTTAATAGGGGGATCATTGATGGAATTTCTTGAATATCTATGCTCATTAAAAACTTCTTACCAGAATAAGTTTACCAGTGTCGACTATGGAGATATTCAATCGTCTCTGTATATCATTATCTAATTTCACCTGTTAAATAGAAAATAATATCTGATTGTTTGTTATAGTTGAGAAAATAGACAAGGACGAAAGGTGCAGACGACGGTAATGGCAATGAGAGATGCGAGATTAATGGTGAGAGTCTAGTTATGTATCTGCAAGGGATATAACATCATTTAAGAATCTTTCTAGTTGTGGTTGCTTAAAATAGACAGTACTAGAAGATGTATAAGCTTTGCGCTGAGGCTTTTGGGAACGATCAGGAGCCTCAGCTCTTGTATTCGCTATATGCACCAGCCTCCAATTAACGTTCTGGCACCAAATATTCAGATCAGTGAATGCAAAGGCGGGTTAAGAGACTCAGGTATGTGAATCTATCATAACCGAATCTCACGGTAATTCAATCTCTTTGCTTATAAAATCTCCGGAGCTTTTGACCTATCGACGACAAAGTGGAAGTTAGAAACCTAAATGAGTTATAACTCTTGCGATTGTGATTTTTGTGGTACCTCCATTTTCCTTCTAGTGGGTAAGTTTCCAACATGCAGATCAAGTTCCCCCAAGGATTCACTTCATATCTTATTCACTTTCCAAAGAAGAAAAGTTGTGAATTGGTATCAAAATATTACTTGGTTAGGTTTGCCGAAGATAATTTAAAAGTAATGTTGTATCAGTTCCACGAGATTTGGACAGGATCTGAGTTATTGGGATGGAATGATTATTAATCGCATTTATGTTACGTATCGGTATCACACCATATTCTTGTCCTCAATCCGCCTATATCCGATTGCGAATGGTGCCTATGAGAGAAAAGCTTCGATTCATCGAGAAGTAGTTTTCTGGGTTAAAATCCGACAGGCTGTTATGCTGCCAATCATCCCCGCACTTCCTCCTTTGTCCGGCTCCGCATGTGGCGAAGGCAGCTCGAACATTATGATGGGCTCATTGCTCGTTAAGTAATCATATTGCATAGGTTGTGGAGCCATGAAGCTTGTGTCACTAGAAAGGTTTGAATTTTATATTGTATGTCGAATAGATAAGTAAAGCTTCGATAGCACTTTGAGCTTCGTAACATTCGTTACAAAATTTCTTTTCATGAAACATTGAAAGTCTTAACATAACTCGATCAAAATGACACAACCAAGCACAGCCTGTTGCAAAGGTACTCCTGTTCCCCTGCATGGACCGGAATATAAGCTCAGCGGCGAGTTTATCGACATTGACGGGACGAAATACTGTATACATGCCCTTTCTCTCACTCGAGGCTCACTAACAATACCATGCAGACATGAGCGGACCTGAGAATGCTACATCTGCTATTCTTCTGGTTTACGATATCTTTGGTTTCTGGACACAAACACTTCTTGGTGCTGATATTCTCGCTGCCACCAAAACTTCATCATCCCCTCATGGCATAAAAGTATTCGTGCCCGATTTCTTTGGGCCCGGCAATGAAGCTGACATTGCTTATTGGCCTGCGGATACAGATGAGAAGTGGGACTATATCTTAAAAGTATTTAGGGAGCAGGCAGAAAAAGAGAAGAATCTGAAAAAGCTGGAGGAGTTTATGAATATTTTGACAAAGAGACATGAGGCAAGGAATGTGAAGAGTTGGGGTGTTGCGGGATATTGCTGGGGCGCAAAGGTTCGTAATTGATGCTTAGGACGCTGTTCGATGAAGAAAGTCAATCAGGTAAACACCAGCATGAAGTACTAACTAGTTGCAAATAGATAGTGACATTAGCTTCGCAAGAAGGGACTATCTTCAAGGCAGGAGCTCAAACGCATCCGTCATTGGTAGACCCTGAGGATGCCAAATTGGTAACGATTCCACAAATTGTTTTACTTAGTAAGAACGAAGATAAAGAGGTTTGTCATGGTCCCAACATGAGATAGAATCCTGCTGATGAAATGCTTGTAGCAATGCAAAGCATATGAAAACAACATGAAGGTCGACAAGTACTTTGAAGCTTTCAATGATCAGGTGCATGGTTGGATGTCTTCGATGTAAGTTACTGCTCCTTGACTTTCTGAAGCGACTTACTGATCAGAATCAATATTTAGGGGAGACTTGGAGAATCCAAGGACTCGTGAAGAGTACTATCGTGGATATAAGTTGTGGAGTGACTTCTTTGCTAATTATCTATGAATTGTTTGGGAAGACTTCAAAACAAACAAACAAACTCGAGCTAGCGCCCAACAGTCCCATGTATGATGTCGAATTATGATTTATATGTAAATGTTCTTAGCAGAAGACAGATAAGGGAATCACCGGAGAGATATTGGTCCGGACATATCACGTGGTTGAATGGCGGCTTCCCCGCGTTTGCGTTGAATTAAGTCAACTCTATGTTCGGCCGTTTGACCGTTCGATTCGAATAGTGATGAATACGATTATGACGTTAATTTGTGTCACGGCAATTCAAAAGCTTTTTATTATCTTGAGACTTCCAACCCCCCTGTAAAAAGCTCAAGTCCCAACCATCGATGGCATGGTGAGCATCGGGGAAGAGGCGATAACCCTGATGAAACAGGCTCTGCTGGTGGTGTCGGGTCCGACTCGGATGATTTCCTCTATATAATCATCTTCGACGATCTCAGGGGAACAAAGTCCAGTGAAACTTTTCGAAGTGCTTATTGGGGAACCTTTGATTTCATTGGAATCAAGGTTGACTCGGAGTAAATATCCGCCTTCACGAGTGGAAAGTTGTTCTTACTCGTTTCCCTGCCGTGAACCTTTAGACTTCACCAGCAGTGGTGGCAGAGATGCAGAGATGCAGTATTCTCGGAATCTAAACGCGTGAAGAGTCGTTTCTCGTTTCTTACGGAAGGCGGAAACTCGGATATCATCATACTAGACAAATGATGATATCCATGCGAGGATATTAGCAAATTAAGGTTACTTCAGTGCTTTTCGTTCTTTCAGTTACTAGGTAGTTCTTCTAGTGTCTTCAAGTTACCTTATATCAACCCAGATATTAGTTTGTCTCGCCTGGTACTATTCATACGATCTACTATCACTTTACCCAGGCCCAATTAACTCCTTGACCCTAATCGTGTTACTTTTGTACATGAAATTTCACAGACGTGCAACTTGATAGACTCAAAATGAAAGTACATTATGACAATGGATAGCTTCTATCGTGCTTTCACCACGCAACCCTCTAGTCTGAGGTTGGGAGTACAACGAGACCCGTTACATCACTTGAGGGTATTTTCGTTAACTATTCTCTGCTTTTCCACCCCATTTCGTAGAACTTTTATTTCAGGCTATGTTATATTCTTTTCTGACTAGTGTCAACTCATGAACCGTATTGATTCTGCTATATCATTTTCTTGGCGTCTGCGTGCACAATTTTTTGGTCATTTTAACCGTATTAAATGGATTTGTCATGTAACATACACTGTACCAAGTTGGAACACGGCCACCACTGGATCCTTTTGTGGGAGTTATATTAAGTCAATGCGACCTACTTCATAACAACTATTCCAGAGTGTAAAGGAGATTCGGCAATACGACCGACATTTAAGGCTACACTATTAGTCCAGTATTTATTGCACCGATGCTTCCATCCATTGGAGGCAACTCTCGACATTCAGCTTATCAAGAGTAATATGGACATCCTAGATTCTCCTATCAGAGACGTGACACCTTCCAATAAATGGAGGTTCGGTAAAAACTATATTAATATAGGACGGACACTACATGGAATCTAACGGCCATCGCTATAAGTTTGACCTTGAATCCTACTTCCCACTGCCAGTGTCTATGGCAAGTAGATCATGAACAACAAACGTCAAGAGGCAAAGGCATGATCACATCAAAGTTGGACTAGACAAGAAGAATAATCAAGAAGGTGATGACTTCAACCGCGATGGCAAAAGTATTGAGCGTTCTCGAGGTAGAGGTATTACCGATATGGTGTCTTTTTGCCACAATCCAGGACAAAATTCTTTTCCCCAGCCTCAAAAGAGTCATAAATCGAGCAGCCAACCTGGAACTATCAATGGCGTAGTACAGCAACAACAATGGGTCCTCTATCTCCAGTAAACATACCAGCTCGATTACATTTAGCAATTCCAAGGGGGCAAAACTAACCGGAACTTTCGGACGGGGCATTATGTACACCTCTCATTACGGGGTTAGACCTTTTTGCGAGAGTCACGAATATAACTTTGCTGGTACTAAGATTGGCACTGAGGGTGCTCCTCGTATCAATACCACAAGGAAATAGGAGTAGGTACCAAGTTGGCTAAAAGCTCAACTTTAAAAATACACAGGTAATAAGAGATTGTATTGATCATATAAATACCATCAGCTACTTCCTAAGAGCCTCGAATACCCAAAATTCGCATAAAAACCCGAGTAATTACGGCGGGATGAAAAGTACTACGACTGTCTTGGTAGGATGATGTCAGAGATATATGGAATTATCATCGTCAGGGTCAAATCTGGGTAGAGAAGCTCACCATTTCTGCATCACTCAGAAAAACCTGATTTCTTTACATAGGCTCAAGGTCGCTGCGACAGAGGCAATCCAGCCCCAGATCACAGGCGGCTGGTAATTCTGTTGTCTGAAAAACAGTACTGAAATTTTAAAACATTGGAAAGTTGTCTCAGTGTGTAATGTGTAATATGACGTGGTTTCATACACAACATTCACGGTAAGTACTAGTGAGACGCCCCTTTGTTCTAGACCCAAAATTAATCATGCTTGAGAATAGGTCTTATAATTCTAATCTCAGAGTCCCTTTGGTAAGTTCTTGCCCCTTCGTTGGTATACCTCCCAGCTTGTCATACCTAAAATCTTAGTTCTGTCATCATGTCTTTTAGGACCCTCATTACCTTCCATACCAGTCTTTTCAATCTTCGTACTTAAGCAAACACAGGATTTTTCCTATCTATTTAGTGTTCAGCTCTTCAGTAGCTTGTCTAAAAAGCATAAAATTTAATTTTCCTTCAAAACGGACATTAAGCGATGCATTCTATCAATAAGTCACAGTAACCACTGACCACTAATTAATCGGCCTTTCAGTCCAACAAACTCCAAGCTGAAAATCCTCCTGCAAACCCCTCAAAATCACCCTTATCACGTTTCAAAGTATATCACGAGCCCACCATCTAATTGGTCACCAAAGCATTCATCTACATTTAGCCTTGCGAAAAGCCATAGACAGCGGGTCTCCCAAGAGGTCACTACAACACAAAAACCAAAATGCTCTACTCCCAACCACTAATTTCTCACCAAAATATTTCCATTGGCTACGCAAATTCCACGTTCCCGTGCCGAATTCATGCACAATAAGGCTTGTCGATGTTGTACAGCTGGGCGCATAGGTTGTACAAAGGCGGGGATTGATAACTTGATAAGGGTTAATATCTTCATTACTTTCGTTCATGTTAATGTTCATTGTTGTGCTTTTATTTGTTGGTTGAGCATTTATATCCTGTATATGAACCCCAAGTTTGAATTTATATCGCGAATTATTACTAGGTAATTAATTGAATGCCTCGTACTCGCAGCCGCCATGCTACTCGAATTTCGCGACGCAGTCCGCCTCATGAACCACATGTCGGGAATAGTATTCGACCTGGTTTGAAAAAGAAAGATTTATGCGTTGGATGCATTGTATGGCTTCCGGCAAAATTAGAAAGTGATGAGTCGCTTGTGTGTAGCCGCGGGGAAAGTTGTTGTAATGGTAAGAAATTGGATGATGATGGGTATAACCATCCAGTTGTTATTTTATGTTATGAGGGTACAATATGTTCTATTGCGATGGTAATGATTCCTTTAATTTTCATTAACAAGCTATATGTATAATTGATAGTTTGGAGTTAAGTAGAAGCTAATAAACACCAATATGATCAGATAACCTCTAAAACACGCAAGAAATATCATGTCGCAACTCGCATCCCCATATCCCAAAAACCCCAAGATATGGACGACGTCGATCCTGAAGTTAAATTGTATCTCGAAATAGGGGAAATGAATAAACAATCCTTTATCATCATCGAACATCTCTTCCCAATTCCACTCTCCATGCTCCGATCCATTAGCTTCAAGCCTGACTCTAGAGCTTTCGATACGAGACTTTGTAAACAAAGTTCTATAGATTTGGCGAATATGTTCAATTTAAACGAGACCAGAGTGAAATGGGTAGACACAGTGATTGTGAAAGCGAAGGAGGCGAATATTGCGGAGAGAAGACAGCGAAGGCAAAAAGTAAAAAGAGTAACTTTTAGCGATCCATGGGAGGAAATCAGGGGAAATACGACTGAAGCGAATCTCACAACTCCGAATCAAAGAAGTCAATCTGAACCCACATCATCCGTAACTTCTATCCCCACTTTCCCAGCAACCAGGGATCCCCAAACACAAACAACTCCCTCTGAACCATTCACTCGAGAATGGTTTACCTACGACCACGCCACAGATCGCTATATCCAGCGCGAGCTCACAGCAGAAAGACAATCACTCCTCCAACATCCATCACCTTTCCCCAACAATCCATCGCCAGTCCAACAGTCATGGCACCAACAATACCACACAGTTACCCCATCACGTCCCCCTCGCTCAAACTATCACGCCACGCTCCCATCTGTTGAACGCTACGATCGTTCGCATTGGGAGTCACGAATACGAAACAGTAATACTAGGACGCGTGATTTGGAGCGTGGCAGAGCACACAGTGTGGGAGATGGGGGCGAGGGTGGTTGTAATGGAGGCTTTTTTGTCCAGATTGTGGTTGTGTTTTTGGGAGTTGTGGGGTTTATTGGGTGGTTGTATGGTAAGTGAATATAAGTGGGAAGTGGAGATGTGTGTGAATTTATGTGGAGAAAAGAATTATTTGAGGTCAGGACATGATGAAATGAGACCTGGGAAAGTGATATTCCAACATTTGCATTGCTTGGCGAAGTATTTTGATGGATATAAGGCGTTTGGGCTTGAGGATATTGGTTAGGATCCTAATTGGCGGGAGACTGAAGAGATGGAAAGTAGTGAGGACATAATGGGGCATGTATAAGCATTTTAATGCCGTGGGACAGGGGACAGTCATGATGAGGATTCGGCGCTTGAGTTTTCCTTTTTTGCGTTTTAAATACCATGGGGGTGAACAGTGTATTTTCCCGTCTCATGCTAGTTTATATTCAAGTACAACATTATCTATGCTGTGTTTTTGACTATTTTCCACATCATTACTGCTGCAATCTCATTATCATAGCAAGAAGCTTATCAACATCACTCCCCCATTCCACAGATCCAAATCTTTGGACCCACTTCATAAAACAAGACAGATCTCATTTGATGTACTTCACACTCAAATCATCTCCAATAGTGAGGTTAATCCGGCTGGCTCTGCGCAAGTAGGATGGTATTGTGGTAGATTCACAGTTTCGGATCATCATGGATTGAAAGGTTGGATTTTGGAGTAGAATTTGAAGGAGACATGTACAATATATGCATCAACATAAGAGTCTAAACGTTCAAACGGGCATAAAGAATAGAAATACTTCATTTTTCATATTCCAATATGACAACCTCCAGACGTGGTACAGCTATGGATCACGATGTATTAATATTAATGTCCAAGTCCCGCGCATATATCAAAACATAATACGTCCTCCACCTCTCATCCCTAATCAGCCATATCGCATCTCAAAACTAAACTTCTCAAAGATCTAATCCCTTCATTCCTCAAACATGAGATCCCATTGAACCTCTCATGGAAAATATTCGAACTACGATGAATCTAGGCAGCTCAGATCGCAGAATACAAACTTCCAAACAGAACATACAGTGTGTGCTACGGAGAAATTATTGCTTAATTATGTTTTCTTTTCGAGTCAACAAAATACAAAGGCACCGGAGCCATCATCCAACACACTAGATTCAATGAGGCATCATTACAATAATCACCTTGAGGCACAAGTGATTCCATAACAGCCGGAATTCCATGGCATGTGGATTACGCAGACGATTTTGAAGCCCTATGAATGAAGACGCATCTAATCGTTAATGATTTCCCTTGCTGACCCTGTTGCTTTTTCCGAAATTTTTAAAAATTACGGCGCCTCTTTCGTAAATGTCTTTTTGTATGTATGAAATAATCGAAGATAAGTCATTTCCTCGAATTTCCCATGTTCCGTATTATCTGCATTCGCGAAGCCCGTGATGAGAACTCATATCGCGGATCATCTTGAGGAAATATATGGCCGATGAGTGACTAGCAGGATGTCGGGTTACTGACTGATGTGGCTGTCATCTAGAGTCGACGGATTATCCCTACGTAACATATTACATCTACTCCGTATGAATGAGTTCGTTCCAGTTACAGCAATAATGTGAAAGTAAGTTTCTCTACAATTGACACTTCGAGCACAACACAAATATAGATAATCCATACCTCCTTCACTAAGTCACAATATTCCAGGATAATCGAATACTATTAGCATTGGAATAGCTCACCACTCCATCAGCGTTTATTTTCTGTTAATTACCACCCAAAAATATATATAGCCTAATTTGATATCATCCAACACTATAGATAAATCCTCTACTTACCATCTTCTAGATCCGTTCTTTCTCGCCATGATATGATGACAATGATTTAAAAGACTTAATTACCTACCCCTATCTATCTATATAGATATCCATTCTCATCTCAATCAATCACCCACTTCAAATCATTCATTCATCTCCGTTTAGATACCTAGATACTTATCTAAACAATCAAACACACACGTTTAAACACAAACGTATAAAATAAAATATACTCACTCACTTTGCACTTGAAATATATTCCCATATTCCTACAATAACCAACCATCAGACTTTGATGAAATAAATATGAGGACCCGAAATTGTAAATTCGGAGCTCAGCAGCATGAGTAGGTAGCACGAGGTAGATATATCGGAGAAGAGACGGCTGGGGGATCGGTGGGTTTCCCAGCCCGTATCTAATACTTGCAAGATTTTAAAAGAACGCAATGGTGATTTGGGCGACCAGGAAGTTTTGAGCTATTGGTGTTATCAAAGTAATTTTTTCCCCTCTTCTATACTCCTCTCCTGGCCTTACCTGTTGTGGATATCTGTGATACTCTATGTTTGCACCAAGGCAGGACATGGAACGGAGGTAGAAGATTACCAACCATACAACTCTCACGAAGGCGGGCAAAAGAAACTCACCAGAGGGACAAAAATTCACAAAGTCACAATTAGGGCGCAGATATAGATACTTTTGAAGTGCATTCTAGACGACTATGTTCTATGTATGATACCAGAACGGAAAGAGCTAAACCATTGCGCAAACCCAGACCCAGTCATCTTATCGTAACCCGAAGAGGTAAAAGGAAATGGTGCTTTGCATCACTAGCCATAAATCATCATGAACCCGAAACAAAGCAAGCATGGTGAAAGGTTTAAATTTTTGTTTCATTCCATTATTGCATTTATTTCTTGGCACCAGCCTTGACAGCGGCCTTGGTGACTTTACCGGCCTTATCCTGCTTCTCGACGGATTCTGGAAATCAGTTAGCATAACGTCAATACGCAAGGAAAGGGGAAAAATTTACTTATGACTCCAACAGCTACTGTTTGTCTCATATCACGGACGGCGAAACGTCCGAGAGGTGGGTACTCAGTGAAGGCCTCAACACACATAGGCTTGGATGGAACCATCTTGACGATGGCAGCATCACCAGACTTGATGAATTTTGGAGAGTCTTCAATGGATTTACCAGTACGACGATCAATCTTTTGGAGGAGCTCAGCGAACTTGCAAGCAATGTGAGCAGTGTGGCAATCCAAAACTGGAGCGTAACCAGCACCGACTTGACCAGGGTGGTTAAGGACAATGACTTGAGCGTTGAAAGACTCAGCACCCTTAGGTGGGTCTTGCTTGGAGTCACCAGCAACGTTACCACGACGGATTTCCTTGACGGAAACGTTCTTGACGTTGAACCCGACGTTGTCACCTGGAACACCCTCAACGAGTTGTTCGTGGTGCATCTCGACGGACTTGACTTCAGTGGTGACACCAGCTGGGGCGAAGGTGACGACCATACCGGCCTTGATGATACCGGTCTCGACACGACCGACTGGCACCGTGCCAATACCACCAATCTTGTAAACATCTTGGAGGGGAAGACGGAGGGGCTTGTCAGTTGGGCGGGAAGGTGGCTCGATGGCATCAATAGCCTCGAGAAGAGTCTTTCCGGTGGTCTTGGCTCCTCCCTTGGCCTCCTTCTCCCAACCCTTGTACCATGGGCAGTTGGTAGAGTTGTCGATCATGTTATCACCGTTGAAACCGGAGATAGGAACGAAAGGAACGGTCTTTGGGTTGTATCCGACCTTCTTGATGAAGTTGGAGGTTTCCTTGATAATTTCTTGGTAACGGTCCTCGGACCACTTGGTGGTGTCCATCTTGTTGATGGCAACGATGAGTTGCTTAACACCAAGGGTGTAGGCGAGAAGAGCGTGCTCACGAGTTTGGCCATCCTTGGAGATACCAGCCTCGAACTCACCAGTACCGGCGGCAATGATGAGAACGGCACAATCAGCCTGGGAAGTACCAGTGATCATGTTCTTGATGAAATCACGATGACCGGGGGCATCTGGACAGAATGTTAGAAGATTGCAAGAGGGGGATGTCAATGTGAGGGTAGCTTACCAATGACGGTGACATAGTATCTTGGTGTCTCGAACTTCCAGAGAGCAATGTCGATGGTGATACCACGTTCACGCTCAGCCTTGAGCTTGTCCAAAACCCATGCGTACTTGAAAGAACCCTTACCGAGTTCGGCGGCTTCCTGTAACGATTGTCAGTGACTATTGCAAAAGATATTTTGTATTAATCGCAGCGGGTTAGGTAATGAGAAATTAATTTGATGAGCAGTACGATGCATCTCGCACAAAAGTTTATTGCTGGACAAAATAAATGCCCGGTCGCAAAAAAATTCTGCTTGTGGGGCAAGAAAAATCTTAACCCCACCGAGGGGTACAGCGCAATCCTGGGCAATGAACAGTCTTGCACATGGACAAAGAATGTGCCGAAAGAAAAATGTGTCGAATAAGAGGGAAATCTTCACCTTCTCGAACTTCTCGATGGTACGCTTGTCAATTCCTCCGCACTTGTAGATCAAGTGACCTGTATATATTGTAAGTTGTTGTTCGTGAAAAGGTTCAAAGATCATATTTGCAGATCTGCGGGCGGGGTTGCTTACCGGTAGTGGTGGACTTTCCGGAGTCGACGTGCCCGATGACAACGACGTTGATATGAATCTTTTCCTTTCTGCAAGAAACAAATCAGTAACGAGTTCATCAAGATATGAATCGAAGAATGATAGACCAAAGTCATGAGGGAAATCTCTGATGGATTCATAACTTACCCCATTTTGAAGGTTGTGTTTGGTTATTTGTGGAAGTTGTTTCTTCTTAAATTGAATCTATTGAGGGAGGAAGATATTAGTTGATCGATCTTCAATAGGTTGATGTAGGAGTGAAGAAGTTATCGATGGAAGAGACCAGAACTTACTGCACAGATATGATTACTTGAATCCAGGTATGTGCGACGAAGAAGGAAGAGGGAGAGTTGCGAGAGGAGGGCGGGGTTTATAAAAAAAGGTTGAGTTGTGCGGAAGGCTAAGCGACAGAATTTTAACGCTAAGTAGTGGGGTACAATCATGTGATTTTAATCAATTTTTCTCATTTTCTACGGTTTAAGTTGGTATGACTGGTTCGGTGAAGATTTAAAGTGGACTTATTTTATTCACTAAATCTACCCCTCGTATTTTCTATTTCCTTCAAGACGATAAAATGTGAGTCAACTCGGCCAAGTGAAAGCTTTGATAGTGAAAAAGTTGAAATCAACAAGAAGAAAGATTTTCCAAGCAAAATGTGGCGATTGGGCTCCTAGGATGGCTCAGGCTCAAGCTACAGACTATTCAACCTATTCAATCCACCTAGTCGCAATGGTTTTATCTTGATTATACGAGAAGCCAATCAATTCTATCGAATTGTGAACCCCATGCATCTAGGCGGATTTGTGGTGGATTAACCAGCGGCAATGATCTTTCAAAGTGGTTAGTTAGTTTCTATCTTTATGGAAATCCTTGACTCAAATTTTCACTCACTTCATATCTTTGGTGGAGGGGCAATCAATTTTAGTGAGGGGCAACTTGATACCATGCAAGAACGACCTCCATCATGCTCCATGGCTTCAAATTTTGATGAAGTGTTCTTATTACAAGTGGATTCCAATTGCATCACCTGCATCAATTTGCCTGCAAATTTTCATGGTACGTGAGAGGAATGAGGAATATCAGTGGATAGATCAATGGGAATTGAAACAGAAGATTATGATGTGAGTTCCGAAAACCTATCTCACCCACCCACCCCACTTACTGTATCACCAATCGTGCTCATGTCTTTGCACAAGGAGGCTGGCTTGACTGGAAATGTCTTATTCTTGGTGTGCCTATGAATGTTTCATTCGAGTTTGATAACTTCCTACCAGATAGTAAGCCTATCGACCCTATCGATTCTTTCGAGGTATGAATGCTGCTGTACTGTCTTGCAGTAGGTCAACTGAAGATGAAACAATCAAGAAAGGCTGCCTGGTAGTGGGGTAGACATGATATCAATACCCTTCAATCTCTTCAATTGTTATCGCGGCACATCTACCAGCAGAAGGGATAAGAAAACATGTGGCTGGAGAGACACTCAATCCTTAGGGTAAGCGGGGTGACAATTTGGTATGACTGGAACCAACCAATTTTACGACTTAACGTAAACTTGCCAAGACTGCGTTGAAGAAAAGGTTCCTCAGCTTACTCTGCTTAGTATATATTCCAACAGGCTATGGATACTCAACCTTGATGGGCTGAACGGATGCCAATTCAATAATTTCTTTACTTGCAACCAGTGAACTCGAAATTACTCGTTCCCATCCCCACGAATCCATAGCTCGACACAATGACTTTTAGATATGTTAATGCGAGAGAATCCAAGGATACAAGGATGAAATTTCTTATCATCAGTCACCAAAGAAGGCCAGGAATTTCGTGAGGCGAGGAAAATCAAAATCAAAGTCAAAGCCAAAGTCGAAATTAGTAGTGGGTGAAATTTCGCCAGCTTCCGCTAGCAGCGACGGTGTTGAAGTTGAAGTTGATGATGTGGATGAGGCTTTCATTCCCTTTGAAATGGCCATTACAAAGGTAATCGAAGTTCGGGTACTTCAATATTGAATCCTACAAGGAAGGGTATCGATTCAGCAAAAATATTCGCGCAAACCCCAGAATGGGCTAAGTTGAGTCGACCTGACGGGGAGGCGTTTATCCAACGAGTTGAAACACTTGTTCAGGAGGCTGACAAACAGCTTTCTATTATAGTGGATGGAATGCCAGCGGGAGATTGGGAGCCATTGGAGAAGATTGAAAAAGCTGTCGTTTTCACGCAAGCAAGGAGACCAGATTTTCTGTAGACTTGGGAGAAAGTCTGGCTCGAAATCCACAAGAACAAAGAAGGTAGCGCTGAAGAGGTCCGAAACCTACAGTTACTAGTACTTAGTTCCTGGTCAGGAGGCTCATATCGTCTGGTAGTCTCAGATCGTATATCGAATTTGTTATGGCAAAGGCAAAATCTCTCAAGCTAGTCCTCTCCTCCCAGCAATGATTAAGAGCTGGAGTCGTACACGCATCCCAGTATGAAGCTGGGTGGAGATCAGATAAATTCCATCCTGGGTCTCCTCCAAAAAAGGAAATGCATAGGCATCTTGGGGTATAACCCGCAATCAATGGCCTTTTATCTCTTGAGCCTGGAGCTAGAGTGAAAGATGCCGATGCAGAGAAAGCCCAGGCACAGGGTGGTGACTCTAAGACTACTATCGTCCTATTGTCCCAAAATTTGAAACTAACTCAAGGTGCAACCAGGTAGGATCAGGGTACTCGATTCAGGTATAGAATTGCGTTCCAGTTTGACAGATGCCAAAGTTGCATCTGATTGCGCTGGAATATACCGGCTTCTGGTGATTAATGGAAGTCCATTCCAATTAATCTCTTCCGATCCAGGCATGTGCTTTCCTCTTCTTAGCCAGAATATACATCCTCTACCTCTACTAATCACGCCACTGGGATGTGTATCTGGTCTTTTCCTATCTAACTTCCAATTCTATTTGTATCCCTGGCAATGGCACTCCGTGTCGAGATACCATCGTCTTCTTCTCAGCCCAACATCATCCGAATTTCCAGCCCCATCCAAATGCGATGCCCTGTGCTAGATATTGAAGGTGTGTGCCATGAATTCAACTATCAATCGCAATGACAACAGGCAATTTCGCCACAAACTTGGACATCCCCGATAGAAATCACAAGTACGATCTTGAAGTGCGCGTCGAAGTGGCCTTGGAGAGCGATTTTTTCCTACCAAACTACGCATCGAAGCCCAGGAATCTCAAATCTTAGCCCAAAAAATATCAGTAATTGTCTCTCCTTTCTTTTCCAAGAGGCGTGGATTCGCATCTCGCTATCAATTTTAGAATGGGTGTTATGCGCTCATAATTAAACTTCTCGAGGTCTACCTTATCCGATCATCAGACTCTCCTTCACTTTCGACCCTTAATCGGAGGTTATTGCTGTAAAACTCTAGCAAGCACTAGATGCGAAAACCCTGCCTTTGGTTAGAAAGAGAGCAAAAAGGATCAATTCGTTACATGATATTTTACCAAATTCCCGGCGTCCCCAAAGATGGAATGCCTGTTTCGGTCAACGACGTATATTTCTTTCCAAAGGTACTGATGGCCCTTCATGTACGGAATCCAAAAAATGTTCATAGTATCACATACACCCCCGCGCAAACGCAAGGCAACTCCAAAAGTGAAAGATAAAGTGTAACTGATCATGACCATAAATCACCGTAAGTTGACTGCCGGTGCAGCACGAATCCACAAAGATATCTCTTTATCCGAGCTTTTCTCGTCCTATGACCCAAGTGCTTCATGATGCTTCATCCCGTGTTTCAATATACCAAAATTCAACATCCGGCGAAAGATTAGGTTGAAAATTTCAAAGAAGTTGGAAAGGCCTCAGTTAAGAACCACTACACAGTTTTTTCCCACGTTTGCATGATGGTTCATTTTTTAATCATGTCCATCTTGAAAGCTTGGTAAGAAGACCACAACACTAGTGCATAGAGTTGTGTAGCAATTGAAGTTAATTGCGTAGTTGAATGGTCCTTTTGGATAAGGCACTCAGACAGCTCAACCCTGTTTACTTCACACAGTGAAACTTCAATATTAACAATCGGAGTATATGAACTGTCATATTTTCCTGGTGATCAAGCAGTACAGCACTGGAGCGATTGCATGCTGAAAAAAAAGATTATTCTAGACTCAAGTTACTTAGTTTATCATTGCCACATGCTGCGTAAGAAGTGTTGGACTTGCGTTCATACATTATGCAATTGCTGTAGTTACTAACAGCATAGAAGCAGCTCATTCTACATGTCAGATGACTTCAGGAGAAGAAAATACACACGTGTCTCACCAACACATGATTCATGATCATTCATAATGATAAAACTTCCAGGTGAAAAGCTTCGAGATAGTGATTTGAAATTAGTTCTGTATTTGGTGTGTTTACTTCAAATTATCGCATTCTTCCTTCCATAATACAAGATTCTTCCTATGGTAGGTATGTAGCTGGTGCTGGATATATCGAGGCAATGCTTCATTTTGTACAAGTGTGAGGTAAGGTCTCCTAGATGGAGAATTAGCAGCTATCCAAATCGAATCATTCCTGTCGATTGGCTGCGGAAAGAAAAAACCTACATCAATCCTTGCAATAAACATACCATCTTTCTTCTTTCTTCTTTCTTCAAGCTCGATCTCGCGTTTCGAAATCAAAATAATAACGAAATGAAACAAGCTTATTGGTAACCTCCATCTGAAAGAAACACTGATCTTGCGTATAGCTGCGGACCTTCTTACATTGTTAGCTATAGTTCCTTGCTCAATGGACTAGGTAGCGGGATGCTTACCTGGAACTGTACCAGACTCACGAATGTGCAAATTGCAGGTAAACTGATTTACCCTCATACCAGTTGCTCCATATAACCACCATCGTCCATGCGAACACAACGAGTATCATGACACGGAGGATCAAGAAGATGGCCAATTCATCATCTGGTGTTTGGATTTTGCGAGCCATTTCAACTGGCTTTTATATGTTGTAAGAGAAGGTTGATGAAAAAAATGATTGGCTCTATATATCGGTTTCCTGATTTATATAGGAGGGAAGGATAGTCTGAGAAGCAAAAGATATCAAGAACAAAAGCACCCAAAATTTAGGGCTTCAATAGGAAAACAAGAAACTGAAATCTTGGAGTTGCCCGAAATTGGGAGGATAGCAGAAGGCAGGAAATTATATCAACTGGTTCTATTTTCTCCCTTGAATCTTGAGAACCGGTTACCTGAATTGAGGTATAATCGAAAAGCTACATACCTTGACAGATACCCAAACACACCCCCAAACATACCCCTAAACATATCCCGAACAACACTCAACTAATTTAAATTGCAAACCTCTCTGTGAGGCACTAATCAGCCATTTATGTCATAATCCCTGATTAGAACATCACATGGCTAACATAACCAGATAGCTTAAGGACCCTGGAGGTGGTTGGGAATAAAAATATGGTGAGATTAATATGATATGGTTCGAGTAATTCACTATGGGATGACTTGTCCCTTTAACTTGGTAGTCGAGGTCCGAAAGCAAAAGAGGTTGATACCAGTTCTTATATCACCACCTTTGAGATTCACTAAGAAGAATATTGAAGAGACTGAAGAAGAGATAGAATGGTGGAACCACTGCCTGGCTAGGTATGAAATAAGCAAATAGATTAAAAAAAAGATGCTCAACAGTTTTGAGCCCTGTTCTAATTGCTTGCTATTGTGCAGTTGTGAGGTGATAAAGGTCAATAGACAATAAACCTTGATCCAAAGATTAATTTTGTTTATCATTAAACAATAATAACAAATGATGTAATGGATTGTGTAATGCAACAGGAAATGTGAAAGTAGATTGAAGCCAGAAACATCGAGAAATAATACAAAGCTTAAATTCACACACTAATAGATGTATATGTGCTCATTCTCAATAAAGATGTGTAAATGAGAACCATCCAAATCATCAGGCTATGAATCTCATCACTATTATGATCGGTGTCCAAAATTAAAAGTGCAACTGAGATTTGAAGTATGGAAGCACACCATCCTCCAATACATTGTAGATTTCAAGCAGACGTCAAAGATGATGAAAGATAACTGAGGATACAGAGAGCCATATGTAGAAGTACAACAATAAACTTAAATATTAACCATATCGGACTCTTCATGCCAATGTCATCCGTTTGGATTTTGTATCCTTTCTCCACTCCGCATTGGATTCATGAGGATAGAAGTGGGAAGGAATAGCTCAAATGATGTTGGTTATTGAGAACTGTACCCAGTTAGTTTCCAATTAGGCCATGACTATTATGTATATTCAGTCGAACTGATGTTTCCAATGACCCTTCGCTTTTTATCTATGGACAAGTAGGCGTACCAATCTTCAAGTCTTAAGATAGGCTATACATAATTGGCTCGTTAAAACAAGAGCCTTGAGGCCGTATACCCCTATTTTGAATTGATCAAGGTTAAATTGAGGTATTATAAGACTTTCCTTGTGGTTTGAAAGAAACCGAAAGTTTTCTCATCTAAGTATATCAAACTCATGAACTGATAAAGGGCTATATATACTACTCGACAAATTTTTTTTAAAGACGTATATCGTCTAAATATAAATAATACATTTAAGTTTAAACTCTTTTGGAGTAAGATTATTTATTATATTTTATTTCCGAGTGGAAGAATTTATAAAATGAATCAAAAATCTTTATTAATTATTTTATTTAATTCACTTGATTTATTTATTTAATTATATATATAAAATCTTATTATCAAAAGAGTTTAAACTTGAATAAATTATTTGAGTTTAAACAATAGATTAATTTATCTCTCAAAAAATAAAATTTAAAATTTTAATCTTTAATAAAAACAAATTTTAAATTTTTTTATTAATCAAAATTAATATATAATTCAAATTTCGATGAATAAAATTTAAATTTCCAAAATTTATTAAAGTTCAAAAATAAATTAAAAAATTATAATATTTTAATTTAATTTATCAATTTTGATATAATATTACTCTTTTATTATTCTTCAAATTATACGAAATTATATAAACTATAGATTATTTATAAATAATGATATAAAATCTTATAGAATTCTATTCAAAATTGAAAAAGTTATAAATGTTTTTAGTTTTGTTTATATATCTTTAAAAATTTCACCGACTTAGGTATGCCTGGGATGAACATTCACTCAAAACAAGATTCCCCACCCTGGTTATTGTCTCTCCGGAGTCCGACACATATGATTAACCTTACATAATCTCTCCGCGTTCGCTAAAACGTCATTGTTGATCTATTTTGGCTCTAATGATTTGGCCAGAACAGCTACATAATTAATTCCTCCCTCGAGAAATTCGAGGTGTGGTCGTACTTTTCCTCGAGGACTTGGTACTTGGATGAGCCATTGCTGAATTTTATTTCGCTCTTACACTTAGGCATTACACTCTTTCCAAAAGTA